GCTCGAAGAACGGCAAAGGGGTTCGAGAAGGGCGACGGCTATTCTGAAGCAGAGTTTGACGGAATGCCCAGGTTAGAATTGATGACTTGACTTCGTGAGCTCGTGAAGAAAGAAGAAGAGGATGAGGAAGAAGAGGAAGAAGAGGAGGAGGAAGAAGGAGATGAAGAAGAGAGGTAGGAGAGAGGAAGAAAGATGGTGATGGGCAGGCTCTTCTTTTTTTTCTCTTCCTGGTCGAACAAGCGAGGGGGCAAGGTGAAAGGACAAGACGAGCAAGACAGGCACGAGAGACGAACGGAAAGAGAACAAGCCTGATCAATCTTCTTTTGCAAGCCGGGTGGGAGACGAGTAGTATAGTCCAGTTCCACTTTGGAGCGTTGTTATAAGAAGTTTTTTTTTCTTATTTGCTCCCTTTTTTGCAGATTCTGAGGTCGGTGTTCGATACAAGCCCCCCAGCCCAAGCGGGATCCGGAACGAGGAAAGACGAGGGACGAGACGAACGAGAGGGAAGAAGAGAGAGACGGGGAGAGGGAGACGGGAGAGAGAATAAAAAAAGCAGTCTCTCCTGAGGGTTGAAAAGAAGAAGAAGAAAAAAAGAGAGGACGCAGCAGCAGCAGCAGCAGCAGAGGACAAGAAGAGATGGAGGTTAGAGACGAGAGAGTGAGAGCGTCAGTCCCAGAGGTCGGCGTCAGTCAGGACACTAAGCGTAAGGTAAGTAAGTAATAAGTCAGGTAAGTAAGTACGGAGTAAGATAACCCAGGTAAGGCTCGGGAGATGCCAGGGCTCGCTCGCTCGTCTCTTTTGTTACCTTACTAGGGGCGGGTTTTGCCCAGCAGGCAGAGGGCGCGACTGATTGGACACGAGCGGACAAGGAGAGACAAGGGGGACTTGCCTTCTTACGGGCTCTCCTAGTCCTCTCTTCCTCTTATACTCTTACCTTACCATGCAGTCCTCCTCTTTTCTTTTTAAGCGGAGGAAGAGGCAGCAGAGGCACAGGAGACGGCCTTAGGGGGGTGTATTACCTGAGACGTTACCGTTGACTCTCCCTTTGTGCGTGCAACACGGGAGCAGGCAGGCAGGCAGGGAGGGAGAAGGACTCCGTAGAAGAAGAGAAGATAATTGTGATGGAGAAGGCGGGCGTCGCCCTTGGAGACTGACGCTTCGTCTGCCTGCCTGCCTGCCTGCATCTATGTCTTTCTTCTCCTTTTACTTCTGCTTCTACCGTTTGTTTCTACTTCTCCTGCTATATCGAAGTTGTTGATGGAGTCGTGTATCGTATCGTACCGTATGTCATGTACGTCCCTATGTACTGCCACTCTGTATCTGTATTACCATACGCAAACCCATACGCAAATACAGACATACAACCAGAGAAACACAACCCAAGGAACTTACCAACTTAACCATCTTCTTTCAATATTTGCTTCTTCTTCTTCTTCTGCTGCTGCTTCTGCTTCTTCATCTTCGTCTCTTTTTTTCTTTTCTCCGACCAGGCCAAAAGCCTCCAAGGCTTGCCTTTTGCGAAAGGGCCATCGCCAGCCAGAGAGCCAGCTAGTCAGGATCGTTAATGAAACGGCGCTCACGAAGAAGCAAAATACCTCCCCCCAAGTCTCAGCCCTTTGACCTTCCTGCCTGTGTTCTGACAGCCTCCGTGCTCCACCGTGAAATTCTCCAGATATTCTGCATACAGAGAGACCGGAGATCCATAGGGACTCCGTACATACCCTGATGCCTTGATGACAGACAGAACGATGCAGAGCTGCGAAGCGATGCGGCTCAGGGGCCTCTCGCCCGGCCAGTCTTGGGTCGTCATCGTCGCCGTGCTGCTTGCTGCTGCGGCTTCTGCATTACATATACGAATGATGGCGTTCCAGGGATGCTCCCGTCCATACCGTGTCCTACTCCTTGGTACGATGGTAAGCTAACTCGTTAGTCCTCCCTTCCTCAACCGACTTTGCCCCAAGGAACGGAAGATGATCGGTGGCTTGGATAGTCAGTCAAAGAGATAAAAAGTACTCCGTACATAGTTATAGAAGTTGAATGGCTGCTGCAGATAAATTACAAAAAAGGTCATAACGCAGTTCCAACTTCTGTCTCCCTTCCAGAAACCATGGACCCAGAATGTTCTTCTTACGGACGGGATACGCTGGGTGTATGGATGTGTTAGTTACTATGCTGGGGTTGTTCTTGTCTGTCCTGCTCTCAGCCAGCCAGCCAACCAACCAGCCCCCTAACGAAGGAGCCGCGTTCATCTCCGGCAGCTCTCTGCTTTCGCCACTTCTGCATGCTCAGACGGCCATGCTGCCGCTCCTGCTTCATCGTCGTCGTCGTCTTCGTCTTCGTCTTCGTCTTCCTGCTGCTACCTTCCCCCGCTTTTCCAGGTTTGCTGCCTGCTCTTGATCGTCCGTCATCATGCGAGAATGGGCCGAGAGCTCCCTGACCTGATGTCACTTGGCTGAGGGATTCCCTCCCACCCCTGGAAGTCTTCAGCTGGGTACACATATGAAGATCGGAGGAGCCTCCCCCTTTCGATCGATGACGTCCTTTTTCCCAAATGGCAAAAAGTGGCTCCCTCGGTGGCTAATATCTTTGCCCTTAAGGTACATGTTGGAGGACGCACGCGGGGGGGTTGGCCTTGTTTATAGTAAACATCTACGGAGCATTCAGGAGTTGTTGCATCTCGACAGACAACACTAGAAATAACCGATATCAAGATCTATTCCTAGTCTAAGTGTCCTTTGTCGGTTAACAGATGGGACTTATACGTGGATAACATATCTCAATATGGGTATTTTTTGATTGCGACATCCCCGATTGCATGCACTGCTCGATCGCTGCGGTTGCGAGATCTGCCAATCACCGTCCTTCTATGGCCTTTTTTTGGGCCATGTCCGATACGAAGGCCGGATGGCGCAGTTTGAGCGCATCCTCGTCTTGCTACATCTCTCTTCCTCTCCTGTCTCTCGGCTTCAACTCTTCCTTGATCGCCACATGGCCGTCTAAGTCTCTTCCTGTCCGGGTGACTCTAAAGCTATCCGAATCAGGTTTCTACCTTGCTAACTATATCAAAAGATACACCGTAGTCGGGGTTTCCCATCAGTTACACTAGACTCAACCAGTTCCATAACTAGATATCTACCAAATCAACAAACAAACAAACAACTATCCTTCGTGGGTACTGTATCCTCGCTATCTATACACAGAATTCCCGAATTGCAAAATTCATGCATGTGGTGGTGTCCTTGCTCTTTGATTCTGTCGACGCCCTTAGTTGTTATATCCGGCGGACCGGGCTTGGTGTGCATCGTTCCCTGATTCCAGGAGCCCGCGGTCCATGGTCCAAAAGGGCCCGTGAAACCCTTTCCCCCTTCGCTGGCATCAATATAAAACATAAAAGCTCGCCGTTCTCTGGTTGCGGCTCGATAGCGTCGACCATTTCCTTCCTGTCTCGTATGCAGCCAGACCTGCGGCCTTCACTGGTCAGCAGAGCAGCAGCATATCAAAAGGTAAAAGATCTCTTGATAACTGTTAAATACAACGCCTCGATTGGTGAAGCTTATCTCACTGCGTCCAACCTGCTGCTGCCTTGGAAACAGAGCAGTTAAATCGACCAAACGATGCAGCGAATGCCTCGCAGGCGTTGCTAACCAGTCAATTGAACGGACATGGGCCCCTTCACGACCATGGCACCCACGGCGCCTAGTCAGCTTTTTAGCTGCTTCTAGTTTCTCCAAAGTACGACAGAATGAGGCGCATCCGACTGAAACGTCTATCGCTTCAGATCAGTTTATGGTTCTACCCTGCTTATATACGCTTGCTGGCTATCGCGTTTCAGTCCAGTCAGTCAGTCATAGTATCAATCCAGTACCACCTTCCATCCTGAGCCTCTTCGACGGCCGGTTTGGGGAAAATGTTTATACTCTTACATGCTTACTTACCACCCCGTACAAACATATTTACCTTGAGGTAAGTATCCGTACAGGCGGACATGTTTGATGATGGGCCATGGGCCATCTTCGAGATCGTCGCTCGCTTTGCCTGGTCATGGTTTCTCCAGATCAGATGCATCAGACGGGCGAGGCTTCTCTGCTGCCTTTTCCCTCGCTCGACGCTCGACTCTCGACGCCTATCTTGAGTTTTACCGAGAATGAATACTCCGTATTAGAACAATACTCCTTACCCTCGGGTTAGTGATCAGCACAGTACCCGATACGACGATGCTTTTACAACACACGCGACAGCGAGGTTCACCCTGGGAACGGAACCGGATCGATCGTCCCTGGGCAAGGACACGAAAATACCTGCTCAAGCAGTCTTCTATACTCCGTACATAGTACCATAGTTCAGCCTCGCTCAGACCGTCTATATAGTTCGATGGGCCAGAATTAAAACCCAGGCAGGTAGTCTGTCGGTTTAGTGATCGATCCAACTCGCTCCATCTCGTCCTCGGCCTGTGATCTCATGAACGCCGAAACCGATACGAAGGAATCCAGTCAAATCCGCGCCCATCCATGCACAGGTACTGAGTTTAGGAAAGATAAACGTCGCAGTATTAAATTTAACGAGGCCCCAGAGGGAAAAATGACCGCAGAGCCGTATCTCCAATCGCCGCCGCGTTGGCAGGGGGCACGCGAAACAAAGCTCGCCGCTCGTGTGAGCAGTGTGAAAAATAAACTAACTTCCTTACTCTCCCCTTTACCATGGTTATACATTCTTACTGAACTTACCGCTCGAGAAATAATTAATGGGGCGAGGCGACCGACTGGGGACAAACAGTTGAAATGATAACTAAATAAATAAGAAACCGGCCTTGGAAGCTTGGTGGATTTCTCGACCCGGCGTTTCCATCTTTCTGCTTTTTTCCCTCTCCTATGAAACCGAACGGTTGATGGATGGAGAGATGGAGAGATGGGCGGATGGATAGGCGGCAAAGAAAGGAGCTGGAAGATGTCTTTTCGACTTATCACCCGTTTGTCTTACTAACTTAACTCTCTGCAGCTGCAGCGAGTTGAAGGAAAAGGCAGGTAAGCTTGTCGCTCTTCGGGCCTGGACCTGAAAGCAGTCACGGCGCCTGCAGTGAACGAATGCATCAGATATTTATATCCGCCTTTCTTCTGTCCGCCTGCCTGCCTGTCTGCCTGCCTGTCTCTCTGCATGTCTGTACTTACGAATGAATGAATGTAAGTACGTATGTCTGTACAGAGTATGGTAACATGTTTAATCAATTTAGCCTTCCCCATTGATGGTGTTACTTCGGAGATCTGTTAACTATCTCCTTCTTTAATTCTGGACGGAGAAAAGCTGCATCAAGGCAGATGTGTCTCATCCACAGCGGTATTTCAAACATCTTCAAGGACAAGGCCCTATTAATAACACCTGCAACTGCGGTGGCCCCGGCCGCATCCATGGCTGCAGCCAACCCCCAACATCCATCCCCGAATGAGAAGCAAGCGTCAATCATCACCTCTTCGCTGCTTGTCGCTCATATCACTGACCCTTTTGGTTAAAACTAATGAACAGCTTGGGGGGAAAGAAGAGATATGCCACCGTTCTTTTTTTTCCCGCTGCAAGTCCCATAAGCGGCCTTTATTTAGGCAATGTCTCTTCTTTGTCGTTCAACATCAAGATAAGAAGTGTTCCGTACTCCATAAGTCAGTCATCCTCCGCTTCAACCGACGGTTTGCTCCGTCTGTCGTTATCCTTTCTCCCTTTTTTTGCTTTTCTAGAAAGACACTGTCAGTACGCAAGTAAGTGCGCAGTACTCCGTACGGGAAAACCGTTATTTTCAACGGGTATCTTGGTTATGTAACCGTCGTACCTTACAGCAATACGCCGCGGAAAAATAAACTGCCCCGTATATACTTTTGTTAAGCGCCCGCACTAGCGCTACTACAGCCAATCAAAGATCTCACAATCCTGGTGTTGTCATCGTTCGATGCAGGGGGGACGCCTTTGCCTCCGGAGCTGGGGAGGTTGGCAGTACGCGGCGCAGGGAGCAACAATACAGAGCGAGAGGCTGCCTTGTCAAGGCGACAAGGCACTTCCCATCAGCTGATATAGCCACCACTTAAATAACTAGTTATGGGTGTTCCGCACAAAAGCCGTTCGCGAATTAGGCTTTTTAAGCTTCTTGTCGCTTTCAGCGCTGACGTTGCGTTTGCGCCAGAGGACCGAAAACAGAACGATGAGAGTTTCATCTCAGGAGAAAACGCGAAAGTGGGAAGAAAAAAGATAGGAGACTAACTAAAACCTTACGCTATGCACGAATTCACGCAAAGAGTAGTAATACTAATGTGACGAGTTCCAGCGTAGGAACAGCCCTACCCATGCTGTCTTGCCTTAGCATCGGAGCAACCAACCACAAAGAAAACGGATTGCCAATAGGCACACCCGATATAGACCCACTTGGAGAACCTTAAATTCAATTAAACGCGAAATCTCTGCCCAGCCTAGATAAGTGGGTCGGGCCCCACGTGCTGGAGCGCGTTATGATTGGATGATGACGCGGACCTGGACTTAAGCGCGAAGTCGCGCCTTGCCGGAAAGGGAACGCTAGTACCGCTGTATTGTTGAATTTATATGGTGTATTGTCACTTATTACCGAAATTTACAGCAACCTTGCCCTTTTATTTATCACACCCACTGGGCTTCCGCTGCTCCATAAACGAAAGAGCGAGGAGGAGCCTCTTCATCCCATCCCAGCCCAAGCCAGCCCCATCAGTGGAAGCTCTGCGAAGAGGGAAGAGAAGGAAGAGAAAAAGGAAAATGAAAGAGTGAACAAAAAAGGGCGTTAGCCGGTCGGGAACCAAGGCTACTGTCGGTTGAAAGCAACCATACACACTCTCTGTGCAGGCTGAAAGTGGCCTTTTTCCCCCCTTCCTTGTTCTCCGATGCAATAGCATAGATGTAAGCTGTCTTATGATAAGCCGACCAGAAATGGTTTCATATGATTTATTTGTCACGATCTTCGTCCGTCCAACAACTGAAATCCAGGGCTTCCAACAACCAACTATTATCCAACTATTGCCTCTGATTAAGCATGCAGGCTCCGAGGCCCCGGAAGCAGCCCTGCGACCAACCGCCCCGTCAATCAAGCCGTCAATCAAACAATCGCTTCTGGTGGCCCTTTTTTTGATCCCTACTTTTACCTCGCAAGCTAAAAAGCTGCTCCGATAGCGAGCTCCTTGGTCACTTGCTTGTGCCCTCTGGAAAGTTAAGTTAACGACGGCCTATTCTTCGTATCCCTGAAGCTCCTGCATTGAATCCTCCGCTGTGTGTGCTCTCTTGTCTCTGACGTGGCATCGCTGGCTGCCCTTAATTAAGGGGCTGATGTCAGCCCGCAACCCGCTACGCAAAACTAGCTCCCACGCTTGCTCAAACTATTCCCTTCACCCCATCCAGGTCGGCCGTGGGACATGCAGGACCAAGAGCTGAAAAAGTCGACCATCGGTCCTTGCCCTAGCCTCTTCCAATAATTCGCACCAAAAGTTCCTGGTACGCCACACGATCAGCATATAATTCCTCGTGATATAGGGCTGAGCCAGACAGGTCGGATGGCAATAAAGGTGTTTTCTCCGTCCAAGGGATGAGCAGAGGAAGTGAGCTCTCAACTTACTTACATATACGGGGTGATGACCCTATCACTTTACATATATACTTATCTTGTATTCCCCATATGCATCGTGGGGATGCACGAAGTATACTATAATGTCGAGTTTGTTGCCTTGCATCTCTCTAGCTGGGATATAGGCGCGTCCCCGTCATATCATAACTGACTGGTACAATGCGGTGAAGGGGTGGGAAAAGGGGGTGAAGGCGCAAACATATGTAAGAAAATAATAAGTCGGCCTTGAACCATGCTTGCAGGTATGTAATTTCATAAGCAGATTGCCTTGGTTTCTGGTAACTAAATATTGCAATCGGAGTACTGTTTTACATACTACGTCCCCATATGTCTGTCGACTTGCAATTTTTTTTCTCATACGGTATTTTTGTCTTTCCCATGTTTCCCTCTCGTTGCCTGGACGGTGAAACATCGCATAAAATAAATAAAATGGGCAAGTTGCACTGTCAATGAGAGAAGATCTACTTTGTGAGGAATATATCTCGACGGTACGACCTCGCTTCCATGTCTATGTCTGTGGTTTTCTTTCGGCCTGCAGGATTACGTCCTATGACCCTCCATGAGAAGTTTGTCATAAGCATACCGACTGGAAATGAACAAATAAGCTCGTTAACTTCGTCTTCACCGACAAAGAATAGACCAAGGGGTCGTGGGGATATAGATCGTTCCCATCGCTCTATATGCCTGCTCCCGATTTCTTCGTATATACCTAGGTATCGCAAGGCTGTCGCTTCTGCTGTGGAATGTTACCCTGTCCCATCCTGAAGGGAACTGCAGGCGGGAGTGACGATGTATCTTCCTCCTGGGATACGGTCAAGGCACCTAATATTTCGTCCAGTCACTATAGGCGCCTGGCACATGTTTTATTGTACGCCGTTGACACCCCAAGGGGAAAGAAACAAATAGTTCCGGTTGCTGAGACACCTGCCACCTGATCGCCCTTTTTTCTCCCTGCCATGGCTTTTGTTCGCGGCATTCCTTGCCTCCGTCAGTTGTTTGCTAGAGTACAACATGCAAGCAACGCGCGAACTTCACACCACCACCCAACCCGGTAGCCGAAGGGGTATATTGAGAGCCCCTTTTCCTTGTGCCCTCACCTGCTGCTCCGGTCCTAGACAGCGTTTGTGGTTGTCTGTGTCCGTCCACGGAGGTAGTATACGCAGGCCGGCTTCAAACCTTTCTCGTATACTCCCTATCAACATGACACAGAGCCGGACATCTGGTACAACCCTGATAGAAACCTGCGTCACCGCTCTGCTTATTTTGATCCAGCGGGAAGTTTGCCGGACACAACAAACTACGGCTGGGCGTTTCAATATGTGGTCAATTCGTGTGTATGCCGGTTGATGACGGGCCGATATATGAAACTGACCCCGCGCGTACAGAGGAGGCTGTATAGTTCTATACCGACTGTGTTGCGTGCGGGGTTTGGACGGAGACAGTACATGATACAGTCAACTTCATTTTGCATGGGAAAGGTAACGTCTTTACACGTTACTCCGGCTTGAAAGAGCCGTTTCTTTCCACCACTATTTGAAATGAAGCGAAGTAACGAAGTAGGGGTGTTTCGTAGCCATCCGTTAGTCAATACTAGGGCAATTCCCATATGTGATAGCTTGATAGACCTCTAATTCTCCGGCTCGAAGGTGTTTCACTGATCAATGCGTCTCATCAAGGCCAATATCATCAATATCAAAGTTGGCATCCCAATAATGAAATTCATCTTGATGTTTTATGTAGTTTCTTGACGTACCTCGGAGTTATTCTGTAGACAGAAAGTTTACCCGATATTTTATATCACGTGACAAGATATCCTCGAGAAAAATTGCCCTCGGGAAAAGAAGCGCAAAAGATAATTTTTTTTGTTTGAAGCAGCAAAGCTTTCATAAAAAGGAAGCCGAAGCATTTGAGAAGCAGAGCTGCGATAGATGGCTGCGATAGAAGAGCCTGAAAAGCTGTGTTATTGACTGCAGCACCCCTTGCGCTGCAACCTCCGCCATTGTCCACGGAGCTCGTGAATTTCCAACACAGCAAACAGCTTCAAACGCCATGGACATCCATAGATGTCGATTCGTGCCATACAATCCTCAAGCGATCAACGCGCTGGCCTTTTCGCACCCTCCGTCAAATGAGATCCAGGGTAGAGGCTTTCCCACATTAAGGCTTGCGATCGGACGGGCGAATGGTGATATTGAGATTTGGAACCCTCTACGTGGAGTTTGGTTCCAAGAATCTATTCTTCGCGGAGGAAAAGACCGCAGCATCGAAGGATTAGCATGGACACTTGACCCAAGCGAAACCATTGAAGGCAAAGAGGTGGCGGGCAAACTGCGACTTTTCAGCATTGGGTATTCCAGCGTTGTGACAGAGTGGGATTTGGAAACAGGTCGGCCAGCAAGGCATTCAAGCGGAAATTATGGAGAAATCTGGTGTCTAGCAGCCCAGCCTCGATGGAGGCCGCGGCGTAAGAAGGATGGGGATTCTGCTCCTCCGAGGGAGGAGGGATATTTGGGACAGCATTTGGCGGTTGGGTGTGCAGATGGTACTATCGTGATCCTGTCTACCGAGGATAGAGACTTGAAGTACTTGAAAACAATAAGGTCGTCAACGAAGCGTGCGAGAGTCCTCAGCATCACATTTCAGAATCGCCATACTGTTGTTGCTGGATACGCCGACAGCTCTATTCGAGTGTTCGATATACGCAATGGCAGCCTTCTACGGACAATCTCTCTCGGAAAGGGCCAAGCAAAGGACGTCAAGGAGCTACTTGTCTGGTGCGTCAAGTGTCTACCCGATGGCTCGATAATATCTGGTGACTCGGCCGGTGAAATTCGGATTTACGACGCAAAGAACTACTCTCTGGTTCAAAGGCTGCAAGGACACCAGGCAGATGTATTGGACATCGCTGTTAGTGCGGATGGGGAATCCATTGTTAGTGGAGGTGCAGACCAGCGGACGGTTCTTTATAAACTGAAGCGCCGCGAAAAGCAAATGACAACGCGCAGATGGGCAGAGGTGATACATCGACGATACCATACACACGACGTCAAGGCTCTCGCTGCTTTTGAGACTAAGGACATTAGTATTGTTGTGTCAGGAGGTATGTACATTCTTACCATTGAGTAATCTAGACCTGGTGCTGACATGTTACCGTTGCCTATAGGCCTTGACACGACGCCTGTTATTCTTCCACTGAGGGAGCTTGGAAGGGAGCACCACCGAAAACTACCAAATCTACCACAGATACCCCAAGTCTCGTCATCGGGCGCATCTCGACTTCTAATGAGTTGGTGGGACCGTGAGGTCAACATTTGGCGTGTTGCTGGCTCATTTGCGTCTGATATGGAACAGCACAAGCTTGTAGGAAAGATCTTATTCCAGGGCGACGAACATCTCACATGCGCGGCTCTAGCACGGGATGGAACTATACTCGCCGCTGCCACTATATCAGAGGTTAGGGTATTTACTTTGGCACCAGATGAAGTGGATGGTTTCCCTAGTCTACGGGTTCACAAAGTAGACCTTCCTCCTCAATTAGCCTCCCAGGGCGCAAAGAACGTTACTATATCACCTGATTGCAAGTGGCTGTGTGTACTGCGACCAAATAACAGTATGTACATGACCAAACTTGTTAGAGATTCGGAAACGGAAGAGAGCCTTCAAGTTCTGCCAAAATCACAAAAATTGGTCCGTCTACCAAGACAAACGCGTACCGATAAACCTCTTCACGGCACACTAGGTTCATACGATAGAACTGTGCGCTGCATGACATTCTCAGGTGACAGCCGGATCTTTGCTTGTGGTGACCTTGCTGGGTTTTTGGACGTTTGGTCCCTTCGGGACAGTGAAGGTGCCCCTGCAACGATAAAGGATACCGGAGATGCAGATGCGGGTTCTTCAGACGAGGATTCGGATTCGGATTCGGATTCGGATTCAGATGATGAGGACGACTTGCCAACCGGAGAGCGGTGGAAACGCTCGCCTTCCGAAGCCAATCTTCCTCGTCTAACCTCCAGCGTTTTGCTAATGACCTTCCGCCCGACTCTTGAAGCATCCAACGCACTGAAGAATAAACGGACATCTACGAAGTCAATTGCCCAAGCTTCGGAATGCAGTACGTCAGATGACAGGTTGATGGTGCTAACTGCCGAGCATCATTTAACTGAATTCCATGCGCTTCAGGGCAACCTTTCCGACTGGTCCAGGAGGAACCCGAAGGCATGTATGCCCTCGGAATTTACCATCATTAAAGACAGAGCTATGGGCGCCATTTGGGATGTTGCAGGGGGCCGGGATCGCCTCTGGCTGTATGGCCCTGCTTGGCTTTGGATGTTTGATCTATCTCTAGACTACCCTGCTGCAGAATCACAGCATGTTGGTACTCTAGTACACCCATCCCCACACAAGAGGAAACGTCAGGATCACGAAGAACCTAACAATGAATGGGAGAGGAAGAAAAAGAAGACGAATACGGGAGCAGGAGACAGAGTTGTGCTTGCGGACGCTGAAGTTGGTTTTGGATCGGCAGTTAAGAAGGCCGTGGGAGCAAACGGGGAGAATGCCGAATTGGTACCCTTTGAGGACCAAAAGAATGAGAACTTGCTGCCTGAGGACGACGATGAGGGCGACGGCGACATAAACGAGCTCACTCTCGCAAACGAAGCGACACTCGCTTCACTCCGAAGACAACAGTTCCCTGTCGTTAATGGAAAGGTTTTAAATGGTAATGGTATCCCCTTTGCGCTAGATATTGTTCTTCCTGTACTAACATCGAGGCGGTTTTAGGTGACCATCTACCAAATGGGGCAGAGAACGAGAACCAGGTAGCAAAGCTATCTACACCAGATCCAGAATCCGACCACAACGCAGAATCACGCCCACGCCAGTGGTGGTCTATTTTCAAGTACCGAGATATCCTAGGGATTGTGCCTCTAAGCCACAATTCCCAATCGACTGTGGAGAGTGCAGATCTATCGGAAGCAGAAGACGCAAAATCAGTGCCTTTGGAAGTTGTGGTGATAGAGAGGCCGATATGGGACGTTGATCTTCCAGGCAGATATATACGAGACTACGAATAAACATATAGATTATGTGTACTTCAAATAGAAAACTTGAACATTCCATCGGCAACTGCTCTCTACCAAACCACCTAGATATCTAGCGCCAAGGCGAGGCTCAACCTCCACAGAGAAGCGTATGAGAATCTTGACCATGAACAACTTGCATGAATCTCTGTTTCAGACGTGTTCAGAATTGATGTTATTGGGTTATGATGCAGGTATTGCTTCTGCCTGGATGACTACGCCTCCAACTCCAGGCCAGGCGGCAACATTAATTACGGCGCAGCGTACAGACGCAACAATAACACAATATAAACCGCCCATCTTGCTACTCGACTTCTGGATGTCGTCTTGTTAAGCTTCATCATTTGCCATCTTCGTCATTCGTTCGTGTATTTATCGACTTGATGTGGCGATGTCCTCCTCCGGGGCCCCGTACTGTATCATCTGCGGCGCACTAATCCATAACCGCGCCCGCCGCATTGAGTGGCCCGGCCAATATAGAGCCGGTAAGCATGTTTGTTTCTTGTTATTTAATATTAATAGGCTGGATCCTGCTAAACACTATTTGCCTCAGTTCGAGCTACGTCGATGAATGAGGAGCCATTCTTGACAGGCGTAGCGAGGTTTGTTCATGGGGAAAGGCTGCTACGTGCGCCGTCAAACCCCTACGAACGATATGAAAACGACAAATATGTCAATGACACGAAATCCGATGAGTTTCCATCGCAGGGAAGGACGTCTGAGGATCATCCATTACCTGGCTTCGTATTCCATGATACCTGCTGGGGGATCCTGAAGGCTCTCGTTCATCCCCATGAGATATCTATACCTCGGCTCTATGATATATGTCTCTCATTTCCTTCACAAGAGTATGGTCTTCTGACCTGGGGCCATGGTTACGATAACAATGGCTTTGACTCGGTGATAGTAAGCCATCACCGGTTAACGTCTACGCAATCTTTCTTTCTTCGAGATCCGCTTGATATCCCCGAATTACAAGCTGCACTTGACGAAGCGGAAAAGGAGAGATACAATGAAAACACGGCTATACCAAATACCATTGCTGAGAAGCCTGACTGTGACAACTTTTACTCGCTACCTTTTGAGATAAGGGATGATATCCAATGCATGCTCAGCCTGCATGATGTGGCCAACTTACGACTGGCCTCAAGGTCTTTTGGTAGCATGCCATTATCACAGCATTTCTGGCGATCTCGATTCCTACCATCCTTTGAAAGGGGATTTATCTTTGAGGCTCTACGTCCTCAGCTGGATAGCGCTACATCCGGTGCGGCTGTTCATTATAATTGGAAGGCTCTATATGAGAAAACGAACCCGAACCTAAAGAACTTTGAAGCTGTACGGAACCGAAAGAGAATATGGGAATGCAGCGAGTCCCTTGCAGCGTTGCTTATTTCACGGCCCAGGCTAGAAGACGGAGGTGCAGATTCCATGGAGGAACGTAATCATGTCCTCTGGCGGACGGCGGCGTCCAGACCAAAGGACCCTCCCAGAACGCAGCCTGGAAGGGCGCGGTTTCCCGGGTCTGCTCCGGTTCCTCCTCCTAGTGTTGTCAAGGAATATGCAATTCGTGTTCCTGTACAAATATCGCATGTTGGCGTATCCCTCGTTTGTTTCAGCGGGAGTACATATGTCTCTGGCATACGCATCAAGACTCCCGACCAAAAAGAGGTCCGGCTGGGTTATATCCACCCCGATAACGAAGTGATTCTCAATATTGGCCGGGAAGATGCAGAGTCGGATCCCTATCCTCTAACGGGGCTTGCCGTCTGTGCAGATCCCGGTGGCATTCGAGGCATCCGAACAGCTACGGCAGATGGCACTTTTTCCAACTGGGCAGGCGACCATGAAGATGTACCCAGAACCCTACGCCTGTGTCTAAACGAACGAGTAACACATATCAAAGCAAAATTCGACGTAAGTTATCCAACTACAAACCGCACTGGACAAACGTAACTAACGCTTCTACAACAGGCATTCAGACTGATATCTCTCTCGGTCCCTGAAGAAGAGAAAATAAATACCCAGAACCCACCTTGCTTATCCCCGCGCAAAGCAACGCTCTGGTACCCCCATATACCATCCGAACACCAACATCTGCACGAACTCGACTTTGTAGAACACGACGAATCCCAGCCAGCCCTACTAAACTATCAACAACCTCATATACTGCTCATGTTCGGTGGTGAGGGGGGAAGCTACCTGCCCTACCTTACCAAGATATCAGTTAGTACGTTGGGCGGTATATTGATGTGGATTGATTTTCATTACGAAAGTGAGGGAGCACCCGTTAGCAGCCTGTCTGTGTACCAGGATAGGAAGAAGCATGGCAACCAGTCTCAGATACAGTTTAACATTGACGGGCCGAAGGGTGAGAGGGTGACTGGGTTCCGAGTGAAGGACAAACAATGGCGGACGCCAAAGAACGAACCTATCAGTTTCAGTATTGCGACGCTTGAGGTGAGTACTCAGATTGCTTTGCTTATGGAATTGATTTTGTATATCGGATGTCTAATTTTGGTTGTGGTGGTGTAGGTTACTACGAACCGTGGACGGTCTTTCACGTTTGACGCCAATGTGCTTCCCAAGATCAGGCTGCCTTTGGGACATGCCCAGCAAAAGAAGAAGAAACTGGATATTCAGCCTGACTCAACTATCACTGGCGTATACGTCACTCATGTAAGTTTGTGGTTGCTGTATGTGACTTGTATATCTGGTACTGGTACTGACTTATTTATATAGGATGCGCTATATGGATTAACGGGACTCGGTATTGTTTCTGAGAAGGTACAGGTGTAGATAACGAAGTAAGTAATGGCGAAGATGAAGCATTTTTCATGTATCAAGCTAGCTATTAAAACAAAGTCGAAATAGCACGGCCCAAAAAGAAAGCTGACTAAAACTCATATCATAAGAGTAGACTCATCCCGGAAAGAAGGGAGAATAAGAGTAATTGACATTGCGAGGCAAGACATGGCAGGTTAAAAAGTGTGTAAATATAAAGGATAAAGCGACGGAATAGGTATCCTGGCATCTGGGCGTATTGAGAAGCTAAGCTTGGAAAGCGGAAAGCGGAAACAAGGAAAAGAAAGCCAAAGTAAAAAGGATGGGCTGAGAGTAAGCAGGCAAAGCACTTTTCTATTAGAGTAAGGGAGTAAGGATTGTTTGTGCAGTGGATTATATATGTATGTATGTATAGGGATAAATAAGCGGAATAGCGGGGGGTATAGAAGGAGGGGATATATTATTCCAATAGCTGCAGTGGCGGGGGGTATAGATTAAAGGATAGATGTAGTTGACAAACAAAGGAGATATATGAGTGTGCTCGGTAGACGAGGTTGTATAGTAAGTAGGTTGGGAGTTAAGCTTGTTGGTTAGGTAAATAAGAGTCAAGTTGTCCTTGATTAATGTTTCCTTTCCGTTTTGTAGCAGATATCGAGAACCAACATGTCCAACAGAGAGTAGCAAGCAAGCAGGCTTAATACGCGCAAGTAAGAAATAGAAATGGATGCCAGGATTCACGTCATGCAGAAGAAGAAAAAGAATGAGAAGGAGAAGACCAGAGTATGAGGATGTCTGGGGCGAAATATCGGAAGGAAAAGGTCCAAGAAGAAGGATGTCTACCGGAGCACCTGAACGCCTTGGTATATGTCATGATGCCGACAAGGAAATGGAAGAGCCAGAAGAGAAGAAAATGGAAGAGGTATTGGTATCAAGATAGCGGAGGGATGAATCGGTTAAGAGAGGATTGGGTAGAAAAGGTGTCGGCCGTTAGTCGGAAGGAAGAAAGGGGGGTTTGGTTGTGTTCGTTTTTAAGAGGATGGTTGATGTCGTGGACCTTGACATCATGTTCGTTCGATCGTGACGGCGTGAAAAAAATGGAGTGAGGGTGTGAATGGCGGGATTGATGCAAGTAGAGGTTGTCATCGATGCCTCCTTGACTGATCTGGATTTGGCTGGCCCGTCCGTTCAACACCGCTCTGGCCCGTTGTTGTTGCAGCGGCAGAAACAGGGACCTTGACTTCGTCACCGGCGACCGGCACCGAAGTACCGTTGGGATTCAGTCGACTTAGTTCAGTTGCTATGCTCTGGGCCACGAAGCCGCGAAGCTCACGCTCTTCACGCTCGTCCTCTTTGACTAGCCGGCTTCGTTCTTCCTTGGAAAGGTTTTCTCGACGCATGCGTCTGATTTCGTGGATGACCCAGAGTAATACCTCGTCGGGTGCACGAGAACGGTCGAGACCGTGTTTGGAAGGATTTCTAACGTAGCGGCGGGTTACATCTGTGGCTCCATCGATGGAGAAGGCGATACAGTAGGCCATCTTCCGGCCCCAGCCTGGACGGGTGTTAGTGGTACGGAAAGAAAGAAAGAAAGAAAGAAAGAGGGAAAGAAGGAAAAAAGGAAAAAAGGAAAAAAGGAAGAAAGTGATGCTTACCCTCTGTGTAGAGACGGGGGTTATCCCAAGCCTCTTCGCAGGCGTCAACGTGAATCCATCGTTTCTGATGCTCAGAGTAGACTTCGGTCCATACATGGTCTTCAGAGTTCCAGACCCAACGTACGCGGCCACCGACTGCTCTGCACAGCATGCTGAAGCAATTGGCCCATTCGCCTACCCTACCGCGTCTGGACTGCAGCAGAGTCCATACGTCAGAGTATCGGGGGAATCGCTCATGGCTGGCGCAAGAGGGCTCTGAGCAGATGTAGAGTTCGACTCTTGTGGCTCCGCGGGCGGTTTCGTCAGGAGTTGGAGGCGTCATGCCCTGGAGAAGGGTTGGGCGGAAGCATCTCGAGCAAGGCGGATTATTGATGAATTGGAAGAACGAGCGTTTGAACCATCTATCACGGCCAGTCAGTTGACCTGTCTGCTTTAACCAGAAGAGACAAAAAAGAAAGAAGGGTTAGATAGTTACCTGAGGAGAGCCTTGATGACGCAGTCCTGGTAGCCCCAGGTTGGTTTCACGTTGTCACCCATGCTCGCGGCCTCTGCCTGCAGAATCTGACACTCCTCCTCTGCCTCCGCGTAGAGGCGGTCGAGGGGAACGTGGGAGAGCGCTTCGTCGAGCAGGCCCGGGTTCTCGTACTTCATCGGCGTTACAGAGAGGACGTGGAGTAGATTGCGAAACTTGAGGGAGGCGGAATCCTGTGGTGGTGACGGAAAGATGGGGAAACTTCGAACGGAAGAGTACGACGGCGGCTGTGAGGACGACGGTCGGCCCTGATGGTGCTGCTGGTAGCTGTTATGGTGGTGAGGATAGTGTGGTGATGCTGGCGTTGATGTGGACGACGAAGGCATGGGCGAAGAGGTGCGTGATCTGGAGCGTTCCTGGAGAGTGTTCAACCGTCTCGTCCGCAGCAACTGCTCGAACTGGCGAGCGAGGTCGGAGGCATCGACGGCGGGGTGTGAGCCTGCCGGCCTTCGAGATCTGTCTGGCATTGTGTTGTTTGTAGGACGGCGATGGTGGTGCGTTTGACCAGAAGGGCTGGCTGGAGTAGATGGGCTGGAAAGGGAGCGAGGACGAGCGAGGGCTGGCAGTCAACTGGATGACTGTCAGCGCCCACCGCAGGCCAGGCAGGCGATCGTCTCAGGCGGAGTTTTTTGGTTGGTGGCCGGTGGCTGTCGCTGTCGCTGTCGTCTTGATGCTATCGATGGTCGATGCTGGTGAAAGGCGAGGACGACGTTGACGATGGAGATGGAGATTGTAGGTAGTGGTGGTGGTGGTGGTTGTTGTTGGTCTTCAGCAGGTGTCGCTGTGCCCGTCCGTCCCGTCCAGGGAAGAAGAAGAAGGGAGACTGAAGGATATGTTTAGATGATGCGCAGCAAGCACAGCCCTTGGCCCTTGATTGCGGTTCCACGCTAACTCAAATGGTCGCCCTTTGCTCTAACCTCGTCGTTTCTTCTTCGTCACTAAACGCTGCACTCTCGTTTCTTCTCTCTCTCTCTCTTCTCTTGCTCTTCTTGCGTCTCGTCTCGAAGTTGATATAAAAGTCGAAGTCGAAGTCGAAGTCGAAGTCGAAGTCGAAGCCGAAAAAGAAGAAGAAGGAAAAAGCGGCGTCAAGTGGCAGAAACGACAAGACTGAAGAGCGTACGCGGTATGCGAAATACCAACTTACGGGCCTCGTAATGCTGCGTGGAGGTGGTTCCTGACGGTACACGCGGTACGGCCGATACGCGGACGGTGACGAGGCCCCTGGGTGCGCTAGTCCGCTTTGGGCCGTCAGCGTCGTCAGCCTCTTTTGCTTAGGTAAGACTCGACGCCAGAAAACTCTTGTCTTTCCGCCTTTACGGGAGCTTGGAGACGACGCCTGGCTCGACGCTGCGGCTGCTGGTGCCATGGCCACTGCCTATGCATCTTTCTCTGTCATCTTACTCCGTATTCTTACTACTATCCTCACTGTCTACTTCTTCTTCTATTTCTTCTTCTTCTGCCACTTCTTCTGCCACTTCACTTCGTCTTTGTCTAGATCGCCAACCGAACACCGACGATCGCCAAGACTTCAGATGAAGCTTACGCGGCGTGAAAAGTAACCAAGTCTTGGCGAAACTTAGCCTTTTCTGGCCAGTGCAGACGCTTGCTGACTCAGCACTTGCGTGTTATTAAAAGAAGCGAAGGAGCAGCCTGGGACCTTTATAGACGCGTGTTGCTCCTTTACTACGACGACGACTGCGACGACGACTGCAACTACGACTACTACTACGGAGTAATACTACTACTACTATAATGGATGCCTACGATGGAGTGTTGCTGCCTGGCCTCTTTAAGAAGATGAAGAGACCGGCGTTACGGAGGCTTTTGCTAGACAAGAGCTACAGACTCTCCACGCGCGTCACCGGCTTGTCAGGATCAGCGTCACACTCGGAGCCAGCCACGGATAGGAGATGGGTTGAGCAAGTCAACCGGCAAAGCGATCGATCAGATCAGCGGTTTGCTACCCTGTTATTATTACTACTTTACTTTTTTACCTTTTTACGTCTTCGTAGATCGATCGTGGAAAAGATGGACATGGATAACAAGATAGTGGATAGTGATGGGCTGTCGGAAGGGAAGCCTAATACACTAGTATCACGGCTATTACTACTGACTACTACCAATACTAATACTAATACTACTACAGCACGGCAAAGGCAGAAACATAACTCACTGAGCTGTCTCGCAGAGAGAAACAGTCGGAGCTTCGTTCATACCTCAAAAAGTAGAACTTTCCCTTCCTCACTCCACCATCTTCTGTCGTCGTCGTCGTCGTCGTTTCGGCCTGATCATGCTGAAGTCCCTCCATCCCCGCCATCACCACGCCAATCGGATGGCGCCCGCATACAGTGTTTCCCGTCCGCCGTAACGCGTCTAGAAATACATCCGTATTGCCACTCGCTATGGCAGACATGCATGCAATGTCACACGCCGAAATGCTCTCATGGATAGCACACGCATCTTTCGCCTGGTAGTATGACTTATCCTTCTCTCCCAGCATCCGCCCTGACGACACTACTTCCACTTCCTCCGCCGCCTTGGCTGCCGTAAGCTCGTCCGAGGGAACCGGTAGAGAGGGGTACGTAAGTGGCATCTTGTAAGGTGCATCGGCGGCGTGCGTAGTGTAGTACGTATATGCGAACCTCGAACCCCAGTGACAGAAGTCAGACGAGATCACGAACGCGTTCTCTTCGTCAGCAAGATAAGGGCCAAGGATCGAGCCAAACGCTCGCTCGGTAGCGGCAGACGTGCTGCCTACCATCATGGGTACTAGTGGGGGGTACGCTGACGTCGGCTGCGACGGATATAGGCGCTGCAGCAGGCGATGGATGTACGGTAGGTGGAGCTCCATGCTGTGCTCGGCCTCGTCGACAGATGGTGACATCGTCGTGAAGCGTTTGGCTGACGAGGATGCATGGGATTCCAGCTCACCGAGCACTTTCGTGTCCAGAGGCAGCGGGGTAGACGAGAGCGGTGTCAGGTATCCCGTCAACTCCGGCAGGGCGATGGTCGTAAGGTGGCGGTGATGAGATGGGCCGATCAGGAAGATACGCTTTCTATCTAAGTATTTAGTCTTTCTCTCTCTTGCCCTCTCTCTCTATGTGTGTCTTTATGCGGGGATAGACGGTGAGCTGGCATAGCTTACGCCTTGGATAAGTCGAGGCATTTGTACGCAAAGGCCGCACACGGCCCGGAGTAGGAGTATCCTGCATGCCTACAAAAACAGTTAACTGAGTGCCACTATATGTCACAAGCCCATATCTTGTCAGTGCCAGTTGTACGGAGTACTCACGGAGCTATAATCACTCTCGCTCCAGGTACTGGCAGCTTGCCCAGCCCCTCGAGCTCGCCAGGAACAAGGTCCAGCCACTGGTCCAGCTGTGCTTGCAGAGTTGCTCTGTTGTCAGAGTACCAGGAGCCAGCGTGGGTAGGACGGCGGACAGTCATCGTGTTTTTTGTGTGTATAGCTACTCCGTATTCTGTCGCGTGTCTCCCTCCTGCTCGGTCTGCGTTTTGATGATCTTCAGAAAGGAGAGAAAAGACGTCTAAGTAAGCAAAGTGAAACTCTGTTTTTGGTTAGTTGCGGGGGAGGGGCTCTTTTCGGCATACCGGCTTGGCATACACTTTTCGGCATCCCGAAAACTTTATTATCTAATCAACACAGTCGAATGGCTCGCTTTCATCCGATTTAAACTGACATCAATAGGTGTCGCGAGTAGATAGCGCCGGGATGACTATCTATCAAGAGCTACTTTTGAGTTGTGATGCCATGTACCCCTGTATACGCTGCGCCCTGGTTTCATTCGCATCGATATGCGCGATTGTCCGCCATGTCTTGACGCTCGCGCGAGACCGCGTTAAAAGCCATTAACCCTGTTCCGGACTAGCGGTATCAGCCTGATACATGTAACAATACGTCTGACCAATAAACAGCAGCAATTCTCGACTTGGCATCCCTGAGGCCGTAAAATACGTCACTTTCTTGCGATGCGAAACGCGACCAAACCAACCTCACCCTCCCCCCAGGCCAACCAAGGTTCCAACCTCATCTCACCTCAACATTTATTTCATAGCCGTCTTGCAACTCGTCTCATCCGGCTGATCTCTCATATGCCATCGGAGCACTCATAACATAGTCTACGCATTCCACATGAAACGCAAGGCCTCCCTCTCAACGATCCTCTCTCCGCGATCTTCAAGCTCCTTCTACGAATCGGACCGTCTCCCCCATACCATGCTCAATCGGGCGATGCCATGGTCATAGACGAAACCCCCCCAGCGCCTTCATAGCGGGACAAGGAAACGCTTCAGAAACGATCGCCCAGACGAACAGGCTGTCTACGGTATGTCATGGTGCTCACAACAAATCACCTACTCTCTCGTGCATCTCACTTGTCATCTTTCTTTCGCTAACTCGCAACCCTCCCAGATAACACGCTACGATGGCTCTTCTCCGCCCAGAAGCAAGCAGAGAACCACGGACTCTACCCTGAACCCATCACTAGTATCGACGACAGCCTTGAAAGCGTTGAAGAAGACTCATCGTTTCAAGAAGACTCGATGACTTCGCTGCCGAAACCTGACCCGTCGCAAAAGACGATACATCATTTCTTCCGGCCTGCGTCTGCGCCTGCTCGCGTGTCTTTGGCAGAAGCAAACGGTAACGGTAACTGCACCACGCCAAACAACACGGATACAAACCCATCACTCTCGGCGTCTACGCACGTCATGTCGTCACATGTACCAAGCTCTTCTGCTACATCTGTCGGTGACGCCTCTTCCTCGTCCGTTGCCGGCGCTGGCGCTGGCGGTCATGTAATTGATGTGATTGAATGCGAAGACGTCGATATGGATAGGGACGTTCATACGTTCACAGCTAGTGCTACAGCGCTGACTCCGGCCTTCCAGCAGAGGGCTTGGATGGATGGCAAAGACCTCAATCGGTCTCCTAGCTGCTACTATCTTCTTAGCTAGCACATTACTTTTCGTCCCATCGGTATCCCTTTTTTCATTTTCACTTGTACCTTTTTTTTTTTTTGGAAAAAGCTGGTGTTTGGTATATTATTACCAGGGTTGCTCTTAATTGTTTGTTGCTGGTCTTCCCTTTCATCATGGCTGAGCTGGGTTCCTTTCGGACGGCTGGAGTTCATATTTAGGGTCATTAACTGCTGCGCTGGTCTAGGAACTGTATAATACTTGTCGTTTTTTCTTTTATGTTAACCACACTGCCTACTGACACATGGAATATCTATTAAACATCCGTCTTCCATCGCCTCCTTGCTACAAACACTATCTGATATCCCTACTGCTTAACTGTCCTTTTATTTCTCTGACGTCGTAAAAAACCTTTTGGGCAGAGGCAACGGCTTAGTCATCTCCCCCAGGAAAATCGGCCTTTGGAAGCCAAACTGACAGAAGGCAAAAGCTGCGCCCGCTTTCAAGAGTTTCAGCGTTCTTTCTTTGCTGCGTAGACAGGACCTCCAGCTGCCGCCGCGAGCAAGCCTCCTGGGGATTTCTTCTCCCTTTTCCCCGTCTGTCGAACCGGGCGTCGAGAAGCCGTGATCTTCCATCCGCTTTTAAGCTGTGTTTTTATACCTAACGACCCACAGGGAGGCTTAACTAACTAAAGGGGGAGAAAGACGAGACAGGCAACGGACAGACAGGCAGTCAGGCATAACAGTAGCTCTCCTTACTCAACCTCTTCTCCCTTCACTCGTTTAACAGACAGACGGTTCGTCGGCCATTGCTCTAGCATAGTCGAGCACGCAGTATCATGACCTGCTTCGCACCGCAAACCAGCTGAGAACAACACTCCTACACAGCCCTGACAATGGTTGGCTCGAGCTTTGAAAAGTCCGTTAAGGGCGCGACTAAGTCGAAGGTATGGTATATCTTACTTGTTTTTGGTAGATGAATCTGGTTCTAACGGTTTTGTGGGACATAGAATGCTGCTCCGAAATCGAAATACATCGAACACATCCTCACAGCCACCTACAGCGATGCAGGGACAGCAGAGATCTTTCGCACACTCCAGATCAGGCTGCGCGAGTCAGCGTGGACGGTCGTTTTCAAGGCGCTTATAGTGATACATATGATGATACGCGAGGGTGCTCCGGGAGCTGCGCTTGCCTACCTCTCGCAATACCCTCAGAAATTTGCTATTACGAGTATCTCGGACGGTACGTACAGTATCCCCTCGCCGGAAATAGGTAATGATTTTATGGATAAACTGGAGAACCTTTTTTTGCTGATCTGGTATTGATTATTATAGCACAATTCCAGGGAGCGAATATATGGAGATACTCAGAGTATCTAATTGCGAGGTCTCTGGCCTTCCAGGAGACAAAGACGGATTACGTTCGTAACGGACAGGGTCGATTGAAGTCATTAACTGTCTCAAGGGGCTTATTGCGAGAAACTGAGATTGTTCAAAAGCAAATTAAGGCTCTTTTGAAGTGTGATGTATGCATAAAATGGCCGTACCTTTTCGATCGAGAACCCGATTTACTAACTTTTTTGACCAGCTCCTGAGCGATGAGCCTGATAATGAAATCACACTAACCGGTTTCCGGCTGGTGACGCTCGATCTTTTAACGCTATACTCTGTTATGAATGAGGGAGTTATTAATGTCCTAGGTTGGTAGCCGCTACATCCATTTGTACACAGCTTCTAACTCTTTTCGACTAGAGCATTACTTCGAGATGTCTCGAACGGACAGCGAAAGAGCATTGCATTTATACAAAGTTTTCAGCGCTCTAACGGATGATGTGGTTGCCTTTCTACGAGTTGCCAGACAGTATGAACATGCCACTCGACTTGAGATACCCAATTTAAAGCATGCGTCTACGGATTTGGCAAAGTTGCTAGAGGATGACTTGCATGATCCTGACTTTGCGATTCGACGCAAGGAATACCGTGAGCAGAAGTTTGGAAAGTCCAAAGGTGAAAGTAGCTCGGCATCAAAGGACACAAGAACACAATCCGCGCCCAAAGCAAATGATAGCGTAGCACCTCAAAATGCTCCAACTCCTGCTACTAAAGCTCCGGCGGCGGATTTAATCGACTTCTTTGGGTCCATTGAGGAAAACCAACCACCGGCGAATCAACAGCCACCACAGCAACAGAATATGCCAATGCAATTCCAGCAAACAGGTTTCCAACAACAGCCGATACCAGCGGAGTTCTTACAAAACCAAACAGGATTTGCTCCCAACCAAATGGGACAAAATATAAACCCGTTCAGCCAGTACGATACACAAATGCAACAGCAGCAGCAGCAACCTCCAGCTGCCCAGCCATTACAGGCCTCCCACACAGGCGCTGGATTTGGCGGCTACACCCCTCAGCCGTTCCAAAGCCCAAGCCCTCTCTCTGCTATTCCACAGCACGAAACCGCCCCGTTCCAACGGCCCATGACAGCGGGTGCCACACCACGAGCTACCAATCCTTTCCGACAATCTATGCTTCCTACCGCAGAGAACTTATCTTCCTCTCAACTACAGTCTCCTTCGACATTGGCCATGAAGCGGCAATCTACCAACCCCTTTGCAAAACCACCTGCAATTCCCCCACAGTACCAAATTCCGAATCCAAACCAATACCCCATACCTTCATCGTCTCCACCCCCTTCACAACAACAGCAGCAACAGCCTCAGCCCCTTCAGCCTCAACGAACGGGAACAAACCCGTTTGCGCGGCCTCAGCCACAGCAAAGCCAGGATGCACTGCCCGCCCAACGTCTACTACCAACCCCAACCGGAAGCACAAATCCTTTCCGCCAAAGCACTTTGATGAACCAAGCCACAGGTCAAGGATGGCAGAACGTTCCCCAGGGGACAATGGGTGGGCTAGAGAAGCTAGAAACCATCCCTGTGTTCCCTCGGCCCGGTCAAATGGCATAACAGGGATTCCGAACTCATGTAACATTTCTCCATTACTCAGTCTTTTTTGTTGTTGGTTTTTTTATTCCCTTCCTTTTTAACTTCTTCACACACTCCATGCTCTGGCCGTTTGTTTTTCTTATTCGTTTATTTTGGGAACCCCTGAGCGTGCATCTACATGGGAGCTACATTTTACAAAAACCTGAGGGCGGAAAACAAAGTCATGTCCTGGAGACCGGCAAACAACCTCGGACGTTGTTTTTTCTCTACTTTCCCTATGACCATTGATATCATCTGTTCCTTTTCTTCTATTCGACAGCCTTCATGTTATCCTTTGCAGTTCTATAGATGTTTTATCTGCTTCCATGAGCTCTCAATATCCGAATAGCATTGTTAATTTTGACCATTCTTGACATGATCAGCAATCCATTTCACTATCTCCACTCGATATATGACTAAACGAAAATAATAGTAAAGATCAATAGATATTAATAGACTAAGCGACATGCTGCATGGTGTTCGGATTCTCAAGTCTTGTGATGTCAATATTTTTAGACCCCGCCAAGCAGTTTTTAGCGGTTTAGCAAAGTTGAACCGCAACACGATGTGTTGATTGTTTAATTCAACGTCAAATGCCACTAAACACAACATCTTCAACTTTATCTCGGAGAAAGAAAGACACCATCATCATTGCAATTAAATTATTATTAGGGAAAAGTACAGCAATTTATCCAGATTCAAGCCAAAACGGCTGGAATATTAAACTACCTCGCGCTCAGTCTTGACTCTCTGGTTGCCCATCCACGGCAGCCGTCCGAGAGGGAACTTGATAAAGCTGTTTTTTGGCTCTGCCATTCCAGAAAGAGCACAGTACCAGGCTAGCAAAGCTGCCAGAATACCAAAGAAGCCGCCGGTCTTGATGAGAGGTGCATAGGGCTTTCCAGGGGCGGATTCGAAAAAGTGGCCAACTCCAAGGAACAAGAATGCGAGATCGAGAGTAAAGAAAAGGGAGACGAAGGCGATGTTGGTCTTGAAGGTGCAGACGAGGCAGAGTGTGGTGAATATCCACCAAGACTGAATGAAGTTCATATTAGCACTGAGATGTATGTGGCTGTGAAGAGCAAGGATGGGAATATACCATTAGCCAGAAGCCGGTTACGTTGTTGACGCCAGTTATGCCGTTGACCTCCTTGATGTTTTGAATGATGTTGAAGCCGCCGGGAGTGAAGATAATGCCATAGGAGATCCAGAATCCACCGTATGAGGAGAGAGCAGTGGCTCCAAAGGTGTTTCCAATGGCCATTTCCCTATATTACGGTCAGTATCGAAAAAGGCAAGACAGACAGATGGTGGACGAGAAGACGATCTCAACTTACCACATGCCAGCGAGAAGCTGCACCAATCCACCATATCCAAAAGCCGAAGCAACGACAAGATGAGGCGCGGTGACGCCGCGAGCTTGCATGTTGATCAGACTAAGCACCATGGTGGTGAGAGCGAAGGCGGACAGTCCCAAGGGTCCAGGGTTTGCGATGGACGACTTGCTGGGCGCTGACGGTGCTGGTGCTGCGGATGGCTGGAATTTCCCAAACGCAGCCATACCGTTATTTCCGTTGGCCAGAGGACCATACCCATAACGGGCTGCGGCCTCTGCGACTTCTCGCTCTTCCACGGACATGCTCTTGAGAGAGCTATCGTGGGTTGCGGTTCTGCCAGCCACGTCCTTCTCGATATCGGAACTCATTGCGACGGACAGCTAAGTCAAGATTCCTGTATGGACGGTTAGTTTCTGAGTCGCATACTTCTTATTCCATCTTTTGCTCTTCGGTTATGGATGGCTAGATTTCCTTTACAGGAACGTACCTTTTTTGCCGATAAAGTAGCAGAAAGCAAGCACACGACCGACAAGCTATGAAGGAAGGAAAAAAGCAGGAAGAGAAGAGGAAGGATGAACGCAGCAGCGGGGAAACAGCGATGATTATAAACTATTTAAAAGGGCATGTATAGGTCTTACAGCTGGCTCTTTTTTGGGGGGGAAGGAGGGCCAGGGCGTCCGTACGAAGTACTTCCCGGCCCCCCAACACACCATGAGCTTCAATGTGCGGACTTGATACCGTCTTTCACGCAGGCTATTTTACGGAGTACGTACATACTATACAGCGAACATGCCCATGTCGATCTTTACCAGCTCCACCCAAATTATCCCTTGCATGGGGGTTTGATCTAATAATGGAGGGAGGCATCCTCCCTGTATCGGTAAGAGTACATCAGCACTCCCTGTCGAATATTTCAATTCCCACGCAACGCGCAGGAGCCTCGACATGCACTCTGTACGGAGTACGAAGGGTATGCACAATACCGGTACTTCCCAGTAACCGTTCTCCGTTCTTTGAGGTCTGTTCTCGCTCGTGGATCATCATTCGGGGTGTGATTTCGGAGCTCAAGAAAACTGTCTCCTCGCAGCTCATAGGCGCACATAGTTGTACGGGGTGACATGCTAGGGCCTGTTTCTACCCTGGCCACCAAACTCACAAGCTCGATACATGGGAGGACAAGGAGGCTGCGGGACCGGGGGATTGCCTCCCGTTTTGGGTAGTTCCCATTCCCAATTATTCGATCTTTTCAGCCTGCAGCCCGAGCTAGATCGACTCGCCTGGTTTCCGTCGTGTCGGCGCAGTAATGGTGAAACTTCACTTCAAAGCCTCAATATCGCAATATCTTCTGGGGAGAAGACGGTCTGGGTTACGCTCTTCTACTCATGGCTTTGTTTGCGTAAACAGAATACTTTCCTCGGTGCAAAGACCGATTTCTGGGGAATCTGGCTTTACGGTCGAGCAGCCGACGTGGATCTCCGATGCAACCATCAGACGGGCTAAATTCATCCGAGGCAATCGGGAAAGACCTTACGGAGTAGACCACGGAACAGACACCCACATGCACGATATATTCCAGCTACGTATAAAAGTGTTCAAGACACTGGAAAGAAGGGCAAAAGAAAGCTCGAGATGCTCACTTAACTGCCTACCCTGGATTACTCGGAAAGGGTCATAATATTTGACTAGTTATCTAATTAACTAGTTAAGCTTGCTTTCCCCTGTTTGAATGCTGGAGAACGGACAAGCCAGGGCCGGATGTTTGATCGAAAGAAAAAAAATTACAGGAAAAGAGCTTGAGGATGCAGTGCAACGATGTGACCTCGTATTTTCATATCGAATGGAACTTTCGCATGCATGCTATGGCTTGCTGAATGAAATATATTTAAATAATGTGACGGGGGGTGTGAAGAAGGAAGAAGGACCAATCCGACTTGCTGGAGTGTGCTGCAAGGAAGGGGAGGAAAAAGGAAGAAGCCTGCACCGGCTACGTGACTCGGGCAAGCATCTCCCCCGTCGAGCTTGACTCTAAATGTGTTTAATGCTGTCATCAGCTTAGCCGGTGGCTTGAAGACACGATTTCCGGTATATAATCCGTTTCACTATTTTATGATTTCTTGTTAGCGGGTTGGGTGGCGGACATCGCTCGCCTCCACATGGACAGACAGACGACAGACGAGGGTCAAGAGTTGGTTGGATTTAAGTCTCAACAAGTGGCGGGCTGGTTTTATTTGGCGAGAAATTGACCGTATAAAATGGAGATGTCAGATAAGGGATTCGAGAACAAACTGATGAACCTCACCATCGAGCTAATTCAGGGGAACAGAAGTCTAGGTCGGCCGTAAAGAAACAACTAAGCTAGTCAACCCAGCAACTCTACATTCCAAAAGGAAAGAAAAAGGAAAAGGAAAAGGAAAAGGAAAAACGAAGCTGCCAGCTGTTCTCGCTTGAGAAAGTTAGAGTAGTAAACATCGCTGCTGCATAAAATCGTGATGAGAAGACGGACGGCGCCTCTTTAGCATCGATCCTCCACCCCTAACGCTGGCGGTTGACTCAGGACAACAAGCTAGGCCTTCCATCTCCCTACGAAGATCCTCTTGATCATCGCGTTTTCGAGCTGCGTCGCCTTCCAGCCTCAGAATGAGACAGCGGAACCCGTTTGTATCGCTGTGCAGGACGCGCAATGCATGTGCGGATAGCTTGGAGTGTGTCTGCTGATAGGAATCGTCCACTCAATGATAAATCCAACAACACGGCCATCCTCAGTCCACTGGCTGCGGTGGTCTCGCCTTCAAAATATCCAATCTACCATCCCAACCTGGTAGGTTGGTTGCGCATATCTATCGAAATTTGGTGATTCAGTCGCATCACTAAATACCCCCTGCAAGTTGCTCTCCTACTTGAACATCCAGGTGGTCGACGTGTTGCCCAAGATAGGTGTGGGAGACACTAGGGAATGCGGTGCGCCGAGCACTTTGGATGCATAGCTGCCCAGTTTCTGGATCCTTGAAAAGGAGTGCATCGTTCTAGTCTCTGCTCGAGGAGATGAGAGCTTCGGCAGCAATGATGGTCCAAAACACAAGGCGTCTGGGCTGTGTATAACCCAGCGTTGATATTACCAATTTTCAGCCTCAGATAGCTTTAGGTTTGGCTGTCAAACATCGATCAATTTCTGCGTGGAGAATCTTTCATTCAACTGTTGCTTATTATTATTGAGCGGTGAAAGCTGGAGAGTCACATCCCTGCCTCACTCTTGGCTTAGTTACCAGTTAAGCGCTGATCTAACCAATACATCAAGGCTTATGTTTTATTGATGCCCTTCGTTACGTTGATTGTTTCTTTTTTTTTGGCATTTGGTTCAATCTACACGAATACTAAATTGCCGGGTCGAATCACCAAGAAGAAGACCCAAATTAATACTGCATATGGGGCTGGACGCAGTTTTAGGTTGAACCCCAAGCATGCTCAGCCGGCAGGAATTCAATGCCTGCAGATGATGAAACTACCAGCCGAGAGGAATTGCTAACACGACAGATAAGCTTCCGGTGAGTCGAGCACTCAAGCCGTGACTACGGCTCCTTAGCAATGCTTAGTTATACCCTCTTATTGTCTGTGTATGTTCCATTGCTCCTTTTAGTTATTGCTGTTGCTTGTGTCTTCTATCCATACTCTTACCACGCACTCTCAAATGTGACTTTCAAAGTGTTTCAGCCAAAAATGTTCTAATTGGTTCCAAGATAAAATCTCGGCCAGTTACTGGCTTACCACCTCTTGTGCATAATGCACAATGGTGTTGATAGTTCCATGGCTATCAATGCCCGCTGCCTGTCCGCGTACATAGTCGGTCAAGGTAGGCAGTATCTGGCGTTTGGGCTCTCTGGTGAAAATCGTCTGGAGACTTCTTACAGACAGTATGAGGTCTACCGGATTCCGACTGAGCCCCCAATTTATTAATTGCACCCGTTGGTCGAAGTAGGGGAAACTCGGGAGGTTCAGTGAAGCAGGGAAACACACGCCACAGCATATGCTCCATGGATATCTGGGAGCCATGGACACCAAAAGTCAAAAGAATTGGCTTGTTTAAACCAATAAAGGAAAAGAAGTGGTGGTCTTTGGAAGAGACGGAGAATCAATTGGTTGGATAGCCGTATAGCATTTTCAGTGGATTTAAAGTGTAGAGGTGGACTGATAGAACTAATCAATAATTAGGTGTGTTACTCTGTATCTGTCTCGCGAGCCAGATTCGTGCCCGAGTCCTTGGACCATTCAGTGATCAACCGTTCTGTGCGCATTCTATCCTCGTATTTAGGCCTCTCTTTCTCTTGTACGTGGATTCTCCAATTCTCACCGAACTTCCTTTTCCAAATTCTCTCTATATCCTGCGCAACTTGATCACCAATGTCCTTCCATGGGCCCCCTTCATCTAGATATGTAATGGGAACAATGTCTAAGCAATCCCCTGCCCAGACAGCATTGCAACCTTCAGGTGTTTCAGCCTCAGACTACACCGTCCTGGAGATAACAACCTCACCAAAGCTAATTGCATCGATGAAAGGGCCATGGATGTAGGCTTTGTCCAGGGCAGCTGCGGTAGGGCGAAGGAATTCACGAGGGGCCAAGTTCCGAAGAACCCATTCCTGATCCGTTGGATAGAATGAATGCGGCATCAGGTGTAGTACTTGATCTACGGCTGCTCGATATTTCGATGCTGGACCACTAGAACTAACCTTTCGCGATATATCAAGAAGCACTAAAAAGGGATGATAGGGACCGCGGTCAAAGGGTTGGTAGTATGTGGCGTCAGCTAGCTCATATAGATTGAGAGGCGATCACGCATAGGGTTTTAGATCGTACGGCAATTTATCCTCATAGCCCTTCGTATAATTCATCAAGATCCTCTGGGTGAAGTAGAGACGGAGGGTAAGTGATATCTCCACCAGCGGTTTCAAATTCATTGACACAGACGATAGGCTTCCTAGCCCAAGTGCCTAAGTCTGCCATAAGTCTCCGCACGACTACCGGCTTCGCTACTGCCCAGAGGCGGTAGCAGGTAAGGCTCAGAAAGAGGATCTCGTGCGTGAACGAGTCATAAATATTATAGAGAATCTCAACTGGCAGTTCAGCTAGCCTGGATCTAGTCGCTCCATCTCTTGGAGATGTGCTAGAGCCAGACGGCACAGAAGAGTTATCTGACTCCCAACGCCTTTTTTGTGGAATCGTTCCTCCTTGAACTGCAAGTCGGAGATTTTAGGGTCTATTGCTCGCGTCTTCCACAAGGGAATGTGGGAAGATGGGCCTGGCAAGGCTAGTAACGAGAGGATGTGTAGACACTTCGAAGAGTAAATCTCCCAACTTGCTCGTTGAGCTTCCCCAAGCGAAGAAGAGTTTTTCGCGAAGCTCAGGCACTACAAGGCCAAAATTTGGTTCTATTGTAAAGGGCATTGCATTGATTGATGGGCCAAACAGGAATTGGAACAAGTGGCCTGAATTATCCTGGTGTTGAATTGAGGGATTCACAACATCATTGCTTGCATAGGGAATGTTGATTAGCAAATCCGGCTGTGGTGTGTTTTCTGGAATAAGATGGAAATATGTATTTGATTGTATTTTGCCATCTGTGGAGCCATGGCATAACCGCACTTTATCAAATGGCGTTTAGATTGAGAGGCTGAGATTTAGGCTTCCAACAACATTGTTGCAGGATTGGTTAGTTACTAATAACGCTTGATGTGACATCATCAGGGTCATTTGAAACAAACTGTTATGATCCTCTGCGGTCTAATAACGCGGCAGCCTTTTGCAGCTGGCTATTGAATGATTTGACTTGATTCAATAAGCCGCCCTGTAAGTCGGAAGATGAAGAGCAAACATCCTGAGAAACAGTTCGTAGAAGAAACTCAAGGCCAACGAATGGATTGGTAGAGCCATTGGTGTCTTCTTTACCGGCGTTCTTTTGGCTCCTATCAACGGCCAGCTGGAGGTCGTGAAGGGCATTATTGATCGTCCCGTGTTCCTAGTAGACACCTAGTTAGAACCACTTCTCATACCTGAATCGGTTGAGTACCTTACCGTTTTGGCGCTTTCATCTGCAGAAAACCTCCTCCTGACTTCGTCTGCTTGAATAGCTATCTCCTCTCTCTCTTTTCGTATATCCATCAGCTGGTTTCTCAGGGCTAAAACCTCCCTCTTCTCCTTTTTCAGGCGCATTGCAAGCACATAATTACTGTCCAGTAGTTCGCTCATTTCAAATAGCCTGCCCTCCAGCTCCGCACCAAAGGCCTCCACGGCCTTGCGTTTCCGAGTCCATTCTACCTGACGAGCGCGATTTGACTCTCGCTCGATAGCAGATTCTAGTGTTGATAGTGTCTTTTCTAGTGTTTCACGGCATATCTGGCTGAGAACGTCAGCGGCATTCACGCCGCTACGAGATGGAATCTGTAGAGGATGCAAGGACGAATTCTGGGGTGACGGCTGCCGGCCATCCGCTGGAGTAGATCGAGTAGAAGTTTCTTCATCGGACCATTCCTGTAGAGCTGAGGTATTGGCAAGTCTATGGACTCGGACGGGGACAGTTGACCGTCCCTCACCCTTGGCTTTCTTCTGGCCAGCTTTTCCCTTTTGTGTAGGAGAGCTGGCCTCCTGGTCCCCCGTCTTTCGTTTTTTTGTACGCTTCGGTGCTGTGGCTCTATTCCCTGGGCTATCTTGTCCCCTAGCCGAGTTTTCCTCTCTTTGAACAACTTCTGGCTCGATAGACTGAGCTTCGACATCTTGAGCTTCGGGTGTTGGTAAGTGGCTTTCTGACTCTGAGCCGCCCCCATCATCTTCGACTGCCGGGTTGGCATCTGCTAGAGTACCATTGCCTTCGCCGTCTTCAGCTTGCTCCGATATCTCCTCTGCCTGTTCCTCAATAATTGGGAGAGATGGTTCTCGAGGTGAGTCCGTAGGTTCATCGCCTTGAACGCTGGGGCCATTTGGCGGAACTGAATCGCCTCGATCCAACCCTGCATCTGGAGTCGAGTCCTTGGGAGGAGATTGCAGTTGCTCACTTCCATCCTCAGCTTCAACCTCGTGACTCTCGGGGACTACAGGCGGTTTCAGTAAGCTCTTGCGTTTCTTCTTCGGATGCTGAACTACTGATTTCCTCTTTCGTCGCCTCTGCTTTGCTCCGGCTGGCTGCTTCTGAGTTATATTGAGTGCTTGGATATCGTTATCCTGGCTTCCAGCTCTAAGGGAGGGCGATGCGGAAACCGAAAATTCGACAGAAGGTCTTATGGTCTGTAAAGGCGGTGTATTTCTTATGGGGGATCCAGCAGGTGACGCTGTCCGCCTGGTTAATGAGGACCTGTCTGCCTGCTTGTCTGCTACTTCAGGCTTAAGTTGCGGCGGTTGGCGCACACTCGCGCGGTGTGCAGTGGGTGAGCTCTCTGGGCCTGAACTTTCAAATGATTTGCCTGTATTCACTCCCCATCAGCGACTGCATGTAGACTAATAATATGGCAGGTGTAGGTAAGCCTTACTTATCCGTCTCCGCTTTGCGCTCCTCTCCTCTGGCCCGTCATCATCCGGCGGGATATCATATATTGATCCATCCTGTGGTTTCTGCGCAGAGCTACGGATTACTGAGCGCCTGCTAGATGCTCGAGATGGTATTGAAAGTTGTTTGTTTGAGGTTATAGAGTGACGCGACTGTGGTGTTATCGGGGGCTTCTCAGGAAGCGCTGGCGGAGATTTAGGCGGAGGAACCGGGGATGGAGGAGCTGGGGATCCAAAGGAAAAACTGAAATTGACGTCCTTGACTTTGTGATTGCTATGATAAAAGCAGGTATCAATCAGCAATCGGTTCTATTATCCGCAATGACAGGTTTATACGCGTGTCTAACGGTGGACATACCCTGCGCCGCGCAGTCGCATCTGCTTTCGCTCCTCACGGCCTAATTGGGTGTCAGTAAAGAGCAAACCAGTATCTCGCAGAAATCTATGACTTACTCGGTGCTGTCGCCATCCTCCTACATCTCTATCCGTAGACGTTGCAGGTCAATCATGAATGGACGACGCGGCTCTAGTGTTAAAGATGTAAATAGAATGCGATCCTTGGCGTGTTGGCAATTTGAACGTCGACCAAAAAAAAGTCGATCAAAGTAATCAAAGCTCACGATATTTGAACACGAAGAACAAACAAAGCGAATACCACAAATTATCTATATACAGAGACGAGACTGCCAACAGAATCAATGGGCTGGTTTTGGGGCAAATCTTCGCCCGACGCGGACCCGACGAAGAATCTGGATCCCAGCCTGCGAGAGTACCTTGAACAGGAGTCGCCGTCCAAATATACGCCTACAGCAGCTGGCATATGGCCGCAGCAACAGACGCAATCGCAAGAGAAGAAGACTACAGAGTCATCTAGCTCGCAAGATCGAACTACCGAAGCTACGAGTTCTGTCCCCTCTGCTTCGCTTTTCCCAGACGGACGATATGCACACCTATGGAAGGATTACAAGACACTCGAAGAGATCGAGGGGCCCAATGTCTCACCGGCGGAGAAGGTAGTCGAGCAGTTTAAGCAACGAAAGGACGTGCTGAATAGGGCTGCTTTGGAGAATTGTTCGGAGGAGCATGAGGATCTATCATTGTGCTTCAAGAAGGGGACGTTTTCCGACAAGGTCAAGGCTAGGTTGACCATGTGTGGGGAGCAGAATGCGCGCTTTTCAAGGTGTTATACTATGCAGTCTGTGAGTATAAATGGAGTTACTCTTTGATTCTCTGTGTGTGGCTTTGAGAGAGGAGTGTACTATATTGCGGGTGCTGATGGCTCTCTAGAAATTCCTCCAGGCTCTAGGATATGGTTCCTCGTTTGTATGGGATATGGAAAAGGAAGAACGGATCCAGATGCATGCGGACAGACTATACCATCGTATGTTGGACTACGAGAGAAGGGTGGCTGAAGCAAAAGAAGAAGGCCGTGAGCCTCCCCATCCAAAATCACTGTTCAAGTCAGAAGCAGAGATAGCAGCGTCCCAAGAGACTACTAGCCAGCCGGACGACGAATGTCTCATACCGGGTGGAGAGGGTCTGCCGGCTGGTGCGATGCCATATAAGCCGCTGAAGGAGATGACGCCACACGAGCGCGAGCTGGAGGTGCAGTCTTTGAAACAGCAGATGGTTCAACGAGATATATACATGAAGGAGGTGACCCCGGTGCTAAGGGCCGAAGAGGCTGCGAAGAACAAACGGAGAGAGAAGTTCACCAGCTGGTTTGGAGAGACCATCGGGAACTGGCTAGCATGATTGATATACTGCAGGCTGCATCTGAAAACCACTACCACCGTCCACCTGTTGAAAGCTTTCTCTGTCACCCCTTGGCTTAACAAATCTTTGATGGCCTTCTACTTATTAGTAGGAACACGCCGTTTAACGACCACGGCTACGCCATTTGATGCTCAAGACCTTGCCTCCATATGAGCACCGGCACAGCGTAGGCTCGCTAATATGGCTCGCTATTCTCAGCACCACCAGAAACCACAAACCGCGCAGGAATTGGCCCCTGGGCGTCATATCACACCAAATGCAACAGAGCTCTTTGGGAGAACTACAACATAATTAAGGGAGGGTAAGCAGGACCGAAAGATTGATTAATGTAGTTCAGAATAGTATCAACATGAGTAGCCGTGGCTTTGAAATAGCATTAACCTAGGATGAAAGTGACTGAGCAAGAGTGAACACTGGATGAAGTCAGTATTTTATATCTTTGACTCGCGACTATAACTTGACTCTCTCTCTCTCTGTATATATATCTGTCAAATATCAAACAACCATCAATCATGGTCTCTTCCCAGCCAACGAAACCTCCTACAAACTCCAACGCAGCGTCTGTTAAACCTCGCCCAAAGAGAGATTCCAAGCTCCTGTCACAGCTTAACTTCGAATCTGATCAAGCCCACTCTGATGATATGAGTAAAGAGGAGCAGGCAGGATAAATCTCGGCTGTGACAAGGCCGGCTGTCAATCCACGCCTGCTAAGTCTGCTGCTAGTCGCTGCTAGCGCTCTCAAGCTCTCAAGACCTCAAGTCCCACACCCTGGGACTTCAAAGGAGCTCCATTGACTCGGTGTCTGTCGATCTGTCGATATTCCTTAAGCACCTGCTCAACATGGAGTAGGCAATACGCGATACTCCACTGCAAAATGAAACCGAAGCTCTTGAGAATCGCCTTTTTTTTATTTATTTGAAACAACAAGAATCCATCACTGCTTCTTAACCAGTTATACATGGGTTCCGGTGAGTACGGGGTATTTTCTTCCAGGGTTGACAGGACCAAACTAACTATACGGAATACGCATAAAGACTATGGTTAGCTATCCAATCCGGGAGCTTGCGGTTCAACTAGTGAATGGCAAAGTCGAATGGGATACGGCAGCACATATAGATCCCCTGGAGTAATCGAGGAGAGAGACGGGCTTGACGAACCCTGTGCCATTTTCAGTGGATATGGTGACTTTTATAACTATCCCAGTTTAACTGTCATCGGTCCATATGCAGATTCAGTGCGACAGAAGGCAGGCCAGGGCTGTATTCCATGTGAGAATACACTGACTGCCTGACAAGACATGGAAAGCTTCTGTTGATGGCTTCGGCTTCCTCAGTTTTACAAAAGCTGGAAGAGTTGAAGAGAATAGCCGTATATCACAGATATAACTCATCCTGCTGGCCACGGATCACTCTGAGGTATTCATGCTGATGTTATTATCCATTATTACTACCGTTAACTGCCATCCTCTAGGCAGCTACTACAAACAGAAAAAGGAGCATTGAAACACGCTGGACACCCGTGAACCGCATCACGTCAGGAGCTTGCATGAGAGCTGGTCGAGTTCTCTATGGCTGCCGTCCAATCATGGCGGTTATATAGCATATTATATGGCATTCCTGTCCGTAGAACAAACACGGCTCCGCGTCGTGATGCGTCTTCCGTCCACTCAGGCTCCATGTCGTCTTCCCCCCTTTGTTGTTTCCTGCATGAAAAGGCAGCTAGTTAGCTAAACAGAATAGATAAAACAGAGGCGCCCTCGAGGGCCGTGGATTTGTTTGTCTGAGAGGGAAGAGAGAATCTCTCTCTATATACATATGTATCTATCAGAATAAATAAACAACAGCTAAACAGCCGGTGGTGGTGGCTAACCTTGACTAGCTGTGTCGCTGTAGTTGTAGCAACTACGCCGACTTCCTACAACTTCTTGCTCTCTCTCTACTAAGTCAAGTCAACTAACAAACAACCGCTTTCGTCTTGCTCCCTCGCAGCCCCCTTCGTCTCCGTCGCCAGCCTTCGCCCTCGGCTGTGCCCTCGATTCGCTGAGCCAGCAGCCTCTTCGACCTGGATCCGATCTGCCCTGACCAGCTAGTTCCGCTACCTACATACCTACGTCGCCGTCGCTTCGATGCTTCCTCTCGCCGTAGTGTTTTGACTTCACACACCCCGGATATTCGACCAGAGCTCTTCGTCTCTCGCTGCCAACGAGCATTTTTCTTGGATAGCTAGACGTCTCGGCTGGAATAAATAGCAAGCGGATCGTGAAGCTACGGCGCCAGTCGACAGTCGACAGACGCTCTAGTTAGTTGTGACCTGGATACTGGCAGCAGGGGCACTTCCGGCTCTTTTTGGTCGGCCCTTTGTGGCTGTCAATAAACCGCTACGATGAAGGCCACCCCTCTGCTGATTGCCTGGCACGATGACAATGCCCCTATCTACTCGGTGCACTTTGACCCTCATGGCAAGGGCCGACTAGCAACCGCTGGGAAGTACGTTTGTTTTCCAAAAGAAAAGGCTGATACAGGCTGCTGCGTGGTAATGGTTAACTAACCGGCTGATAAAAAATAGTGATAACAATGTTCGCGTACGGCTAAGCTGCTCTTCCCTTATATCCCCCCTCCTTCGCTTCTTCGTTTCTCAAGGAGCTTCCAATTCCTCATGATTCTGACAAATGGATAGCTGTGGAAGGTCGAGTCGACGGGAGAAGAGCGCAAGGTTACCTACCTAAGCACTCTGATCAAGCATACGCAGGCCGTCAATGTTGTCCGCTTCTGCCCCAAAGGTATTTTTCTGTTCATTTTCTCCCTCCCTTTTCGGATATATGTTTTAGATTCCAATTAGAAGCTGAGACTGGTGTAGGAGAGATGCTGGCATCTGCCGGAGACGATGGCAACGTCCTTCTCTGGGTTCCATCCGAGACACAAACACAGCCGGGGTTTGGACAGGAAGCATTGGACGATAAGGAAACATGGCGAGTAAAGCACATGTGTAGGTCGTCGGGAGCAGAGATATACGACCTAGCATGGTCTCCAGACGGTGTCTTCATCATCACGGGCAGCATGGACAACATTGCTCGGATCTACAATGCTCAGACAGGTACTGGCTATTTACACTTATCCGTGGCTTTTGGGGAGAGGATCCAAATTCTAACAGCTTCTTATAGGCCAAATGGTTCGACAGATTGCTGAACACTCTCACTACGTACAAGGTGTTGCCTGGGACCCTTTGAATGAGTACGTGGCAACACAATCTTCCGATCGATCGGTGCATATATACGCTCTCAAGACAAAAGACGGCCAGTTCACCTTGACAACGCATGGAAAGTTCCTGAAGATGGACTTACCCGCGAAACGGGTAGCTTCAAGCAGCCCGGTGCCTGACTTTGGCGGGAACCGAGTTCAATCAACCTCAGGGAACCCCATGACTGTGTCCTCCCCCGGCGCTTCAACCCCGGGCACTCCATTGACGGCTCCCTTGCCTATGGATCCTCCACCTGTCTCGCTCAGTCGCCGTTCCTCGTTTGGCTCCTCACCATCAATCCGCAGGTCAGCATCGCCAGCACCTTCTATGCCATTACCTGCTGTGAAGCCTCTCGAAGCTGCTTCCCCGGGACTCTTCGGCGGAATAGGTGTAAAGAATGCTAGCATTTATGCCAACGAGACCTTCAACTCTTTCTTCAGGCGTTTGACATTTGCCCCAGATGGTAGCTTGCTATTCACGCCTGCCGGACAGTACAAGGTCTCCCTTGCCGGTCAGAACGATAAGGTTGTGGAGGATATAATTAACACAGTATATGTCTATACCCGCGCCGGTTTCAACAAGCCACCAATAGCACATCTCCCAGGACACAAGAAGCCGTCTGTTGCAGTTAAATGTTCTCCAGTATACTATACATTGAGGCAAGGCACCAAACCTACTCGCCAGATCTTTCTGGATTCCTCATCCGCTGAAGAGGCATTCCCGCCTCTCCCGGACTCTGTCATCTCCCAGCCAGCTATGGAACCTCCATTAAGCGCACCGCCATCGGCTACTAGCGAGACTCCACGTCCTTTTCCTCAGTCGGGAGCAAATGAAAGTGACACTGGGTCACAGAATTCCCCAATTCCACCGGTATTTGCGTTGCCGTATCGGATGGTCTACGCTGTTGCAACTCAAGACGCAGTTCTAGTATATGATACGCAGCAGCAGACACCGCTTTGTGTAGTAAATAACCTGCACTTTGCTACCTTTACCGATCTTTCCTGGTAGGTCTTTCGATCTGTACCCTATTGCAAAGCCTCTTGATACTAACTGAAATATCAGGTCCCATGATGGGCTTACTCTCATAATGAGCTCCTCTGATGGGTTCTGCTCATCTCTCTCCTTTTCACCCGGAGAGCTAGGCCAGATTCACACCATAGAAAAGCCGCACCCGATTTCCTCCAATGTGGGGACACCGTCAACTGCTCCCGCTGTACAATCGCCCATATTGTCTTCTCCACGCAAAAATTCCGCAGGCAAGGCATCTTTAGCGGCAATCGGAACGCCGGCGCCAACCCCAACCGCAGTCCCTGCTCGTGCAGCTAGCTCCGGTCCAGCCACACCTTCCTCGTCAACTTCCAAGGCAGCCGCCGTAGTAAATAACCCGACTCCTATCCTTGGCACTGTACCCTCGGTGACCGCCACGAACTCTAGCCAGCCATTTAGCACGCCACCGGAAACCCCCATGTCATCCCATAGCGCTACCAATTCTATTAGCGGAAGTGTCCTGGGGAAGCGAGATCTGAGCACGGTGAGCGAATCCGAGAAAGAGGATTCTCACGACAAGGATGAAGAAGACCAAACAGGAAACAAAACCGCCCATCGAGAGCCAAAGAGAAAGCGAATCGCACCGACCCTTATTTCTCCTGCAAGCTCAGGGATGCCAAACTCAGAGGATTCCAGTAAACCATCCAGCTAAGATATTTGAACGGGCCAGCCATCAAAGTGTTGTGCTCTCTACCAAATATGGGGGGGGGGAAATAAGACGAGGCCACCTGTCTTGGCCTCCAATACCCCGACAACCTCCTGGCTCCTTAATTGGTCCCTTTCTAACCAACTCCATGCATTACGTTCTACTATTCTGTGTTATCTTTGATGTCCTTTCCCCTGCTTCTTCTTCGCTTTGTACATATGAGGGTCACCCTGTCTCACCCCAGCCTGTTTTTCGTTTTGTTTTTTTGCTCCCTTTTCTTCCTCTCTTATCCCTACGTTACGGCTCCCTTTTTCCTCGTCATTATCCAGAGTGCTTGAAACTGGCATTACAAGTCTCATTTATCTTACTTCCATATCATAATCCCTATTACCGATGATATATCTTGTTTGGAGAAAGTTCCTCTATTCTTCCCCTTTCCTCTTTTTACTGCCCTGTTTGATTATGGTGATGCTCTGTTTTATCTTTATCCTTTCTGTTACCATTCTTAGTCTTATTCTCATGTATCTCCCTTCATCTGCTGTCTTGAACTAATCCATTTTGCAGCGGAAACAGATGGATGGCTGCCGTCCTCTGCAGGGATTGGAACTGCTACCGTTGGATTTTTATGTAGGAAAGCTGCAGCCTCGGGCTTTTCGCCGCAGGTTAGGTTATCTTAGTTAATGCTATTAACGTATTATTTGATATGAATGTATGTATGTCTGTCTTTACGGGCTATATCTACTGAACGGTGTAATTGATATTTGATAGAAAAACGGTAAAAAGCAACAGAGGCCTATTGTTCCACGTGGAATTATCATTGCGTCTGCGTCTGCATCAAAAGAAACGATGTGCAAGAAGGAAGAGGATAAGAGATCGTTTCCTTTTTTGTGTATAAAACTGCATCGGGGATGAAAGAGAAGTAGAGATAATGATATTAATTGTAAGGTATAAACTCGACACTATGTGAAATGGATAAGGAGAAAACACAGAAACGCGGTCATGATAAAGTAGAACATAGTAACTGAAATCTCATTGAGCACGTCAAAGAGCAAAAAGAAAAAGCCATGGGGAACCTTAATGGATGCGAATATTACAGTCCCTTCCCGTCTGACACCGACTATCATTGTATCATATAAACAGATAAAGCCGGGCAAAGCGTTAAGAAAAGAAAGAAAAAGAAGTGTCAAGTCGCTACAAGAAATACAACATCAAGTATCCTCCCGGTCTGTCTTGTGCATGTAGATACGTCCAATAATTACAGGGAAAGAGGAGGCGAAACGTAGGATCCTAGGAAGCGTGGAAGAGCCGGAAATGGTGCGCTGCGAAGACACCTGGACCTGGAAAAGAGCGAGGCTTGCGGAATCGTTAATGATTGGCTGGGCTGGCATTCTTGTTCGGATTCATGGGAGGCTTGCGAGTCATGCGGGTGTCTTTGTTGGCCCAAGACAGCATGGCATCGCATGGCATCTCACGGCATGGCATGGGTTATTGTCCTAGCCATGGCATATGGATTAGCTGAGTTGGGATGAAAGCGGTGTGTGGCATCCATGGCAGCATCGGTCTCAGTTATCCATCCTGCTTTAGCTCGCGTTTTTGTTAAAGCAGGCGCACGCAATATATACCCAACTCTCGATAAGTGGTTTGTAGCACGAGGAAAAAAAATGCGCAAGGCTGAAAATGGCCAGCAAGTAGACGACGGAAATAAGAAGCGTCTGGGTCTTGAATTTCTTTTCTTTTTTTCTCTCGCACGACAGGTTAAGAGTAGATCTTTAGCGGGTGTGAATAACAGGTAGGGTATCCTAGATAACTCTCAATAACTCTGGGCCGAAACCATAGCCGGCTGGAAGCAACAGGTTAGCATTTATATCACGGATAGAGATGGTCGTAGTAAAAAAACAAGTTGAGCAGTCGACGGGAAGGAAGCGCAGGAACTTACTGGACTGTTAAGGACGTTGTTTCTCTTATTTCTACCCTTCTTTATGTGGTTCTTTAGAGCACTTGAATCAAGAGGCTTGAGTAGTTCGAAACTGCAGAGGAGCTCGTCAGAGACAGACATAATGGCACCCCAATTGTCAAATGCGCCGCAATACTATGAAAAGTGGTTAGACGATGGTAACGTAATGATAGCGGGAGGAAGGAGAGCTTACATTAGGAGCAGAAAAAACGGTGACAAGAATGCGATCATTAAAGAACTCATAGCCATCCTCGACAACCATGTGTGCGCGACACACAAGATCGAAATCATGTCTCTGCAAGAATTCCATGATCACCTTTTTACCAAAGCAATAACTTACGCCTCGTTCGTTAGGCTCCCAGTCCTCTTCCATTTCGGCTGGATCGCTCCATAGTAGATCATTCAATAGTCCATAGTCAGGAACGTCCGTTGGTCGGGCGATGCCACGAATATCGTCCATGTGAGACAGGCTGGGAGACAGGCCACCGTGAACACAGAATATCTTTCCAGCAACGATAGCGGCGATGGGAAGGCAATTGAACGTATCGACGAATGTTTTCCAAATCTTGATATTACATCGTCGCTTGCACTCATCGTAAAACCCATAGACACGTGTAACATTGGCGCATTCATGGTTTCCGCGTAGTAGGAAAAAGTTCTCAGGGTATTTAAGCTTGTAGCAGAGCAGGAGGAGAATGGTCTCTAGGGACTGCTTTCCTCTGTCGACATAGTCACCGAGGAAAAGGTAGTTGGAATTAGGAGGGAATCCGCACATCTCGAAAAGTCGGATCAGGTCGGTGTATTGGCCATGAACATCGCCGACGATCTTCACCGGCGCAGAGAGTTCGAGTAAGGCTGGTTGTGTCAGTAGAAGTTCACGAGCAGCGGTGCAGACAGCAATGATCTCGGCGTTTTTTAGGCACACAGCCTTTGTGACTTTGGTAGAATATCCGGCATCAAGGAGCCGTGTGATCATGTCGTCAACATCGATGGATTTGAGCGCCCCAATGGTCATGCCGGGAGATCCGTTGGTTCCGTTCTGGTCTACTATCGACCTGGCGCCAGACTCAGTCAAGACTGGGTTAAGGGAGTTCTCTCTCTTGATCAGGATGGACTCGCCAGCCTTTTGAGCAACGGTCGTAGGAGCAACATGTTGAGGGCCAGTATCGGACACGTGGTCAACTTCTCCAGACTTCTGTGCGGCCTTGACGTCTTTGTGGCCACGGCCTATCGATGAAGAGTGCGGAGGAGAGGGTGGTGGCTTTGGTGCTTCATCCCGCAAGTCGTCCTGTGAGTTGATGGGCTGAATGGGCATAGAAGAGCCAGAGAGATTGCGGGCATGCCGCGAAATGGAAGAGCGAGCAAAGGCAGATTCTAACCCTTCCGGGGGAGCGCTGTCTGAGCGCGCAAGGGTTCCATTAGAAGCTCTCGGGCTGTCTGACTTATCACCCCTCCCACTTCCTGGTATCTTGGAACGAATCGAGCCACGGATGGAACGGCTAGAGTCCTTTGTGTCGGACTTCGAAATCGAGGGATACGCTTGCAGCCCTTCGACCTGTAGCGATCCCCCGTTCGACCGTGACGCATTCTTCGATTGCTGCTGTCCCATGCTTACAGAGGGTTTGCTGTTGTCCTTGTCTGTGTTCTGCCTTGCCTTGGTTTTGGCTCGTTTCTTTCCCCTTCGTTATTTTTCTTTTGCTGTTTTCGGGCTCGAAGGGATGGCCCCGTTAGGGTGGCTCGAAGAGGGTGGAGAGGAAGCAGAGGAAACTAGCCTCTACAAATGAGGTGGTGTGCGACAGTATCTTGCAGGACTTGACGGTAGACGCAAGGCGGTCGTCTAAGTTGTTGTGAGGAGGAGGAGCACGGCGACGGTGAAATGGCTCCAGGTTCGTAGATTTAACCGGCTCGTCTAAGCAAGGATGAAAACAGTGCGAAGGCAGGAGAACGAAACGCCTTTTGACGGGGGTGGCAGGGTCAGGATCTGGGCACTATAGGATTTTCCAGCGGTATCTACGGGTAGTGGCGAGTTAGTTTCAGGTCCACAAAGAAGCAACCAGCGTCTCTGGCAGGCGATCCGTGGACAACACCGCGCCGGTAGACAGCAGGACACCCCTAGATTGATTCCCAATAGTCCTGTGTATGGTACGCACCTATGTGAAGGCGAGAATAGAGGGAGGAGGGGTGGTGGCTGGTGGTTGGTGGTGGAGGAGCCTGGGAGATAAGGGACTCAAGCTGCGCAGGGGCAAAGCTGCAGACCGACTTGCGGGTAGAGAAGGGTCCTAAGGAGTGTCCGCAGACATTAGACGTAGCAACACACAGAGTCCGCAGCGAGTTTCTTCCTCTCTTCTTCGTCGTCGTCGTCGTCTTTCTTTTCGTGAAGCTGGACGGGGTGGCTTGCTGGCGGGCGTTTGGGCGGATGGCTTGGACGGAGGTGAAGACAAGAAGTTCGGCGATGGTTTTTCCCTTTTAAGATAAAGTCGAGATGCGGGAGAAAAAAAGGCAAAAAAAAAAAGGCGGACAGGCCGGCGTCGGAACTTCGTTTTGCCGAAGCGCGCGTGGCGAGGTTATTTTGACCTTGACGAGACCGAGACGAGACGATATAGATGGAGATGAAGATGAGATGGTGAGAAGAAGAAGACAGTGACAGTGACAGTGATAGCGGTGGTGGTGGTGGTGACGGCGGGGAGCTGGTCAAGACGGCGTCAGCCTTATGGCGTCGGTCTCACAGCGTCAGGGCCTGCAGCAGCGGCGTGGGAGTACAGCAGTACACAGAGCAAGGGCAGGTTGCTAGTTGCTATATAAGCCTGTTGCTGACTCTGCTCGCGAAAAGCACGAAATACGGACGGACGCCTGTCCTTTGGCCTGGAAGTTCGATAAGCAGATATATATACTTACTCCGTCTATCAGTTGTCTCGTGTACGGTGTATCAGAAGCTGCTTGAGCTCCATGTTGTTGCTGATGCCGACGATCCAAAAGCAATATACGTGCCCCCCAAACCAGTTCGTCCAATGTGATGCTCGCTTACCGTCCCGAAGTGCGAATCACAGTGGACGCTAACTCTCGGTTTCATCAAATGGCCTGTTGTCGCTGAGGCCTGGCCAGGACTAGTCCAACAACGGTTGCAGATCCACGGCGAGGGTCACTGTCCCTCCACGATAACTGGACATCTGGGGCGTGTTCCCGCGAAGTTTATCGTTCCGGCTGGACAGACGAAAAAGGCGAAGATGGCTCAAGCCGTATATGTATGGAGTATCGTGTGCATTTTCCGATATCGTTCAGTCTAAATATATTCGATTACTACTCCGTACACCCCGCCATACACCGTTCGTTGCGGATAATATATTCGCCACATATCTATATGCGGGTCGATATCGTGGCAGCCTCCCTTGGTGTGACCTGAGCGTTCAAGCAGACAGACAAGAAAAAAGAACATCTCTCCGCGGACTGGGCGTGCAGAGAAGCTCACGCACTCCAGGTTGCGGATTTAGGCTGTGCGTAGCTATATCGGATGCACCCTATGTTCCAGCCCAGCAGTCCTGCGGAACGTGGTTCCTGCTGATCGGGTCCTCCATGCTGTTTCTTTTTTCCTTTTTTTTTCTCCCCCATCTTTCCCTCTGACAATAATTTCCCCTACTCTTCCCGCCCCTTTTTTTCCCCCAGCTGCACGTCAAGGCGCACATAACACCCCAGTCCAACTTGCTTGGCTTTTTATGCACCTGTGTGATTTAACCCACTTCGCCGCTGTCGGAGAGAGGAAAGCGGGCGTAAAAAAGTGCCTCTCGAAGTGGCCTCTCTTGTTGCATCTTCAAGGCTGGAATACCGGCTGTCACCCTCAGCCACTTTGTGCACCTCTTGTAGATTGATCAAGCTCGATCTTTGTGATGTGCTGGCCCGGGATCACAACCAGTCCAATGAACCGCCGGGACATGTCAGCCGTGAGATCAAGTGGTTCGTTGCTGGCTCCCTTAGGGCCCTCTGTCTCTTCTGAAGAGACTTGCTCAGCAAGAGCTGGCTCAGTTGGGCAGCGATACTCATGCGTGGTGCTCAGTATCATATTTCGTTCCTATAGATAACATAATATCCAGAGTTTAATCATCCGCAAGTCCCAATGTCGAACCTGAGGCATATCACCTACGTTATCTGTGCATTTGAACAAACCTACGAACACTCGCGAGTCCGAGGTGTGTACACGGAGGACCTTGTCCACCAAGCTCTCAAGGTACTCCCGCGCTTCGTCTCTCTCCATTGCTGCCCGCTGTGTCAGAAATGGAGTACTCCTTGACCAACTACTCTTTGCGGTCGTTGTCAGCGTTTGCCGAGTTTGACTTGCCCTCCGTGTTGTTTTCTGATAACCTTGGGGCTTCAATCAGTCACGTGGAGGGCAGTTGATCTAATGCAATAGCTTAACTAGTGACGTACCTTGGGCATAAAATTATGCATAGGGGGGTAACTGATACTTCATTGCCTTTAAGCAGTACTCCGTAACAACGACAACAGTGGAAAGCGGAGAAGAAAGTTGATAGACAAGTAGCCTGGGGTAAACCGCATGTATAGAGACTTGCACCCCTTTTAAGATTGATGGGTTTGACCAGGGAAAGATGCTTAATCTACTGCATGTTTGCTTAGCATCCGTCATCGTCACTATGTACAAACTTCCCACATTTCCATCCCAACACCGCAGAGAACAAGGTGCTCCCTGTCTGCCCCGTTGGCGTGCGCCGTGAATTGATCTATCGCAGACAGATCGGCTACGGCGGTGTACACATCGCCCTGCAGAGATGCCCGCACACCCCCGTCTATGCAATCAGCCGATGCAGACCATAGTTTGATCCTTTGGTCGTTCCCGCTTGAAGCGACAAGGAAATTGGCCGTCTTTCCATCCACTCCATGGTCAATAGGCCGCACCTGGGTGATGGCATTAATTGCCGACGCATGCGCATTCGGATATGAAGCCGTTGTGAAGCGGCTTATAAGGTTCGGATGAGGTTCGGAGGCTGAAGAGCCTGCGAATTCAAGGGTCGAAAAGGCGAGGCAGTTGTCATCTCCGCCAGTGATGAGCAGGACTTGCGTATCTGATAGCGAGAGCAGCTCCATTGCCTTTATGCTACTTTGGTGTGCGGGTCTGCGATCTTCCCATTTGATCGACGCCGGCTCGGCAGGTAGCGGTACAGCATCCCTGCGCTTGATAGATCTGCCGCCAAAATCAAAATATGGCTTCATCGATGGTGTTAAATCCCAAACTGCAATGTGTCCATCTGTCGAGCCTGTGACAAGATGCAGCTCACAACCCGATATCACCAGCCGGATTTGTGTAAGGCAGTTGCTTGTATATAACCCCTGCGCTAGGAGCGTGAACTCCCCACCTTCTGTAGATGACGAGTAGTGGAACACCTATGGGTGCCCTTTGTTAATATGATGTCACAGAGGCATTCAGAGGTAGATTGGATGATGTTTCGCTAGCTTACCTTTGCAGTCGAATTAGAGTACGCCATGGCGATCAAGAATGATTCGCGCGCACAATCATCCCTTGCAAGGCTGATAATATCGAAATGTGTTGTCCGTAGATCAGAATTCGCCCGTGACTTGGGTGCTTCACCTTCATTCAAAACACCGATGCCAAATCCAGGTATCCATCTAATTCTCCAGACATAGAACTCCTCCCTCCCGGCACTGCTGAACAAGAAATTGCCGTTAGTCGACCACTGGAGATGCTGCAAACCTGCACTATGCTTCTTGATGGCTCGTATAGAACGAAAGCCACCTTCCCCTTCTTCCCCTTTGTTAAGCGTAAAAAAACGAATTTCGGTATCTTCCGCGCCGGTTGCAAGTACCGTCCATGGGGTCTTTGTGCTATCAACTTGCATTTTGGAAATTGACATGGCTTTGATTTCCCTACCATGCCCGCCTTGTCGTACACGGCGATGGCATTGAAATTGCTCTGACATAACGTTAAAAGTTGATGCTTTAATCCACAGAAGCATATGGCCCATATTTCCAAAGTGATATGCCCATCGTCTATGAGCACCTCCACAATCTACTGAAAATATCTCAGCCTGAATTGTCTCATTCCACAAAACAAAATATGTGCTTCGGAATCCCCATAATATCAGGTGTCCCGTCTCAGGATCCAGCCTGGACCCCTCAATATACTGTCCGAATGGCGGATTCGTTCGGTGAAGGATTTCTATCGTGAGCTGAGCACCCGACCTATTAAGTCGATGAATGCAGTAGGTTCCATCCCTTCCGGTTGTAATGAGATCCACAAAATTTGAATTTCGGTCTTCCCGCAAGTATGTAATGGATGTAACTGCATCTCTCTTGTGGATTGGAAAGTCGCATAGTGGATCATCTGCCACCTCTCCCTGCATTTCAGAGCTAAAACGAAACACCACCATGTTCCCCAACCTAGCACCCAGGACCAGAACTGACATGGAGGGGACTGAAAGTGCGCTTGAGACCACAAATTCCGCAGGCAAGGCAAGTTGCTGTTTTGCAAGGATTTTGGGAGATGGTGAAGAGTCAACAATAAAGAGGTTGGCGTGCGAAATTGCTCTGGAGCTAGTTATAAACGCAATAGGGGAGGTGCCAGTATCATCATACCCCTTGGGTGTCTGGACGATGAAGATATCAGATATGCCTCGACCTATATCTGCCAGGACCTCCATACATCTCCTGCTGTGATCGTACCACAATATTCGCCCCGTGCTCGTGCCTATTAGCCCAATCCCTCTCTTAGGGATTCCAGATATTGCCCCGTAGGAACCTATTCCCTCAACAGTAGGAATTGTACTCCAATTTATTACACGTACATCCCGTGTTTGTACATCTTTCTGGTCGGCTTTAGAAACCTGACCAAGGAGAGCAACCCCTTCAGTAAATGGCGCGATAACGGAGTCTTCCGAAATAAAACCAAACGAGTTGATTTTGCCGTCATTCCTAGAATTCTTCATGCGTCTATTGCACTCAATTGGGCTGTTCTTAATGCGAAGGAACTCATTATAAACTTCCTCGGAGGTATAAGACTTTGTCCATCTTCCGATATCGTACACTCCAGTTAGCTGTGGAATGATGAGGGATGTTATATTGCTGTCAGCCCCTCCGCTGAACACGCCGAATGAGCCACCCTCATCGACCACATCCATGGACCAGATATTTTTGCCCACATGATAGCAATAAGAGGACACCGGCTTCAATGTAGTTTGGCTCTTCCGTAATATATATTCACCATTTGTTTGTTCATATTTCGCCACGAGCTTCCAAACCATAGAAGTGCAATCCTCGGACCTGGATATCAAACTGAAAGTGATGTGGCCGTCGGAGACCTCAAAGTCAAGAAACCGAATGCCCCATATGCGTGCTTCATGGCCATATTCTTTTGCAAGACAAAATTCTTGGCCCATAGATGCTTCGTCCATTGGGGCTATATGAAATCCGGTTCCACGGGCACTTGTATTGTTTTCCCTGGAAGCTGAGCTACCGTTGCTCATGAGTTCTCGGCCACATGAAGATATATCCCAGATACGGACAGTTCTATCGTCGCTGCAACTGGCAACAAATTTCTTCGTTCCTTGTCCGCCGCTTATCGGTATATCTGGTGAAATGTCCACTCCGAAGATTGATCCCTCATGACCAGTGAAAAAGTGGTGGATAATGATAGAATCATTAGCTCTTTCGCATGGGTCTGAATCCAATACTAAATGACAGGACCATATTATTATTTCACCGAATACCGTGCCAGCAGCAACAAGGACACGGTCGGAGTTCCAAGTAATGTCAGCAGAATAAAGAATAGGCCTCAGGGTCGACCCTAGTTCTTGCAATTGGATAATACTTTCGTCATCCAGTTCCGTTTCGCGAAGGGTAAACCTAAGGGTGAAAACTACATTGTGTGCAGTAATTAATAAACCCTTGATACACCCTTCCCTCTCGGAGTTAGCAACAGGAATGGCTGTATCTAAAATCCAATCTGGCGCACGACATTCGACGCTCTCTGCGGATAGAGATGTATTGTCTGTAGTATCTGATCTGCGCAAATGGAGCTTAATCAGGCGAAGGGAATACCCTCCCCACACTAAAAGGCAGGCAGAATAATCGTCATCCCTCCAGGACTCTTCAATGACCTGAATTCCATGAACAGCATTTCGTTCAAACACTCGAAAGCGACCCAGAGGAATGCCATCGGATTCATCAAGTAGCTGGACATACGGGCCACTCCCATTTAGCAGTAATTTTCTGCTGGGTATATTTAGACATTTGATAGCCGTTATAGGGAGGCATGTGTCATGGTTCTGCAATTGTTTTTAGTGCAAGGCACAAAATTGAAAGCGAGGAGAAACACTTAATGGATTCACCTTGATTGAGCATGACATCGATGCTAATTATGTATATAACAAGGAATCGCTGTGAACTAATACCTTGTTCATATCAAATTTTCATTCAATAACCTATTCTCGGGCCCTCAAAGAATTTATCATTCTTATGTTCCCTTTTGGAGGGGAACAAGTTGTGAGGGTAAAATAAAGTTTTGAGCCTCAATTAGTGACACGTGATTACGCGTCGTATAGATTACTAAGCTTGCGGTTTGACTAGCAAGTTAAAGCGGCTGGAGCCTTGATCTTGAGGTTCCTTTCATCCTACATTACGGAGTACTCCATCCATTTATCTAGGGACAGAGACAGAGGTTGGCAAGTTGTGATGTTGACGAGTGCTGTTTCGTCCATGTCAATACTACCACTGGCTATACGTCATGGGTGTGACCGGGCTCTGGACAGTAGTGAAGCCTTGCGCGCGGCCTATCAAACTTGAAACCCTTAACAAGAGAAGGCTCGCCATCGACGCATCTATATGGATATACCAATTTCTCAAAGCCGTGCGTGATAAAGAGGGAAATGCCCTACGAAATGCACACATTGTTGGCTTTTTCCGGCGAATATGCAAGCTACTCTTCTTTGGTATTAAGCCGGTCTTCGTTTTCGACGGTGGCGCACCGATACTCAAGCGGCAGACTATTGCAAATCGGAAGAGGCGCAGAGAAGGAAGAAGAGAAGATGCTGCAAGAACTGCTAGCAAGTTATTGGCCATCCAAATTCAAAGACAAGCCGAGGAGGAAGCAGCAAAAAGAAAAACAAAGCCTCAATATGAACCGCAAGAGGAACAGTTGCCAGATGAATTAGTCTATGCCGAGGAAACCCTGATGACCAAAGCAGAGAGGCAAAGAAACAGGCAGTTCAGGAAAACTGATGCATACCATCTTCCAGATTTGGACATGTCTCTAGCAGAAATGGGCGCTCCAAATGACCCTAGAATCATGTCACACGAAGAATTGGAAGCTTATGCTCAGCAGTTTAAATCCGGTGAAAACATTAATCTCTACGACTTTTCAAAGATTGACTTTGATGGACCATTTTTCCTTAGCCTACCTGCTAGCGATAGGTATAATATATTGAACGCCGCCAGACTTCGAAGCAGGCTACGAATGGGGTATTCTAAAGACCAGCTGGACACAATGTTTCCGGACCGCATGGCTTTTTCCAGATTTCAAATAGAGCGAGTGGCCGAACGTAATAACCTTACCCAACGTCTCATGAATCTCAATGGCATGAATGGTGATGCCGTCACTTATGGGAGCGGGTCTTCCCGAGTTGCTGGAGAGAGAGACAGGGAATACATATTGGTGAAAGACAATGGAGTCGAGGGTGGATGGGCTTTAGGTGTTTTGGGTAATAAAGAAGGTTCTACTATAAACAAGCCAATTGAAATAGACAAACAGGAGGGAAAGCATATACTGGACGAGGACGATGATGAGGGTGAAGAGTTCGAGGACGTACCAATTGAAGGCCTCAACCGCCTTCCAAAGCTACCAATCTTTGAGCCAGGTATATTTGATGAGTCCATTGCGCAACAGCGCCGCATGCAGTCAGCCATTGGGACGAAAGAGGCTGAAGATGGTGCTGATGAAAATACCCTATTCGTTGATGATGGGACCGAAGCAGAAGCTTCTGGAGTTGCTGAACTCTTTGAGCATTTAGAAGACGAAGAAGCTGAAGATCTTTCGAGAGCAGTTAACTTATCTCTGGAAGATATACCCGACCATGACCATGCTGCAGTCGATAAATGGGCAAGTAAAGCTAGCTCCAGTGACCAAGTCAAGGAGACAGAGATACCAAATCATTCCGATAGTGATGATGATATGGAATTCTTTTCTGCCTTAGCCAAATCTAAGGTTACAAAGGGTAACACTCAGCCTTCTCACCCATTCTCTGGTCCACTACCCTTTGAACCACTTAGAGTAATCAGGGGTCCGCAAGATCCTCCTAGCGCAAACAATGGCCCGGAAGATATCACTGCCGGAGGTTTCGAAGTTTCAGAGCCCGAAGGTAAAGAAGCGCAACCGCTCCCTCCATGGTTTACAGGGCCATCTGAACAAAAGGAGTTCATATCAAGGGAGGAAGCCCAGAGCAAGGATTACCGTCAGTCATTACAAACCAACGGTATACTACCTCGCTCAAATGTGATAGATATAACTGGGAGTGACGATGATAAGGCCACTGAGAAGGAGGCTATTAACTTGGACTCCCCCACGAATGAACTGGCACCGCCGCCAAGCAGTAGTTCTCGGCTGCCGACCTCCCCAGAAAAGCTTCGGGGCAAAGAAATCATGCCCACAGATAACCCACTAATAACTGATATGCTTGACGTACCTGGGCGTACTACATTGGAGTCACCGTCTGAGAATTTTGAGGAGATTCACACACCTCCAAAGGCGACGAAATCCACTGAAGACATGTCCAACACTATATTTATGCCTCTAAGTCCCAAAGTTGAAGATGAGGTTATGTCGGCCCTGCCTTCTGCTCCTTTAATTCCCAACCTTCAAGCTCAATCAAGTTCCCAGAATCCATTGGTAGAATTCCCTGACGGCGATGACGAGTATTCTGACCCTGAAGATGACGAATTAATGTATCAGCTAGCTATGGAGGCTGAAGAACACGCGCGATTCGCTTCAACGTTGAATTCTAAGAGTCAAGCTGAGAATGCGTTTGACTACGAGCAAGAATTGAAACAACTTCGTTCTCAGCAGAAAAAGGATAGGAGGGACGCTGACGAAGTCTCTCAAATCATGGTTACGGAATGCCAGCAGCTATTACGATTATTTGGACTTCCGTACATTACTGCGCCGATGGAAGCTGAGGCACAATGTGCTGAACTGGTAGCTTTGGGGTTAGTTGACGGGATTGTCACGGATGATAGCGACACCTTCCTATTTGGAGGCACACGGATCTATAAAAATATGTTCAACCAATCAAAATACGTGGAATGCTATCTTTCCAGCGACCTAGAAAAAGAATACACTTTGGATAGGAAGAAACTTATCAGCTTTTCTCATCTACTTGGAAGTGACTACACGGAAGGAATTCCGGGCATAGGCCCTGTGACGGCGCTTGAAATACTTACGGAGTTCTCGGATCTGGAAGAATTTCGGGATTGGTGGTCGGAGATTCAGTTGGGGAACAAAATTCCCGATGATATTCATGCAGGGTTCCGCAAAAAGTTCAAGAAGAATGTCACGAAACTATTTTTACCTCCAGGGTTCCCAGATAAGGCGGTTGAGAAGGCTTACCTGGAACCTGAGGTAGATCCCGATCCTTCCGAGTTTAAATGGGGTGTCCCTGACTTGGATGCTGTGCGACAGTTCCTAATGACAACAATCGGATGGTCACCAGAACGGACTGACGAAGTTCTTGTCCCAGTAATCCGGGACGTGAACCGAAGAGAGCAGGAAGGCACCCAATCAAACATAACAGGTTTTTTCCAGGGCCCTCAAGGTGCAGGAGCCTTTGCTCCCCGACAACGAACTGCGGGCAAAAGTCGTATTGAAAAGGCATTTGGGAGGCTGAGGAACCAGGCAGAAGCAAGACAAACTACTCTGGATTCATACGCCAACAATAAGGAGGACACTAATCTACCGGAGGGAATAGCTACAGGTGATGATAATCCCTCTGCAACATCAACGACCACTAAACGACGCGCGAGACCCACTGGCACACCTGCCGATGAGGACGATGGAACTTCCAATAAGCAGCCCCCACGCAAGGCTAGAAAAAAGGCAAGGGATACTAATGTATAATGTCTCCTTGTATTTGGATAACTACTTTAGCGGCAATTTGTACAGCCACCTTCACTTATCAATTGGCTTTTTAAGCAGCTCACGGATAATTCTCCGAAGCATTGCACGAATGAGAAAAGCAGCAGTGGTTCTAGATTGAACCATCTAGTTTAAATCTCCGTCTCCGTTTTAGATTATTCATAATGCTGGCAGCCCAAGTGGAGATATGACGTAGAAAATCGATGTGACGTTTTAAAGAACCCCGACTTGGGCCTCGCAGAGGAACAATGAATGAAAGTAAATACAAGCCACTTTCCTGCAAGGGACTCCCTGAGTGTGAACCTCTTTACCTTGTACCTCTGTCAAAGCGTCAAATTAAACACGTCAATCTCTTGAACGCATCGGAAGCGGCTGAAAGGAGATTCTGCTGAGTCATCAACGACGTCATCATCCCTGCTTGTACTTAATAACAAAAACAAAAAGCCCAACTGTTCTTCCCGCCCAAGTTCAAACATCCAACATCGCCTCCCCAGACGCCTCCCGGTCGCTAGCAACGATACCGCACCTTTATTGACCGATTATCTGCCAATTGTGACCGCGTGGACACTGCGACTCAGGCGTCAAAGTCACCCTCTGCTCATCCGACGCCAAAGCTCGTTGATTATACCGATTACTTCCGCCCCTTCCACATAACAGGCAAGAAAAAGGAGGATTCAGAGGCATACACGGTGCTATACAGGCCGCTTTAGGTTGACTGATAGCCTAACTCTTATTTCGTTTTATTCTATTGGGATTCCCGTGTGGACTGCTGCTCAAGATGCATCGAACCTATTCTTTGCGCCAGACTCGTGCGCCCACTGCCTCACAGCTTGAGAGTCCTCCGCCGCCAATCTCTTCAACCAAGACCAATAGAATTTTTGGAGGCACAAGCTTTGGTATGTTACATTCACTTCCTGGTTAACGCATTTGCTTAACTGCATCTCCATACGTATTTGGGGATCAGCAAGTGACACTCTCTTGGTGGTGGAGGTTATACCATGAGGACATGCCTTATGTCCCTAGTCTATACCCTGGCTAACAATACAATATTTTCTAGGCCATGCTTTCCGTAAAACAGCCGCCGGTAGTTTTGGCCCAGATCTCGCTAAGAAGCTTTCACAACTGGTGAAGATGGAGAAAAACGTTATGCGCAGTATGGAATTGGTTGGAAGAGAGCGAATGGAGGTTGCGGTATGTGCCCCGCTGACGAAACGGCATATCCAGGTTCACATCTAACTTAGTCGGTAGCAACAACTATCTCTGTGGGGAGAAGGCTGTGACGATGATGTTTCTGATATCACTGATAAGCTTGGAGTTCTGATATATGAAATCGGCGAGTTGGAAGACCAATTTATCGATAGATACGACCAATACCGGGTGACAATCAAGAGTATTCGTAATATCGAAGCTTCTGTTCAGCCCAGCAGAGACCGTAAGTCCTACGACCATGCCCTACTTTCCGTTACATAGCAATCAGCTAACTATTACACTAGGCAAACAAAAAATCACGGATCAGATAGCACAGCTTAAATACAAGGATCCAAACTCGCCTCGTCTTGTCGTATTAGAGCAGGAACTGGTCCGAGCTGAAGCAGAATCCCTCGTTGCCGAGGCACAGCTTTCAAATATCACCCGCGAAAAGGTCAAAGCTGCATTTAACTACCAGTTTGATGCATTGAGGGAACACTGTGAGAAATTGGCAATTATTGCAGGTTACGGGAAACATCTCGTTGAATTGATTGACGACACACCCGTGACACCTGGCGAAACACGGGCAGCTTATGATGGATATGATGCTAGCAAAGCCATAATCCAAGACTGTGAGGATGCATTGACAAACTGGGTCTCCTCTAGCGCAGCAGTTCACTCTAAGCTTTCCACCCGGTCTCGCACTCTATCCCAACGAAGGCGGAACAACATTTCCAAAGCCCGTGCTGATGGAGGGGACATGAGCGGCCATGAACAGTCAATGCGTGGAGACCGTGACTCGTGGGTGCCTGCGGAACAACACCCCACTTATACCCAGTCACAAGCGGACGACGATGATATTTACGAAGATGATGACGTTGTCCAAAACGGTGATGGATTGAGAGAGGAAGAGAGGGCACAAGTTGTTGCGTAAAGTCGCGTGCCTTTTCTTGCCTTGTCTCATCTATATCTCCTCTTGCTTATACCCTAAAGACGCCTATAAAGCTCGATCTCGAATAACCAGCCCATCAGGATTCAACCCAGTAGCATAACCCACGCCAACATGACATCCCTTTCCCCACATATATAATGAATACGTTGCCCACCTATGTGCCACTGTTGAAAAGTTTCTCGTCCTATGCCTTCAAGCAAGCACCTTACTGCTATTGCAGTTGGTTGTGGGAAAGGCGGGTACGGCGTGGACTACCTGGCTGCATTGGTGTAATTCCGTTAGGCCTCTACTACCCTCCTCTGCAGTCACTTAACCAGTCCAAGTACTCGAGGATTCTTAAAATATGTGCCATTATTGACCTTTGTTCATGTATAATTTTGCACCCTTAGTATACTTTAATATTATAATGTTGTAATGCTACATCGAAAGTAGTTACAAATGAACCAGCGGTTGGGGACTGAGATCAAAAGAGTTCTACCTACAATCTAGCATATTTAGTAAGAGTGATAGAGATGGATAGTTACTCAGTTACATGGCTTCGCCTTTGCGTCTATCAGCTTAATTCAAATTCCAACAGTCAATATTAGCAATGCCCTCCTCTTATATGTTCTTTCCCATCTAACCTTAACCTCATACAAAATGTGCATATCTATGCATATCACTAAGCATGGAATGGCCATTGGATAAATATCTCCTTCCCTCTGGTTAGATATCAAAGGGAGTTTAAGAGTATATAGTAATGGAGGATGTGGATCATATGAAAGATAATAGCTATGTATGTATATGTATTATATTAATTACACACTTGATGCCCAAGTTCTTCGCCTTGCTTCCCAACCCTACCAGCATTTTAGGCACTGTCTATCCACAATGCCATAACCCACGGATACTCTTGAATATAATAAGTCTAACCCTTCATGCACATTCTTTTCTCGCTATTTTGCCGTCTCTCCACAGATGCCCTCGACGGCGAACACAGCACCCGCACCAAAGCGTACAGTGGGCATAGTACAAGCTTTTATCAGGATACAGGCCTCGCGGTTTTAGACAGCACTGACATGGCCTTGCACAGCATCCACCTCGTATTTTACAGATCTTCACCTGATACGGCTGTGACAGATGCTTGGTTGGGTTGGTAGCTAAGCTTTGGCGATCTCGCGATTGAGAGATAAGATGTTGTCGAGCGATTGGGCCCCGAGGCCGCCTTATATATTTTTTATACATTTCGTTCTGGATTTTCCAACTTTGATCCTCTGCATCTCGCAGTTTCTCTTTCCAGTTCTCAGGGCCATAATAAAGCGGCTTGGCGGTCTGTTCGAGTTTCCCTTGTATTGCACGGTCTATAAAGAGCTCCCTGATGAAGATGTTTTCTTGTATCCAGAATTCATAGAGAATAGTTTCCTCATTAATGTCATTAATCCACTTTTGTTGTTTGTTGCAGCTCTCTGCAGTTTGGAACCATCCTTTGACTTTCCGGATGAAATCAGAAATGTAGAATATTTGCAGACAATCAAATAGTTCCTCGATCGTTGGGCCAATATCAAATAGTAATTTCAGGCAAGCGCAGAGAAAAAAGGCTATTTGTTGGTTTTGAGTGAGCATTCTGTGCCGAAAACTATTGGATGTTGATGGATAAGTATTTGGGATAAATAAAAGGTATTGAATTCTCTGGAAGTAAGAAAGAAAAAAAGGGAAGCCTTCCGACTCTGTAGGCCCTTTTATCAAACCAAAGCGAGGCAAAGTCTTTGATCAAACAAGTCAAAGTCAGTAAGATAAGAATTACTATGGCTTGCTTGGCTGGTGGAGTGTGGCGGTGTTCCATTTTGGATGCGCCTAGGCCTGGCGTTTTAACTATAACACCAAGAGCCACCGGGAACAGCCGTGATAGCTAAGGCAAACTGAGATTCTATAGAAGGAAAGGCGAAATTCATGTTCTCTATACACCCCCCCTTAATCTATATCTGTCTATAATCCCATGATATCTACATATAGGCGGGATCGGCTACAGCCCACTCATTTCGTGCATGATATAAGAGAAATAAACCATTATTTGGGTATAACTCTAAAAAAAAAGCAATTGTTCAGCATTCTGTAAATTTCAATAGCAGCTGAGAGTAGCTTTCCTCAAATTTGGGAAGTTGATAAGCCCCGCGCGAGCTCAGACTCAGTCCTATAAAGATAGCCACCTTCTTCTCTACTTTCAGCAACTGTATCTCTATAATACATCTTTTGACCTCAAGTATCATCTGTTTCTCAAGATACCTCACTTACTACTCCATCTCCAACTTGTTCTATACTCAAACAGTTGAACACCATGGCTCTAGCATGGCCCCAGGGGGAATGCTTTTTCAAAAGAAGCGCCCTGCAATCTGGTGCTGTCAATACTGTAGCGCGTTTCACTGCAGAGGACCCCAAACTTTTCTATAGTACAATGGTAGTAGAGATGGTCTGGAACAAGGAGGCGCATCACGGTTCCGAAGCATGCAAGGAGAACAGTAATCCAAAAGGCCACCCCCATAAACGATCAGGCTACACGATCGTGACAGGTGGGCGAGGGTGGAAAACCTCCTACGGAAACTGGACACATCTGCCCTTCTCCTATGGGGCATACTACCAACCATCCAGACAAATCCAACATGAATTGTGCACGGATGGAGAGCGATTCAAGAAGAGAGAGCATGGAGATGCATATGAAGTATTTTCTACGCCTCCCTAGTTCTTTGCACGACGATAATCCATCTCTTACTAATAGTATACTGCCTTCTAGTCATGGTTCATGTTTGTCCCCTTACCCACCAGACATGAGGAATGGGTTTTTATAGATGTAAGTCTTCTCGTTATGCACACGCAAAGACGTTGTAACTAAATAACCAAACCTTAGCGGTTATGTTCCATCCGTGCCATATATATTCCAGTTTCCTATATGGCCAGTGAGAAGAGCGAGGATCTCTGCACTTATATCCACGTGCGATTCAACGGCATGAAAGACATCGCACTGGAGTATCATAAGGATAAGACACCCGAGAAGTTTGCTGAGATCTTCGACTTCGAGACAGTGGAAAAGACCACTGCAACTCTAACATGCCACGACACATTCGGTATCGAACATGACGAGACAACTGCAATCGGTATAAACATCACGAAGCTTGTAACTACTCTGATTCTTCCCCGTCAATTTCGAAAATACGATGCATTTAGCTCAAAAGCCATTATCCTCGTGGACACAAGCCTTATTCCAGTGATTCCCGTCCTCTCGAGATTTACAGCTTCAGCCATGGCGGATTGGGCGACGGTAGCTTCCAAAAATCATGGAGTCAGTGTGAAATGGGCAGAAGGAGACCATTCGCCGCATTGGTTGCTGTCCTTTCTCAAGAATACTCTCGTTGTATGCGCTGGCCTGGTCCCAGGGATTGGCCCGCTCTTGTCTATGGGATCAGCACTGCTCATGGAAGCACTCATCAACCCGGATGGCATGTTGGAAGAATTCAAAGAACAGCTGCCAGGACTAGGGGAAATGTTTGACGAAATATTTGACCTGTCGAAAGAGTGCAGAAAGGGGATGGCAGTCAAGATGGACATTGCATCTCCAACTCAGGCAGTCACCGTCGACACTAATAGCGACGATGCGGTATTGAAGACGCCTGTGCAGGCTGACGAGCCAGAGCAAGAGGAAAAGAAGTCTACTGCCACATACGTCAACATACCCTCATACACAGCATTGTCCAAGGCTGAATACGATGCGACGGTCGGTCGACAGCTCCGAGAGGCACTTGGCCGTAAGCTTGGTGGACTGGCCGTAGAAGATCGCGGCATTAGTCGTGAGCAGGCTAAAGCTTTTCAGGAGTTGGTTACAAATCCCCCAAAGGAGCACCAGGATAAAACCGTGGACGAGCTTTTTGAAGTTGTTGAGTCCAAATATGTACGGGATCGCCTCAAGGCAATGAGAACCTCTCTCTTCACTAAAAAAATGGAGGAAGATTTTCGCGCAAGCGAGACCGAGAGTATCAAGAAGCGTTTACTCACGGAAGCCACCCCCGATTCAAGTTCACGTTTGGCAGACAACTTTTACGAGTGGGCTGAGAATGCAAGCAGAAAAATTGCCATGCGCGACAACCCCATGCTCGCCTTTGGCGGTGGACCTAGATAAGCGTATGTAACAGCAGGCCATCTGGAAACTCCTGGAACTCCCAGCACTAGCTATAATTACTAGTTACTATATCCTAGCCTTATTAGTCTCTGGTAACTAACTAGTTAACTAACTAGTTAGCTTTATTTCGGAATCAATCAGTTTTTTAATAAGGGTAACGGTTTTGATCATGGCTACACACGACTCACACATGAGTATTCTATCGGTAGTGATGAAACTCTAGACACCAAGTGCGCCCTACCCAGTCAATTTTTGCCTGCTGCTGTGATTGCCAGCGCCCGCGGGGCCTCTGCGCCTTGTTGCCCGTAAACCGTCGTCCCCGAGTAGCCCGCTGATGCAAACTGTGTTATGTTCAAATTGAATTTGAAAGTTTGTTTAGTCCTAACGCCACACTATAGTTACAGTGCAATGTAGGCACCGTATCTTCCTGTAGAGGCCAGGTAGAAGTCAAGCATTGTGCGTCCTCACTGCAGAGCCAGGTGACGTAGGGTAGGTAGTAAGAGACATTCCGCAGATTGTTCTCTAATTAGATTGTACAGTTCATTAAATGATATGATGCAAATAGCCTATATAGATACCACATGCTCATCCCAAGACCCAACACAGAGCCGCCCTATTTGCGGTCAAAGTCATTAATCATCTATTCAACGCCAACAACATACCAAAACACAAACGAATGAAACGCTCAAGTTTCACTTATAAGTGGAACACCTTCTTCTCAACGGCCCTCACTGTGGCTCTCCATAGACCACTGCCGAAACTCTGAGTGGGCTTATCCATTAATTTCGCCAAGAGATCATTTATCTGCACATCGCGCGTTTGGGGATCATTGGACTTTTCGAATCCATATACCCTGCTTCCAGTGACATCAGAATCCAAGACAACTCCAATGTGTGGACCGTCAGCATAGTTGTCAAGAGCTTTTGGCTTCACAGTAAAGTCAATATCAACTCGTGCTCGTTCCGTTTGTTCTTTCTTCTTGGGTTGATCGGTTCCACCAGGTATGGTTTTGCCCTTTGCGCTGCCCAGCAGAGTACAACGAACTTTCAATTGTATGGGCTCGGATCGGATACTCCCAGTCCCCACTGGCTTGACGCTAATGATACCACAATATCCAAGCATTCGAATCTCCTCCTGCAAGGCCTTTGCAGTTTCCCAAGTCCTTCCAATGCTACGCAGCAATTGTTTCAACGATACTGGGGATAGCATAGCAACAGAAGCTTGCATGCGTATAGCATTGAGAATTAAAGCACACTCTGGGCTAGGTTTGACGGCAGCGGATTGCGCCCCATTTCCTTTAGGAGCATATGTCAAGGTTAAGGGTAAGGTGCTATGCCGGGAGATCCGTCGCCTACCCTCGGTTAACTCTTGAGATCGGGCGCGAATGTGGCTTGGATTGCAGTTAAGTTGAAGTTCTCCGCTGTATCGCATCACGAGCGAAGTGCCTTCCACAGCATCCACGCTAGGTTTGGCAGAGAGGATAGCCCAGCCGGTCTGTTTCTCTAGAGAACGAACGGAATCTGTGCAATGGGTAGTCAGCTTTTCGATCCTGGTGGGATATATTGGGCTAAAGGTATAGAAATTAGCTTACCATGTAACACGCGGACTTCTTTCCCATCCCAACCACGACATTCCTCTTTGATACTCTCGGCTTCGCGAATTTGCTGCAATAGTTCTTCTTTTCGCGCCTGAGCTTTCTCCAGCAGATCACTCTTCTCCTCAAGCCTGCCTCGTGCATGATTGTACTTGTCTTTGCATGCCGAGAGTTCTGATTCGACGGCTAGAAGCTTTTTTCTAGCATCCCGCAGTTCCTCTTGGTCGCAGTTTTCAAGATCGTCCATCACTTTTTGAAGGTTTTGAGAATCAATCTCCAGCTTTGTGTGTTTCTCGATCAAGCCAGGCACTACTTTCGCAAGGATATGCTCTTTCCTTGAGAGGAAGGCGTCGTCCTGTTTCATTTCATCGACATGTCGATCTAGTCCTTGCTTCAAGCCTTCCAGGAGTTTCATTCGCCATTCATACCACATTTCTTTGCTTAACAGTCGCGCGTGAGCTTTGACATTACGGAATTGATTATCCATCAATAGCCGAATATCTGGAGTGGCTGTGATATATTCTTGGAATAATGGAGGGTTCTCTGCGTATGTCTCTGCTTCTATGGATCGGATGATGCGCCGACCTTCAGAAATATACGATTTAAGCTCACGGCAAGACTGCGAATTGTGTTAGTAGATAAATGTAGTTCCTTCTAGCCTCGAAGGCCTCGAATGATGAGCTTACATGTTGGTACAGTTCAAGCATAGGCAAAGTGCAGAATCCAGCGGCAACTCGGTCCTCGAGGCCAAACTCCTTTGCGCTCTGCAGAGTCTCTATGCCACGCTTGTCGGGGCTCCCGGGTGCTATAGTATGTCTTCGTTTAGTTGTTGTTAATTCCATGAAGTGTATATTGGTCATTTCAAGGAAGTCGGAAAGCTTCATTGCTTCAACTTGGGTATTGGTGCCTATAGGCAAACTGTCATCCGCTACCTTAACTTCCTCTTCTTCCATCGGAACTGGGTCAGTTGGAGTATGCACTGCAAAGTCATTGGTAGAGGGCGTTTGTTTTGCAGGTGAATTATTTTTGTTGATAAATGGCGACACACTGCGGTCATAATGACGAGATAATTGGCTTGATCGACCAATTGTATCAACCTTTGAAGGAGGAGCAGGAAGCTTGATATTTTTGACTGGACTGCTTTCTCTTCCACGAAGGCGCTTATTTGGCGTTAAATCTTCATCAATGTCATCCATATCAAGCTCAGCGGGTCGTTTCCCAAGGAGACCTCTAGCTGCACCCACGTGAAGGCTCTTACGGCCTTTAAGCTTGTTTTTCTTTGGGGTAAGACTTGAAATCAATTCTCTTAAATTAAGAGTAGTCTCCTTCTCCGATTCTTGACTTGTCCTGGGCAAAAGGCTCTCTTCATTCCCTTTTTCAATCTCAGGTTTCAATAGATCATCAAACTTGACACCTCGGCTGGGGGTTGGCTTCAAGACAAAATCTTGGGCATCATCTCCGATAGAGCGTCGTTTGTCTAATATCTCTGCAACCCGTGGAGAACCACGTCCCTCGCTTATGCCGTGAACGGAAGGGTTTAATGCTTTCAAAACAAAAGTCGGAGTTGATTGCCCTGTTAGTGAATTTTTCTGGAACAAAGAAGCGGGTATAGGTTTAACAGGGGGTTGATTTGTTTGCAAAGTGTGTCGCTTTTGGGGAGAGGCGCTTCTTGACTTGGGTTTAATAGGGCTCCCTTCAGGGGTAGCAGGCGTTACTGGCCCGGCCGCTCTGGGTGATCTTTGTTTCGAGGGAGTAGAAAGGCTTCTGCTTGGAGATGATTGCTGAGATACCGACCTTCTGGGGGAGCTAGATGGTCGGTGTGATGTACTGTTCAGCCTAGGTATAGTACGTAATGGACTTCCGCCTTCTGATGTAACCAGATCTGCGTGTGGCGGCAACGGGGCTCTGACAGGAGATACTGGTATATTTTCTTGAAACGGGGAGCTTGGAGGACTCTCCTCATACTCATCAAAAATCCTACTTTTGCCTTTTGGGTTGTTGACCTGAAAGGGTGCAAGAATTTTGCCTACGGCGTTTGTCATGTCCATTCCCATGGTTCCATCGTCGGATGGTTCAGTTCGCTCCTCAATTGGAGGCAATATACCACCAACCGCACCTGTCATCTCCATGTCGACCTCTCCTAGATCAGGATATGTTACATCACCTTCGTCTTCATAGCTGTATTTTGGGTCTTCCTGGGACACGTAGTTATTCGTGTTGTCTAGCTTTTGTTTGTTGAGGACTCCGCCCAAGACATTGGTAAACTCCATAGTCATTTCTTCATCCGTATCAATGTTGCTCTCTGTGTCAGGCTTTTTAGGAGAGGCGCTCTTAATACCGCCGATGACGTTTGTGAACTCCATTGTCTGGTCTCCGAGGTTTGTTACGGCTGATGTTCGACGGGAGGCCTGTTGATAGTCGTACTTTTGGTATTGTAGATAGGGACGAGATTTCTCACTGCTGTCATTCGCCATACTACTTTTCCTTCGAAGTATGCCACCAACTGGTTTTGTAATGTCCATGCTCATATCTCCATCATCTTCATTCATTTGGCCTGCTCTGGTAGAGTTTGAAACAGTCAATCTTGCGGAACCAATGTTCTCCTGGTCGAAGCGAGAGGTTAGGTCTTCAGCATCAAATTTCGCGCTAGATCCCTTTTTAACCCAAGGTTGAAAAGCACCAACAATTTCGTGGCTGGTGAACTCCATGGATAGATCCCCATTTTCATCAAACTCGATTCCTCTGGTTCCAGCCGCCTCGGCAGCTTTCTTCAATGACCTATCCAAGCTACTAGAGCTAGGGGATGAGTCACTGGGGTCAGAAGAGAGGGGCTGTTCTGTAGCGTTATCCATACTCATACTTGTGCTTTCATCTTCAGGTCCTGAGCTCAGTGAGTCACTTCCCATTTCTATATTTCCTTCGGGGAAACCGATATCATTCTCGGCAGCCGAGCCGCCGCTAAACGGGCTAGAAGAAAACGCTTCATCGGCTAATTCTTCCAAGTGAGCTGCTGATTGAGGCGGATTGACATCTTCAAGACCATATTTTCCTGGAGAGGATGCTGGTTCCGAATCATCTGATCCCTGGTTGGTATTGCTAGCCATTAACGAAGAATTCCGGCGAGTTGTGTTCGCACCCGTGGAAGCAGTCGAATCCTCCATTAGCTCGACAACATTCCAAGTGTGTAGTGTTGCTTCAGGCGCAAATGAAACTCGGCGATTCGCTACAAAAGATATTAGACTTGCCATCAACTAATTCAAGGATGTAGTCGTTACCCATAGATTTCCTTCGTGCAGCTCGCTGTTCTAATATTGCTTTCTTCTTCTCGCGCTCCCGCTCAATTCGTTCTTTTTCTTCCCTTTCTCTCTGTGCGGCTAAGTCTTTAGCCCTAGATGGTGGTACCGGATTGAAATTATCGAACGGGTTTATCAAGCTGTCAGTGCCGACAACCGGCGCAGCGGGCGTCGAAAAGTCAATGAGAAGATCACCATTCCCAGATGATTTATGACCGTTTCCAAATCCATCGCGATTTGGTGTTTTCCTGCGCGTTTCGGCAAAGCTTGGAATATGGCTTATCGGAGAGACGGGGATTGTTGGTTTTAGTATCGACTTCAACTGGACAGCAGCAGTAGACTAGAAAAGGAAGGTCAACTTCAGCCCAAAAGCGAATATGTAAGAATACAAAAAGTGCACACCTTTCTTCTGTCACTGCCATTATTTTTCAGGAGATCCAACCCACCGGGCCCAAGACTCTTACTGCGAGACCGCTTATCTTTCCCAAGAGTCCTAGAAGGTATATTGCTCTGCTTCTGGACAGAACTGAGATCCGTAGTCATATTCTCTTTATCAAGATCGATGCCGCTGCCTCTATGGGGCATCTGCGCAAGTGAGCGTCGAGCCCTCACGCGAGCGACATTGCTCGGATCGCGAGTATAGGATGACATTGGAGCTCATTTATCCGCAGGCAAGGCCAAAAAAATAAACAATGCCAAAAATGACAATTTAGAAGATAATGGACCAACTTCCAGCAGACTGCAATCCCTTCACAGCTGGTTCACCCATGGACGCAGGCTGTATCTCCAAGTTAAGGTGGCCGTAAACATCGTTGCGCCCCCTCGATAAATGAACTTGAAGTCGCGTTAAAGATATCATATTACTATATCGGGACTAGCGTGGTAAACAAAGCAAAAGCCCTAAGCCAAGATGCACTATACCGCATTGGGAATGGAGCCCTACTTTCTCTCCCACATTGGAAATTGGCGAGAAAAAACATCGAAAGTCAAAGCCCGACGGAAGACTTGACACTTTCGCACCTTTCGACGAACCTCGCGGACTCACGACGACAACCTCTCCGACCTTTCCAACCATAGCCCATTTACCCGCGCGAGCAGGAGTTGGAATACCGCAACCATGGCGACCGAGTTGACCGTCCAGTCGGAGCGTGCCTTTTTGAAGCAGCCTCACATCTTCACCAACGCCAAAGTAAAGTCCAAGAGCAAGGCCGTCGGAAAGGGTGGACGAAGATGGTACAAGGACGTTGGTCTGGGATTCAGGACGCCAAAGACCGCCATTGAGGGAAACTACATTGGTATGCACACGACGAAGAATTCTAGCCTGGGGCCAATCGCGGTTATTCTTGCAAGGGGTTTCGAGGTGGGCACAGGACGGAGGAGTTGAGAAAGAGAATTGGAACGGGGATTTGAAGCGCTCATGCTTGTTCATGGAAGGGCTTGTCACGACAGCATGGACCGTTGAGACTGGAAATACTCTGAAGCCCCCGTTCTGTGCCAATCTCAGGAGCATACCTACAGGAATTACATGGAAACGCCCTTCGATTAGAAATTTGGAGATGAGTTCTAACGAGTTTATTTTTTTATAGACAAGAAGTGCCCCTTCACCGGCCAGGTTTCCATCCGTGGCCGTATCCTGACCGGTACCGTTGTTTCCACCAAGATGCACCGTACTCTCGTCATCCGACGAGAATACCTCCACTACATCCCCAAGTACTCCCGTTACGAGAAGAGACACAAGAACCTTGCTGCCCACGTTTCTCCTGCTTTCCGTGTTGAGGAAGGTGACCAGGTCACCGTTGGCCAGTGCCGACCATTGAGCAAGACTGTGCGTTTTCCCCGATATATTGAGCGTAGGATCTGGCAACCTTATAACTAACGAGACTACAGGTCCGATTCAACGTTCTCCGCGTTCTGCCACGCACCGGCAAGGCCGTCAAGGCATTCCAGAAATTCTAAGTTAGGGCATAATGGCGTGAATGGAAGGTTGTTTTGTCTACGTGCGCTGATGGGCCGATACTGCATGACATGATGGGATACATGGTGCCTTAGAAATCGTGAGGAGAAATCGATATCAGCGGACTGGGCTGGACAAGCAAGACAAAAAATATGATACTCCAATTTAAACTTCAATCCCTTGTTCTCCGTTCGATTTCTCTCTTGTACTCTTTTAACAAAAGAACTCCTTATCGAAGGCAGCGTTTTAGCATGCCTTTCAAGGGGCTAGGTTCTAATTGGAGTTTTTCTAGCTTCTTGTGAAATCGAGTTGATTTTATCTTCTTTGATGGTAATTATCATCTACAATATCTGAATGAAAAGTATTCAACCCTCATACGCGAGGCTATTACGAATCAAGCCTCTTCCTTAACAACAGACGTCATCTGCTCTACCATTTCAGCATTGCTGCAATGCTTGCACGTTTAGTGGCAAAAGGATCCACTATCCCCTTGGCCAATTCAGTAATGCCTTCCCTCATATCGCTATTCTCCTCAGTCTCGTCTTGATCTTGACCATCTTCATTATCATCATCTTCGTGTTCTTCGTAGTATTCGCCGGTTGGATCCTCATCGTCGTCGCTTTCAGTATCAACTGCATCAGGAGGTGGGAGTTCTAGGCTATAAGCACTTATAAAGCCTCGTTGCACTCCTTGTAAATATGCTTCACGTTTATCTCCGGGAGACCTCCATGACCACTTTATCGCAAATAGTAGAGCAATGGCAGATATATGCGATTGTGGGACATTAAGAAGCTTTAAAAACTGACCCACACATCTGCCGGATTGTATATCTGCCATGACCTTTTTGGATCCAAGTTTCCTAACGAGAGGGGCTCTGTTGAACTTTGCATTCTTGATAACATGGAGCTGTAGTAACTTTCCAATTTTCGGGTATTCAGTAGAGATTGAAAACAGAGTATTGGTGGAGAAGGTGGTGAGAATGGCCTCAGATGGTATAGTGCCCCAAGCCAGCCACTCCCCTTGGCCAAAGTACCGACTTTTCCCCTCGTTGCCATACATAATCGGCTCGTTCCTGAGGATCGGAAAAACACAGAATAACTGGGAATGGTCTATCTTAGACGTATCTAGGATGGAGATGTTGGCTGTTCCGGCTTTAAGTGCACGATGGAATACTCCAAGGGGGCTTGTAGATAAGGAGATAAACGCAGACGAAACGTTGATCCTAGTGAGATGCATCCGAAGCAATGTAGACATTATCCGAGGATGAACAGTAGAATGATCGGGGATTGTATTTATATCTGCATCCCACATGCCTGCAATAAACTTGTTGGCTGAATTCACGCCACCGCTCTTTTCATCCCAGAACCGAAACAGTAGCGGTGGTGGAGTTGCATCTGGCCGTATATCCTGTGGTCTTGATAGCGGTGGTGATGGCGTTACATTGAAATGAGCGGCGGACTGGCTAGAGCTATGCGTTGGAGTCAGCGACTCGCTAGGGGCGGGTTCTCTGACTGTTGTTGGTGGAATTGGGGTATCTGGTACTACTGATGCTGGCGGCAGCTGGGAAGGGATCGGAGGTTCTATCTGGACTGGAGTTTCCGGTGGCGTTTGCTGGACTCGAGGTCGACTTGGTGTAGCAGAGGAGGAAGAGGAGATGCATTCTAGGCGCGCTTCTTTGCCCATTGCAATAAGATGTGGGATATTGACACCTCGTTGAGCAAAGAGACGGACTTTTCCATGAGCTACACGATCAATCATCTCCACGAATAAACTGAGCCCTGCCCACTGGGCTAAAGGAGTTTTGTTGACACAAATCCAGATAGAATCCTTCCAGTGTTTTAGATGCTGCCATTGGCTTCGCAGTGGTTGCATTCGAGTGCCATCAGTGAAACCACATGCTTCAAGATTCTTTGCAAACGCAAGGTTGAAGACAGCCGTAAAACTTTTCCAGTTGGTTATATAGCAACGAACCATAACGCAGAGGAATGTCTTCATCATGTTGTTCCACTTGATCTTTGCTGATATCCGCGAGTCAAGCTGCATGTGCTTGTGCTTAGTCTTTTGGGAACGCATAGTGTACTTTTGACGCCGTGACCGAGTAAACGATTGCAATGGTGGAACGAATTTTAGGCGTGGCTGATGGTATAGAATAGAATGATTGAGCTGTTCGAGGATGAAGCAGAAGAGATGGGAGAGTAGTTCGTGTGGGTGAAATACACGCAACCGACGCGTTGAGGAGTGAGAACACAGGACATGGTGAGAGCAGGACACATACACCAGCTGCCGATGTGTCCTGCTCCCGCTATCCCTCACTTTCTCACTATCTCTATCTCACTTGTCACTTGGGTATCATGGCATCATCGGAGTACATACTCTGTCCATCTCTCCCGGAGACAGCCATCTCCCTTCGGAGTCTTGGTATATCTTGGTATCTGGGCATCGCAAATCTATGGCTATCCTCCGAACTCAAGTCCGCCTAGATCTCAGCACTGCAAGCCAACGCATCGTCAATGTAGGCGCAGACGAGGACGGGAGTCGTAAGTCAGAAGAGAGTGCGAGCCGCCTTTCCTCTTTAGGGTAAAAACCTTTGGCTGGGAAGGAGCAAAGCTGAAAAAAAGTGGAGCCCTTCCCGCTCAGCCATGACGTTAGTCCTAATACGGCTAGCGGCGCCACGAGGAGCCAGGAATAGAAAACACATCCCAAAATAGACTAGCGTTTGTTTCGTGTGTATGTTATTCCTTCGGTAATAAATACGAAACATCCCTGCTGTTACAGCAAGCAGCCGCTGACGCAGGCTGTATTTCAAGTACAGCCCGCTTTTCGCTTACTTAAGCTCCGCCTGTCTCTGCCCTGCCACAGACCCACTGGCGACCTTTCGCTCTTACTTGGCTCAGCCATGCGGCGCGCGTCAGCTCCAGATATATTAAGGGCCTGCAATCCTCCGCTTGACAACAAGAATATCATCAAACCACAAACAAACAGCAAAGTCATTCCGTTTAGTTTTCATATATTTTTCGCATTTAGCTCCCTTGCTTTCAGTTTCTTCTCTGTCATCACGAGCTACCATCTCCATCAGATCGCAACATCTTGACCCAACACTTTCGAACACTACGTCAGGTATTCACGAGCCAAAATGGGCAAGGGCGGGCGATTTGCGTGCATTTTCTTGCCATATATTCTGTCGATTGGGACACTTGTATGCCTTGCTCTAGTCGGTCTAGGATGCTACAACACCAGCACTCTCACCGATGTTTACTTTGCAAAGGTAAGTTTGTTGCATCCTCAAACAACTACTTTGAGTGTTTCTTATTTTTGTTCGACCAGCCCTGACTCATTGTGTACAGGTTGATATGAAAGATATAAACACATCACCGTCCGGGCTAAATAAGCAACTACAGCCTCTTGCACATGGCCTCGAACAGGCGAAAGCCAAAGGCGATCTCCACGACTTCTACATTGTCGGTATGTGGAATTACTGCTACGGAGACCACAAGGACGGAGCCGATAAGGTCACCCATTGTTCTCCTCGTCAATCGAAGTTCTGGTTCAACCCTGCCGAAGTCTGGGGTGTCGATGATACTATCGAGAAGCTCTACCCATCAACCCTACAAAAGGGCCTAAACACCTACAAGAAGGTTGCCGGATGGATATTTGTTGCTTACGCCGTTGCCATTTCCGCCTCTGCCATTCAGCTTCTGGTTGGAATCTCCGCTATCTTTAGCAGATGGGGTAGTTTTTTCACCACTATTGTTGCAGGAGTAAGTTTTACCATATACACAAACATGGTTTAGAATAACGCAAACAAGTAACTAACTGTTTTCCACTAGGTTTCCGCAGTATTCACCCTCGGTGGTGCAGCCACCGCCTCTGTTCTCTACGGTATCCTTGTCGGAGCTATCGAAACAGGCCTTAAGCCATTCAACATCAAGGCTAGCGTTGGCACTCGCATGCTCTCCATCTACTGGCTAGGTGCCCTTTTCACCATCGCAGGAGGATTCTTCTGGCTCCTTAGCGTGTGCTGCTGCTCCGGCCGCTCTCCATACGGCCACCGCGATAACCGACGTGGCGTCACTGCCGAAAAGGCCCCTTATACCTACGAGCGTGTTGCTAGTCCATACGGCGCCCACCCAGGATCTGCTGTCCCCATGCACAACATGCCTCCCCACCATACTCAAGACACCGCCTACGAGCCCTTCAGACATGACCACCGCGTATAAATCTTTTTCATCCTTTCATATACCCACGTTTTCGTTTTCCTTTCTTTGAATGAAACGGCCCAAGTGAGCGATGGAGTGAAATTAACGACCCGTTCATGATCACTAGTGAACTTTGGCATCACTACCCAAATCCGATAGACTCTCTATATCTGTTCCTTTCTTTTTTCTTTACCCCATGTATCTTGTCTTCATTTTCATGGTGCGGGGATGGCGTTGGCTCGGCCTGGCCTTGATATGTTTTGCTTTACTATGTCTTGTATCTACTGACGCACGGAGTACATAACAAATAACTTCATATTTGCACAAAAATCACACCCATCCCAATGATACGAACGCAATTCTATCATAGCCCTGATTATAGCTGAGTTACGGGAGTACAATGTAGTTGTAAGACATTGCTATGTCTATATTTAAGACAACCCCATTTAGAAAGCATAGACGGACCAAACGCCTCAAACCATGATGATCTGACTCAGTTCGATGCTGGCTCTGAGTTTATGCTCAAGCAGGGTAATTAACTAGGTATGTATGTAGGCATGTTGATGAATTATCCGAGTAGGTTTGGGCTTCCGAAAGAAAGCTAGATCAAGCTTGGCTTCTGATTCCAGTGGTTGATGCAAAGTGCAGTCGAGTATACAAAGGCCTTCTTTGATATTGATACTTATATAAATATGTGTGAGGTACTGTAAAAGGGTCAAGAAAGCTGATATACGGCTAACAAATGTAGCAGTGAGATGTTCGAGGGTACTATACAGAGTAGGCTGGAGACTATTCGAGAGGAAACCAGAAAAAGCCTGGACGCAAAAGGGAGGATAACAGCATGACTGTGTGAACCAGATGTTTCCAGCCAATAGTTGAACCTCGCTTGTTGGCAGCAAGTTTCCTTGGGCATGTTAAGTGCCGGTTGTGTTTGAAAAAAACTAGATCCCCCGTTGAGGTTATCAACTCCGAGCATCAATCTCCTCCAAGGCCAAAAGAGTAAGATGGAGACAAGAGGCCTTCATATTCCACAGAAGAGAGTCGGAAATATTATAATGAAACAATAGACCAAGGAAACCAATCAAACTCGCACGCTAAACAGGAAGGGGAGAACAGCAGGTAGATGTGACGGAGGAGAGACTAGGTAGGCCGTGAAAAAAAGGATGCTCTCGACTGTGATCATCGCTTGCGCTCGAAATATCCGGTCGATCCCAACACGGCGATGCTCTGGTCCATCACCCATTCACCAACACCGAGATAGCCATCTAGCCATCGTTTAACTTCTTTGCTCTCTGTGATCTTATCAGAGTTCAGGCTGGGGCTAACGTCATGTTTGGCCGTTCGTCCACGACCCATGCGATGCTCGTCCGATTCAACCCACCACACCGCGTTTTCTCCCTTTCTACTCGCAGGCTGAGTCCAGGTAAGACGGGTGAGGTGGGAGTTGGACAGAGAACACATGGGACGGGCGGGCGGGAGGACACAAGAGTTAGTTACTTTTGCTTCGACTGGTGAGGGTGCGTAGATATAGTGATACTATATTGTGTGGCTGGAGGTATAGATGGGCAAGGAGTAGTTACGTTAAACCAGTCGACCGTTTGATTCCTGCTAGAAAGGCAGAGACTGCGAGAGGTTAGCATATTATCCTATATGCAGAAAAGAGAAAATATGGCGAGTACATACATAGTACAGCGTCGAAAGCGTAGTGAGTGAGACGTCCGAGCTATTGATCAACGGTGTTAGCTACCTAGGTAGTTTCGAGAACCACGAGACAGAGAACATACAACCATCTTGTACAGGGTGCGACTGGAGAGATATGACTTGAGCAGAGGTCAACCGCTGAAAGAGTAGAGGATAGTATCTGATATAATATTTCTTTCCCGTTGAGCCGACGTTGTCTATGGCGACCGAGCAGAGAGAAGCACAGCTGTTTCCCTTCTTGGCCGATGCCTGATAATCGATAGGCTGGCGGATTTTGGCACAGTCACATGACCAATGACTAATGAATTATGTCATTTATCTTATATAAGCGTTTTGATTCCCTTTTAAGACTAGTGCAATCTCTCTTATCACAAGACCCACTTTTACGGGAGTAAGATGATCCGAAAGCCTGATAAGAGTTCAGCCAATTAGAGAGCTCGGATGCGTCGGCTCATTGTTTGAACCCCGCCAAGTCCGAGCGTCTTTTTGATAGAAAGAAAGAGAAAAGAGACATAAAAGACGAAGAAAAAGAAGAAGAAAAGGACGGAAATAGACGAAGAATCAGAAGATGGACTCCGTAGCATGCGTAGACAGAGACGGGAGAAGACGTATGGTGAGACGGGGCCTGCACAGGTATAATCAAACAGGCAGAGGACCTGAGACGAGTGACGTAGCTAGAGCAACCTGTGGTGCACGCTATGCAGGGAGAGATTCCTTGTGCATTCTGAGCTGTCCAGGACCCTCCGGCAGCGATCTTAGCACCAGCACCGCATCCTCCAGCACCAGCAACAAGCTGAACTCACGAGCGAGAACGACCAGTAGTGAGACTCCGGAGCAAGGTCCGCAGTAGCATCGAGTACTTCTAGTTTACTTCCTTTAGCTAAAATATAACTGGAGCGACCAGAAAACAAAAGACTACTTCTACCGGCAAGTGTGTGCCTAAAGTAAGTCCCGCTAAAAAGTCACTCAACGCCCAACAAAAAGCAACCAACTCGACTCACGCATTAAAACACGACTTCAGCTCTTCTTCTCCGAGCTGCGTCTGTCCTGTTGCATCTCCAGCTCCCTGCATCTTCTTCCTCTTGGACTGCGCCACTGCGAGCGGCCTGTATAAAAGCAACTAGCAAGTCCTCATCCGCCCTCGCGTCTTACCGCCTCGCCCACAACCAGCAACAACTCGCAACTCTCTACCACCGCAGTCAACCAGCAGCAACCAAACATGGCGAACTCGTTAGACCATCTCACCAACAGGATGAAGCTCGAGTGGCATTCCCAGCTGGATACGGAGTACAAGCCAGCCAATAACTACCGCCGCACTTCTATCATTTGCACCATTGGTGAGTGTGGACACACAGACGCCTATGCTGTAGCTCTACGCCTGGGAGCTAACAAGGCTAACATCTCTCTTCAATTGCAGGTCCAAAGACAAACTCAGTTGAGAAAATTAACATGCTACGTGAAGGTATGCATTCTCTTTCTCTAAAGCCATAGATAGCCATTGTTCTTCTAACCGCTTTGTTGTCTATAGCTGGTCTCAATGTTGTCCGCATGAACTTCTCCCATGGAACTCACGAGGTAAACACTTACTTCATTATTGTCTCTCCTGGTCATTCTTTTGGCTAACCTGCTTTTGATCTGTCTGTTTAGTACCACAAATCTGTCATTGACAACGCCAGAGAAGCTGAACGCATCCTAGCTGGCCGTCCACTCGCAATTGCTCTCGATACCGTACGTTACCTTATTCATACACACACATAAACCTTGGCCTGCTCCTCGTAGCAAGAAACATGCCCTGTAGACATGGATTTGGAGCTGACATCCTTGTAGAAAGGACCCGAGATTCGTACCGGCAACACTCCTGGTGACAAGGATATTCCCATCAAGGAGGGAACGGAACTGAACATCACAACTGATGATAAATATGCCACCTGCAGCGATGACAAGAACATGTTTGTTCCCCGGCATCTAGCTGTTTCCCTTTCCTTTCATTGTTCCAAGCTAATTGCATATGCCCAGGTACGTCGACTACAAGAATATCACCAAAGTTATCGCCAAGGGTAAGCTGCTATACGTAGACGACGGCGTCTCTCATCGAAGTCTCGATATGTCGACGAAAAGACCCTGCGCGTCAAGTGTCTGAACAATGGCAACATCTCATCCAAGAAGGGTGTCAACCTGCCCGGAACCGACGTCGATCTCCCTGCACTGTCCGAAAAGGACAAGCAGGATCTCAAGTTCGGTGTCGAGAACGGCGTTGACATGATCTTTGCCTCCTTTATCCGTCACGGAAGTGACATCAAGCACATCCGCGAAGTCCTGGGCGAGGCCGGCAAGGAGATCCAGATCATCGCCAAGATCGAAAACCAGCAAGGAATGAACAACTTTGACGAGATTCTGAAAGAGACTGACGGTGTCATGGTTGCTCGCGGTGATCTCGGCATCGAAATCCCCGCCGCAAAGGTCTTTATTGCCCAGAAGATGATGATTGCCAAGTGCAATATCAAGGGCAAGCCAGTCATTTGCGCCACTCAGATGCTGGAGTCAATGACTTACAACCCACGCCCAACCCGCGCAGAGGTATCTGACGTTGCCAATGCTGTGCTAGACGGTGCAGACTGCGTCATGTTGTCCGGCGAGACTGCCAAGGGTAACTATCCCAAGGAAGCCGTGGCGATGATGCACGACACCTGTCTTCTCGCCGAAGTCGCAATCCCATACGTCAGCGTGTTCGATGAACTGCGCAACCTTGCTCCCAGGCCAGCAGATACTCTAGAATCCATTGCCATGGCGGCTGTCTCTGCCAGTCTGGAACTGAACGCGAGCGCCATCTTGGTCCTCACCACTTCGTAAGTCCTTGGAGCTGTTCCTATTTTGCTGAAAGGGGGAGGGTATAAGCTGACATCGTGTCTTATCATGTAGCGGAAACACTGCTCGCCTGCTATCCAAGTACCGTCCAGTCTGCCCTATTATCATGGTCACGCGCAACCCCAGAGCCGCACGAGTAAGTTTGATCTCTCGGTTAGCATATAACGTCAACTCTGCACTTACTGACATCTTGCCCACAGTACTCCCATCTATACCGTGGCGTGTACCCCTTCATCTTCAACGAGCCCAAGCCCGACTATAACGTCACTGAATGGCAGAAGAACGTCGACCTCCGTCTCAAATGGGGTATTGCTCAGGCCATCGAGCTCAAGGTCATTTCCAAGGGCACCTCGGTGGTCTGCGTTCAAGGCTGGCGTGGCGGCCAGGGCCACACCAACACCATCCGTATCGTCCCCGCCGAACCCAGACCATCTCGGCCTCGTTTAAGCAACGAACCACGAAAAAAAAAATCAGAGAGAGAGAGAGAGAGAGAGACGGGATATGGGGTAAATAGCTCTCTTTCTGGATGAATATTTGGATCTTTTTGCTTTTCTTCTTCTTCTTTTCGTTGCATGGGAGATAATAAATGTCGGGATTGAACGTTTATGCCCTTTTTTTGTTTTCACGAGTTTTATGATCTGTCGTCATCCCGTTTGAGAGTTGTTGAATAAATGTGCATCTTCAGGATAGCAATTTTAATACAGACTCGGGAATACAGTCCACATTGAATATTATAAACGAGAGAAAAGAGAGAAAGAGAAAAAGGGCGTTGATGGAGTAGGTAGGTCAGTAGCTGGCCGGGTATATTCGGGCTGGGCGGCCGACGGGATTTTGGGCCGAGGTCGTTTTCTTAGTCACATCAGTCCACCATACGTCACTCCTACTACTTCAACAGACAGCTTCCATTGATTGAATGAAGATGGTATTAACGAGAATCAAAATATGCTTTTTACTACATGTAAAGTAATATGGAGAAGAGAGAAGATAACTGGCTTTAATGATTTACAGACGCCGCAGACTTTGAGTAAATAATAATAAAAAGGAAAAATGGTGAGAAAAATGAGTAAAAAGTATAGTAGTATAACAAAACGGCCGCTCTGCAAAATCGACCAAATGGCAAATGGGAGGAAAGTAGGTAGGTATAAATGGAGTAGATATCACAGGAAGATGAATATAAGTAATGGAGCTGGAAGTGGATGGTAAGAAGGTGGTGTGATGGTATTGATGGAGGCGGACCAGCTAGATAGGGATAGGTAGGATATAGGGAGGAAGGAAGAAAAGGTAGAATGCAACGGCTAAACGGAAGTTTCACAAGAAAACGATATATCCAACTATAGCCCGAGAGAGATGAAATTCCAATTTGAGTAGTTAGTTTATGGTTTTGTGTTAAGATGGAAATGGTTCTAGGGGGGGGGTTTTCGCGCGAGTCTAATGGTTAGTGGTTAAGGGGGGGGTGGTGTTGTGTTGATGTTCCAGTGTAGTGTACCGGTCATACTTCGACGGCTGTTGGCTCTGCTGGTTGAACGGTGGCAGGCTCAGTTTCCATTGGCTTTGGTTCTCCTTTCTCTAGCTCCTCGACGGGCTTTGGCTTAGCCTCTTCTGGCGCTGGCTCCTCTGGCCCAGGCTCCACGGTCTCGGCCTCCTTTGGTTGTGGCTCTGCAGTAGTCTCAGTCTTAACCTCCTCCTGAGGTTCAGGCTGAGGCTCCTCTGACTTGGTTTCTTCCTGCTTAGGTTCTTCCCGGACCTCCGCTGGCTTCTCACCCGCTACCTCGGCTGCTTTCGCAGGTTCAGATGGAGCTTCTTCCACTACAGGCAGGGTCTCGACTTCAACCTCAGGTTCAGCGGGTGCAGGAGTAGGAGCAGGCTCCTCGGCCTTCACTGGTTCCACAGTTTTTGCTTCTTTCACAGGTACCGGCTCAGCAGCAACAGGTTTCGACGACGCCACCTCAGGTGCTGCAGCAGGTCGCACAGATGGTCTGGTCGACTTAGTTCTCGCCGGGCTTCCTGTGTGAGCTGCCGTTGTTGCCGTTGTTGGTGATGTGGTCCTCGTCGTCTTTTCTGCACCTGGTTTCCTGGTAGCCGGTGCATGTGCATGCGCCTTGTTGGGAGCAAGTCTTGGGGGACTAGTGACCTCCAGTTTCTCCTGCCTCTTACTCGCTGAGCTTGCAGTTGGTCTTATTAGTCTTGCCAGGGAGGAGTCGTCAACCGGTCTGGAGCCGGCCATGCTGGCGCGAGAAGTCGGCCTGTCGTGTGTGGAAGAGTGCTGTGGTGCAAGGGAGGCCCGGGAACCTTGTTTGCGAACCGTGGATGTGGTAGTCGTAGTGGCGGACGGGCCGGAAGGTTTGGATGGACCTGTGGTTCGAGGGGCAGAAGGTCGCAAGGTTGACGGTTTGCGGCTCAGGGCTTGAGTTTTGGTGGTGTTGGCAGGTGTGCTGCTCCGGCTTGATGGGCGTGACGGCGATGAGCCAGGTGCTTTTGCTGTGGATGAAGCTGTGGGAGCCAACATGGAGCCATGAGTGCGGGTTGGACGGGTAGGGGACTTGGGACCGCCGTTCTTGTGAGCTGAAGTAGCCGGTTTGGCTTTGGCAGGGCTGCCGGTGGCAGTACTCTGGGTCTTGCCTGCTGGTTCTTGCAGGACTTTGTTGAGCTTCTTGGTAGCGTTTATAGTTTGAGACTGTGCGGTTTCCTTTGCGGTTGTAGCTGGTACAGCTGGAGATCTGGCAGATCTGGGAGCAGACGATGGCTTGGAGCCTGCCATTGATGGCCGTGGTGTAGCTTTGGACTTTTCCCCTGAGCTCGAGCTGGTGGCCGAACGCGAGCTGGTCTTGGTTGTAGTAGCTGATGCAGTAGCAGGAGTAGCCGTCTTCGACTTTCCGTTCAGCTTGTCGTCTGTCTTATTCGCCTGTCTACCGGCCTGTCGACCCTTTGCCGGGCTTGTAGGTGCACTGGTGTCTTCAAAGGGCGATCCCTTCAGGATAGTACCCAGACCGGCCTTGACCTTGCCATCAGCAGCGGCAGCGGTCTTATCTGTGCCGACGTTTGACACAATTGGGTCAGAGAGCTTTCGAGGCGAGATAACACCATCCAGGCTGTTGCCTCCCTGTTGTTGCTGTTGAGGAGTGCCCCATTTTCTCGGCGAGGTGCTGTCCACCGGGGTGCGGGTGGTGTTTCTATCAATTGGGCTGCCCATCTCGTCTGTCACGCTTCGTGGAGGAGCACCAAATGACTCTACTCTCTTGAGGCCGAGTATAGGGGAACCGGAGCTGCCTGGCAGGTTGCGTTCGACGGCGACGAAGCTGGCACGGACTTTGGACAGCGGTCTTGCCAGCGGCGGAGTGGTCTGACCCAGCAGGCGAGCGGCCTCGAGACGGCGGAGATGTTGATATGTTGCTGACGTTGTTGTTCTCAAACTTCGCCAGCAGGCCACGAACGCTTGTAGGAGCCGACATGGCGAAGAGCAAAGAAGAAGAGAGGAAAAGAAAGAAGAAAAAGAAGAAGAAGAAGAAAGAGAGGAAGAGAGCAGAGCAGAGCAGAGAGCGACCAGAGAGGCCCAAGGATATCAGATGTGACCTGGACCTGGACCCCCTTTTTTTTTTTCCTCCCTCCCTTGCTGCCTTTCTTTCTTTTCTCTTCCTTCGATAGTTGGATAGAAGAGCTGTGTCTCTCGGTCCCGTATTCAACCCTGTAACCTCGAGGCCTTCTTCGGCAGCGCGGACAGAAAGTATTTATTGATAGTTCAGATGGGTGGTAAAAAAGACGCTGGAGTCTCGGGCGAGCGAGCGGGAGAGTTGCGGAGGAGGGTGATTTCACGCCCGTTCTAAGGGGACGACGAGACGCTGCAGGTGGCCACGGCAACCGGGGGGAAATTATTATGAAACAAAGCACGAGAGGGCAGGCGACCGTTTTCTCCTTCTTATGCGATCCTCAAACTGGGCCTTTCAAGGGCCGCGCCGACAAGGGTGAGAGTAAGGGAGACAAGCAGCAGCAGCGACAGGCAGCGACAGCTCCTTAACTAGCAGGCAGAGCAGAGTAGAGCCAGAAGGGGGGCCCAAAGGGGAGGAGCGCGTCCTTACTTGGTGGTCTTTTTGGGTGGAGGAAGCTAGACACGGCACTATTGAAAGTCTGTAATGACGACGAGCTGCAGACAGAAACCCCAGCAACCGTTGCTGACTCGACGGAGGACGGAGTAGCTAGTTGGCTGGCTGCTTAGGAAGAGAAAGCTGACGGATCCAAAGAGCGACGGGTGAAACGGCCGTCGTGGTGAGATGCGTTTAGCTGCTGGCTATTTATTTTTACGGAGCGCTGCGTTACGGAGGGAAGAAGCCCTTAAAGTGCGATGAGACGCCGTGTATAAAACGGTTAGATGACCGTAAGGACATAACAGCTGGAAAGTGTCTCTCTTCTGGCTGTTGTTATATAACATAGGCTTGCTATAGACATAGAGAGGGAGGTTATGGCTGTGCCTAACCACCGGCCTGTCTCGTGCCTGACCAGCTGGTCTTGCTTCTGTCTTGCTGGTTGCTGCATGATATCGTCCAATAAATATCATATTTACCTGTCGACTTTGCCCTTGCACAGCGTCACCCACCAGCCACGAAACAGGAGTCGGTGGTAGTAATATCGCTAAGCACAGCGGAGGAAAGTGGCCTGTTTGAGCATGCAGCTACAACTTACTCCAGAGTAGCTACTCCAGGTGCATCCATCCATATACTTACTCCATAGTCAACTCGTATATACGGGGTCAAAGTCTTGTTCCCGAGTAAACAAACAAACAGAGGCTTGCTGCTGCCTCAGCCTTTCGTCTCGTCTCCCCACCCGTTCGCCCTCGTCTTCTTCGTCTTTTTATACTCTTCATATTTGTTATCTCGCTTCTTTATCTTCTTTGCCTTTTGCTTCTTCTTCTTCTTCGGTTTCTTTTTATTTTATTTTTATTTTTATTTCTATTTATTTACTTATTTTCCTTGATATTACAGGGAATCTGCTTAGTCAGCAACTTCTGCAGGGAAGAAAAAGAAAGAAAAGAAAAACTTCAAGATGAGTCGAAAGAAGCCGAAGACGCTTGAAGCAGCGACCGCAAAGACAAGACAAGATGGCTGCCAGAACATTGAGAATAGGTCAATTGCTCTCCACCGCTGCTCTTGCTGCCTGACAATATGCTAACTCTGCTCTAGGTCTTATTCCGGGTGACGGGATCGGTAGGGAGGTTATCCCGGTACGTTGAAGAAGCTCCTCTGCAGCACGGAAAGAAGAAAAATACCCCCCTGCTGGAGCTCCGTTGACCATGGATATATTCCTCTGCATGTTAACTACAGGCCGGTCGACGCATCCTCGAAGCTCTGCCGGCGTCGTTGGGCCTGAAGTTCACCTTTGTCGATCTCGAGGCAGGCTACGACACCTTCCTGCGCACAAAGACCGCTCTGCCAGACAAGACGGTCGAGACGCTGAAGAAGGAATGTGACGGTGCTTTGTTTGGAGCTGTTAGGTAGGTTGCTGCAACTCTGTATCTGCCACCGAGGAAAGAGAGATGGGATCAATGGGCTAATTGACTGGCGAAGCTCTCCATCGACCAAAGTCGCGGGTTACTCCTCCCCCATCGTCGCACTCCGCAAGAAGCTAGACCTCTATGCGAACGTACGGCCAGTCAAGACCACGGCCGGCGCCAACGCCTCAGTCAGACCAATTGACCTCGTCATCGTCCGTGAGAACACCGAGGACCTCTACGTCAAGGAAGAGAAGACCTACGACACCCCCGACGGCAAGGTGGCAGAGGCCATCAAGCGTATCTCTGAACGCGCCTCTTTCCGCATCGGTGCCATGGCCGGCGAGATCGCTCTCCGACGCCAGAAGATCCGTCAGGCTCAGTCTGCAAACACCACCACTACAGAGCCCATGGTAACCATCACCCACAAAAGCAACGTTCTCAGCCAAAGTGACGGATTGTTCCGCGAGACTTGTCGCAAAGCCCTGGCCAACGACAAGTTCAGTAGCATCAACGTCGAGGAACAAATCGTAGATTCAATGGTGTACAAGCTCTTCAGACAGCCATCATACTACGATGTCATCGTTGCTCCTAACCTGTACGGAGATATTCTATCAGACGGTGCTGCCGCGCTCGTCGGAAGTCTAGGTCTGGTTCCTAGTGCCAATGTCGGTGACGGGTTTGCTATTGGTGAACCATGCCACGGCAGTGCCCCTGACATCGAGGGTAAGGGCATCGCCAACCCCATCGCCACTATCCGAAGCACCGCTTTGATGTTGGAGTTCTTGGGTGAGGGCGAAGCTGCTGCTAGGATTTATGCGGCTGTCGATGCCAATCTTGATGAAGGCCGGCTCCTTTCCCCAGACCTTGGTGGCAAGGCAACCACCACCGAGGTGTTGGAGGACGTTCTTAAGAAACTTTAAAACAGTCTTGTAAGGATATCGATCACAGCCCTAACTAGCTACTGCATTTAGATAGATGGTGTATACCAAGTAAAAAGCTTTTCATATCAGTTAACTCCTCTATACAACCCCGCTAACCCGTAAGCACGCCATCATTTTCAAAAAAAGAGTAGGTCTAGTCGACCTCTGCCTCTCCTGATGCACTTTCATCCTTTGGTGGTTCTGCTCCTGGTTCTGCTTGAGCCTCTTTCTGCATCAAAAGCGTAAACAACACCACAAAGTAGATATCCCCATTGGACTTGTTCTTCAGTATATACCGCAGCTCATGGTTCTTTTCGTCGATATATTTAGTAACAGGCACAGGGAAGCCAGGGATACGGATCGTAAAATCTGCCTCCCAGTTAGATTTGACATACGACGGACGCTCAAGGAGGAAGGGGAAGGACGATATCATACCGCTGAATCCAATGTAAGGATTTCCAAAATCCGCTTTATACACCCTTCCTGGCTCAAACTCGAAGACTTTCCTCTTCTGCTCGTCTAGGAAGAACTTCTGCCTCAGCCCGTTGTCTTCGGGTATCTGCAGCTCCTCTCGAACTGCCTGCCCGCTGCCTTCACCCCCTTCCTCAACAACAGCTTCATGTATCTCCATGTCCGAGTTCTCTGTTTCATCCTCTTTACCGCAGACCCGGAAATAGTTCCAACTTGACAGACATGGCCCGTAAATGTAAGGTTGGTCCGCGTATATATCCCCTTCTAACCCCGGGTCAACCCACCACTTGATAAATTTAAATGCATAGCTTGATCCTGGCGGAAGCCTGTCCCGAATAGGCCGGTCAAGGTCATTCCCGAGTACTAGGTCGTTTCCGGCTATGCCCTTTTTCGGTACGAATGAAATGGCAAGAGAGTACTGGTCGTTTATGCGGGTTGGGTGCGAGAAGTGTGCGTGTGTTCGTGGCGAGGAATCCGGAAGACCTACATAAAAACGGAGCACCCGTTAGCTGGTTACTCTGGAAGGAACCTGATATTTACAAAAGTAACTAGGCAAGGGTGGTGGCAGTACCATTGTAGTCTTGTATACGAAGACAAAGGTTCACTTTTGCATGCTCGGTTTCAATGCATAGGTTGGAATCTGTATTCACATGAACGATGGTATGTGTTGATGTGTCGTATGTCGGACCAGCTGTAATCTGGAGCTTGTATTGAGGACCTGATTCTCTTGATGCCATTGTCTAAGGCTCAGTGGTCCTTGAAGACACTTGTATATGCCAGATGTCGAGCCGTCTAGACTATTGGCTGCAGGTAAATCCTGGACCCTTGTGTTTGGGCACGCGACACAACGGACTTCGGTAAAGGGTATAAAATGGCGGGTTAATGGCGATGCCTAGACCACGATAGTTTAAGTGATATCCTGGAGGAGTTGACTCTCCTTCTTTTTCAACTCGAAATCCTCCTTCTGGCGTTGTTTGTCTTTTTCAGCCTTCTTCAACTACTTTTTTTTCTGCCGGAATGACGTACCTCGGTTTTTGGACGCTTGTTTTCAAGGCGGTCAGATGGCTTGGCAGGTTGGATCTATAAAAACCGCAAATATAAACAAATGATAGGTTAGGTAGTTATCAAATCGATAGCTTCTCATGTAAAAGTATTTGGAGAAAGATAAGGTGACGAGCTAATACTTATTAGAAAAATGAAGCCATAGTCTATGAAGATACCTAAAGATGCAGAATAATATTGACTAAAAAGATGGACCTGGTTCGACATGCTGTCTATAACAAAGGAAATATTTAAAATGAGAGGTATATGAGAAAATATGATAATGTAAATCTGCATCCCTCATGCTCGTGGAGAGATGGGTGAGATAGTAGGGAAAGCTGTTGCAGGTTTGCATGCACTTGAGAGGGCTTCGGACTCAGACCACACATCTTCTTCAATCACCACGTTGGTCTCAGATTTTGGACACCGTCTGCGTTTCTTCCCCCTCGCAATTTCCACATTTTTGAACCTGCTTACGGTCTCTGGTGTTATGGGCTCGTTTCCAAAGCCGTTGAAGGAGTGTCGCAGGCCAGCCATGGCGCTGCTACATGTACTTGGCCGAACCGCCTCTTTGGCCAGAAGCTGGATTCCGTTTTGCCATTCAGCAATGGCCTTCATGGCTTCGTTTTGTTTCTGCTGGGTCTGCCGGATTGCGTTCCAAGATATGTGCTCAACGTTCCTCAGTCGTTTCTCCAACTGGGCCTTTTCAGACTGCAGCGTTGCGTTTTCGGCCTTTATTTCAATAAGGGAGGTTGAGATGACAGAGAGACGAACGTTTAGACCGCCAACTTCTTTCCGATGCTCAGCAGACTGCTCTTTGGCAGCTTCCTCCAGGGCAGCAATCACTTCTTCCTTCTCGGTTTCAAGGAGCTTCATCTTTTTGTTAAGCTCCATGACCTTCAGATCGCTTTGGTGGAGAGACGCCTCGATAGATTCAGTTGTTTCCCTTTCTCTCTTAAGACGGCCTTCAAGCTCAAATATTCTTGCCTTGGAGAGATTTCCTGCATCTCTCATTCGCATGTTCAATGCCGTAAGCTTCTCTGCTTTTTTGTTCGAAGCAGCCACCTCGTCCTCTAATTTTGAATTCAGCCTCTCAAGCATAAGCAAGTCTTCTCTATACTTGCTCAGGGCATCCTGTAATCGCATTTTGTCTGTTTCTTGCTCTTTCATGTCTTTCTCCATACTCTGTAGCTTTATGCGCATGTTCAACGTATCCTCCGCAATTGATTCCGCATATCTCCCTATCTTACTTTTCTCCTTTGCTTCATTCTCTAATCGAAAGAGGGTGGCATCGAACTGTTTTCTCAATGCTCTTTCGCGGTCTTCGCCACTTCTGATTTGATCTTTGGCTTGTGTTAACCCGCGTACCAAACGGTGAATTCGATCGACTAAAGCATCAATAATGGCTTTCCAGTTGGATAAGCTTGCGTTTGCTGTTTCCCCTGGAATTAGTCTTTCAAGCTCAACTCTTGCATGTCGGAAACGAGCTTCGATATTGGCAATGATTTCCGCTCCACTTTCTCCGCCGAAACCATGACCAGAGAGCTCACTCTGGAGATCCTTCACGTTTTGAACTGCCTCAGCTGCCTTGGCAGTGGCGTCTTGCAATGTAGTAATGACTTGCTTTGCTAGGTCAGGTGGAGGTAAAGCACTGGGTTCATCTCCGATTTCGACATCTTGGGTAACAACATTAGACTGTCCTGAGATTCTTTGCCATTCCTCGAAAAGGTACAACTGTTCCCTATTCTTATCATTGAGCTCACGAGTGAGCTGGTCAATCTGAGCTAGTGTGTTTGGATCGGAAGAAGCTGATGACGATATCGTACGTCCAAACGCTGATATTGGGGTGCTACTACCCATAGGCGTGGAAAGAGGGCTGTTGGACGCACTGAAATCTTCATCCATCATGTCATCGTCTAGTATATCAGCGGCTCTTCCACTCGTATTTGGGCAGGGAGTCAACAAGGACTCTTCAATCGGGTGTGAATTTTGCCTTTCACTCCTCATTGGAGTCTTACAGCCGCTCTCCTGGCTCGTTGAGTGTTGGCCATCTATATCCATCCTTTGGCTTCTTAAGGACTCGATCTCCATCTGCAGTTGTCGCATCTGCTCATCCTTCTGCCTCTGGAGCCTCTTCTCTTCTTTCCGTCTTCGATCAATCTCGTTCATTGCTTCGCTAAAGCCGAGACGCTGTATGCGCCTCCTTGCCCGGGGGTCAAGAATATCATGGAAACGCAGATACCGGAATATATTTGATTCAGGAGTCGACATCGCCATCTCTGCCTGTGTTTGTCGAAGTTGAGAGTATACGGTAGGGTCGGAGTGCCGCAGACGTGAGTCTCGCCGCTTTCCACCACTTTGCGGTGCGTGAGCAGCATCATCATCATTGGTCTTGTTCCCAAAAAGTGTCGTCCGCAATACTATTGGTGTTAAGCCGGTTGATAGGTCACTTTGCTCGGGGGTATTATCTTGTTCAGGCTGACAACCCGGATCAGAGAATCGAACCCTCTTCCTCGAACGTCGAGGAGTTTGGGCTTTGCGCGGTGTACACGGCGCATCCGCTAGAGAACAGCACACTGCTGGTTCTTGTACTACGGGGACTGGCCTATCTTTGGGCAATGCATCTTCAGCTCCGGTTTCAGAGACTCGGTTATTAGCTGGCGGACCGCCAGATCCGCTCCGCAGTCCAGGACGCATGGATAACAACCACCGCTTATATGTCTGAAGAAGCGGTAGCCTGCTCGATAACCAGTCCGGCTGTACTAGGGATTCTGTCAGCGATGTCCTATTCATAACTCGCATTTCCTCGTAGCTAGCATGGGAAAAGCGCGGTGTATTGGGTCAGGGATGCCGGGTTGTCGACCACCGACTCCTTTTAACAGATCGCGAACAATGAAGCGAATCTTTCATCCCATACAAAGAAAAGGAAACAATAGCTGCCTTACCTAAGAGTTGAAGAGCCGGCAAAAGTATACCCGCGTCGATGTAGATGTCTTGTTACGGAGTATATCAATGCAGAAGCCCTGGCCGAGTCAAGCAAGGGATAGATAGCTATGCGCGTCTGCGAGGGGCCGGCGAAGTAGTTGACTAAAACAAATAAAGTATCCCTAACTCTAGGGAGCGGATGCGGGAGTGAGACAGCGCAGCTTATATATACATACGGCAAAGCTTTCGGGTTGCCGTATTAGTTCTTGTTATTGTCAAAACATAACACATCGTTACCTATAGCAGGGATTGGCTGGTTCGGATGCAAATCAAAACATCAACAAACACCAACACTTGGCAACGGTTTCGCGTCTGGCGTTAAGTGGAAAATAACACATTTAGACGTGTTACTTTAGCCACTCTGTGTAACCTCAAGGAATAATTAAACAAAATGAGACAAAAGTGTCGTTAAGGGCCGCTGGGGAGATAGCTGTCTTCTGATTTTCTTTCAGTCCAGTCCAGTTAACTAAATAGTGTTATTGGGCGCTTGACATAATAGGCGCAACGCTCCAGCAGTAAAGTACGTCGCCTCAAGCATCTTGTTCCTTGTAAGGATTTGTAGTTTATTGATTGTACATCCATCGCCTTAGATGTCTATCGAACAGGAGAAAGAAGGCATTGTTTTACTATAACCTGAATCCCATACTATTCATCCTTCCTCCTTTCTGCAGCGGCTTGCGAGGGGTTATCAGCATCACGCCGGCTTCATCGACGGGGATGTCGGAGGACTTTAAGCCTAAACCAACCGTGCCCAACTCGCCAGGGATTCTCGCATAATCTCTCGAAAATCTCTTGAGTGATGTATTAGGGTCTTTCCACCAAGTAGATGATCCTGGTGTCTCGGCTGATCCGGCCTTCTCGCAGCTGGGAGCTTTTCTATTCGACGGGAGTGAAGGCGCAGGTGATCTCTTCGTGCGAGATGGCTTGGATCTCGATGGAAGGGTTGGTTGTTTATGCTTAATGTGGGAAGAAGCCGTTGTGTACTTTTGAAGAGGAGATGAAGACCTTGAAGGCTTTTGATAGGTCTTCTTGGTAGGAATACCGTCCATGTCAGGTTCAGTTGACTGGACCATGGCTGGTTCATTACTTGGGCGAATAGGCTGATGTGAACGCCCGCGTATAGACTGGAATATACCTTCTTCTCCACTCTCTTCATCTTCGACCCCCAATCTAAAAGGAGCTGCCTTCCTCTTCTGCGGTTTATTAATGGATACACGAAAGTACGTGTCGTCACCAAGCTCAACACTGGCCCTATTATGCAAACAGGGAGCCTCCAAATCTTTTTCTGAGTCGGTTTTCTCGCTCTCCGGGTCTCGGGTCTCCGATTTGCACGGTGACTCCAAAACGGCACGTTGTAAGGTAGAAATATGTTGTAGTTCAGGGGTTGCTTCTTCCATGACTTCATCTCCATGCTCGCTATCACAGTCACTTTCACCTTCTGTCTCTGTAACCACTGTTTGAAGATTCTTAACTGTTAGGTTTCGCCGCTTGTACAAGGGAAATTTGGCATGTTTTTCAAAGTAATCTCCATACGCATTGGGTTTCTTGCGTTGCTGACGGCACCTTTGTACGTAGTCTTGGTATTCAAACACTTCACGAGCAACAAAATCATCCCACAGCACTGACTTTTTCATTAAACCTTCATTTCGAAGAGATTGTAGCCTGCAGCATGCTTTTCTGAAAACCGCCAGGTTACCAGTATACTTTTTGTATGCCTGTTGAAATTTGTAGTATATTTCTTCTGTTTGAGAAGAAAAGGATAATCTGTCGAACTTTTTGTTGTTCTGTTGGCTAGGTACAGCAGGGGAGAATCCTACTAAATCCTTTGGATATTCTCGGGATTTTCCTAGGGGGCGATGGTTGTGAGAGTGATCTGCTCTTCCGCTTACGTTTCTGATTGGTATCATCAAGTATTAAGATAGGAGTAGAAGTCTCAATCGACGGAAGCACGGCCGTATTATGGTTGGGATTCTCCAGCGAGGACCCGGGGACCTGTAATACACTTAGAGAGTCATTGCAGTTGCCTGAGTTGCCGCTCCAGTCCCCAGAGAACTGGGAAGCAAGCGCCATTTGATCACTGTTTGGCAAGGACTTTTGAGTACTGGGGTCATGGATGGGAGATTTTAGTTTGGCACCTCGAGCCGAAAATGAACCAGTGCTGCTCTGAGCGCTTTGAATATTGGAGTGGGTGCGTTTGTGGTGGGTGGATGGCGTTTGTGGCTCCTCTGATCTATGCGCAGGCTGTGATTTTATTTGCTGTGATAGTAGGGTTTCGGACACATTTGTAATATCTTCATCATTTTCTATTCTCGTAGATCCCGCGGGAACGTCACAATCTTGTGTTGAGGTATACAAATCCTTGGGAATAGAAAGTTCTATTTCCGAATCTTGACAGCTTCCATCATCAGATAGTTCTCCAGCCTTCGTAACCAAACTTGGTGCACTTGTAAGCTGCGGGCGGGTAGAGGTATCAATTGAATTGGTAGGGTCAGAGGCAGGTATATTACTATAGAGTGTTGTGGACAACTTTGCCGTTCTTTGTGGTGGGCTACTATCGAGAGGCACAAGTGGAGTTTGAGGTGATGGTGATGGAGGCCAATCTTCGTCGGGAATTTGGCTACCAACTGAGGACGCTACTTCTCCGTTATCCAAGACTGGACTTTCTTGTAGGTTGGTTTCTCTGGTAGCTGATACCCTTGCTTTATGGCTCTCACTCCATTCTTGCAGAAGCTCAATGGGAACGAAATTCTGGGGAGCGCGTCTCCCAGTGTCCGGGGGTATCCAGGAGTCAGCGCTCTGTATCAAATTCAGCTGAGATTCGGGTATAACCACATCTCGTCGCCGTATCTTGTTCCAGCTGCTGAAAAAGCCTCTGTTAACAACTGGTTCAGTGGCTCTTGATTCCTTTTGGTGAGGTAGGGCGTTCGAGTATCGGGATTCGGGGGAGAGTATATGTTGACTTGCCGAAGCGGTCATTACTTCATGGGATGGTATGGCTTTATGCTGGTCGGGTTGAGATGGGGCTGCGCTCGGTTTCCGCCTAAGTTTGCTAGCGCTGTAGGGCGACGCTTGCCCACGCGGGGAAAAAGTTACAGAAGCTGGGGTAGTGCCTCCAGGTAATGGCGCAGTTGCGACACGCGTTGCGTTTGATGTAGTTTGCCTGGACGCAGGCGTGCTTGTATCTTGCTTGTCATCATTTTTGGTAGATGTGCGCCGTGGCTTGTTCCCAGAGGCTGTCCTATTCGGTGCTAAAGCCTCCATCAAATCTTGTGAATTTAATGGCTGAATTGCAACAGAGTCCTCATTACCCTCAGTTTTGGGCGTCTGCGGAATAACATGAGTCGGCGCTTGAGTATACCATTTACCTTCCTGAGTTGACATTAAATCATCACGATGGCTCGCAGGTTCTGGGCTTCCCATAGTACTAGGGTTATCAGCATCGGGTGGTGATACTGAGCACTCCGAGTCTGAATCGTCGCTGCTATCATTTCGTGCCCCCAGCGTCCTCGCTAGAGCCCGTCTTTCGCCGACCCATTTATCGCTTATCTTAAGAATAGCCTTGGAATGAACAACGTTTCTCGGATTCCCAAATACACCCTCTTTCACACACCCTTCCACTTTAATTTCATCAATATAAAGGGTTATTTCCGGGGGTGAAGTGTATAATTGTGCAATGGTAATTTCGAGCTTTGAAAGTCGTAGAAGGCATGGTGTCGGGTTTGATCGGATGTCTGAACCATTCTCCTTTTTAAAATCCTGACAAACACGCTCAGAGAACCTCGCACGAATACATGTATGGCCATCAGAAAGAACAGCTTGTGGGGTAGGCGTTTTTGGTAACCACTATTGCCGGTAACGGGCTAATTAGCAGCTAATCTCGTTCATCAGCCTCGGGGGAAGTGAGTACCTCCAGTAGCTGAGTGTATTTGGGGCGTTTGACGGGTGTTCGAAAGTTGCTCCCATCGTCAATGGTCTTCCCAAGCTCTCTGCAGCTGGGCTTCTTCTGGGCTTCTGTGTCCACACTCTGGCGAAAAGCCTGTTCGACCAGCGGCTCGATCCAATCTTTCAGCAGATCCATCCTGGTTTGGTATAGCCAAAATTAGAAAATCCGAATTAGAACTCATTTTGCCTGTGAGTCCAGCAGAAAGTAGAAAATCTCATCCGTTGTTCGCATTCTCTTTATCTCACTCGGCCGTTTGTTCGCCTCGCAGGGGTAAGTAAAACAAACGGCTGCGCGCTAACCAGTTAACTAAACTAGCCGCTAGACGAGCGTCTGCTCACGAGATCGCATTAAGTAATGCCAAAACAGCCTTTGGTTGGCTGCAGCTGCCGCCGGCATTTAGGCTGTGACGTTTAATGTCGATATCGACGAGAAGTATCAGATATTATTTATTTCATTTACCTCCATACACAAGCGCCAGCTACCATACATCACTGTTTCTCTAACGTATATAAACTCTCAGACTTATTTTTCCGACACAGTGCTCATTACCTTTCGGGAGCACCGGCTATATTCCACCTTGACCGACAAATAAAACAACTAGGCAGCATGATCAACGGCATGACGACTCCCGGCGGCAGCTGCTAACGACCATAGGCAACCCATTTCTTCCAGTGAAGAATATGCGGCAACGAAACTGAAGGATATGGGCCCCTCGGACTTTTTCAAAAAGTCCCCTGACGTTATTCAGCTATGGCATCACATACTCAAGAACCTTCGAGCCCCTCCGCCTCCTCGATATTCCTCCCACTCGGCAGGCGGTCTCGGCGTGGCTCTCATGCCTCCATCACTAGTGAAGCCGAAAAGGAAAATCTGACCGAGGCTCTAGATCAGATACACAGTGCTGCTTCACAGATGGGAACCCTCACCGTATTTAATGAATACACGAATCCCCCGGTTCGGTCCGTGGCCGTTGATAACAAGGGTCTGGTGGGTGACCTCCAAGGTGGACTAAGCGGTCTTTACAACATTTTCAAAGCATCTGTTGGGGGAGTTAGGGAAATGGTTGGCGGCCCGAGTAAAGCTACAGACGCTGTATCTCAGGATGCTGGCAGTAACGATCCTTCAAAAACTCCAGTTGCCGGAACCCGGCCTGTAGATGCTTCATGTACTCATGTAGCTTCGGCCCAGGCTTCGGCTACAAGCTCTCCTGTCATGGGGACGTTCCCACCGCTCTCAGAGGGCACTGGAAGTAGCCAGCCTAAAACCCCAAAGGTTTCCTCCAAAGCTGCGAGCATATCATCCAAGGCGTCAATACCCGCTGGAAACCCCTTAAAGTCCCCACTACTACCGCTATCCAAAGTGCATCTACCGGCCACAGCAGACCCCACTGTCACTGAGATTAATGTGAATGCTGTTAAAGATGGTCATCATCATCATAGAAGTAATTCCGGGAGTCTATCCTCTAGCCTGTTGATGAACTCCGATGCAATGACGTCGGAGCGAAAGGATCGACCATCGCATTTATCTTCCAGTCAGATATCCCAAGAATCCACTGCTGGTATGAGATCTCAATCACCTGTACTATTAGCCAAGGCAGGAAGTGGTACCTACAGAGATTTCCCAGAATCTGACTTCAGCCAAACAACTTTTCCTGAACCTACATCTCATGAGGGGTCGATATCTCCAAAGTTATATTCCAACAGCGCGTCGAGAAGTGGCTTATCCGAATTGGATACTTCAATGTATACTACTCAACAGAAACTTAACCAGGCTGAAAACACGCACGACGACAAATTTCGGCGCAAAGATACCTATGCAGAGGATTCCAATGTGTCACTGGCCATGGATTCAGGGCCAACCTCCATTTCAAATAGCATGTCCAAATTTGATAGTTCAACGCATGATGGAAACACTATCGCCACCCTAGACACATCTGTTTCTATGACTGATCGTGGGATTGCATCAGCACACTCATCAAAAGCTTCTATAAGCGCCCCTAGAGAAAAATTACCACCTCGCGTTAACCAACCGCAGCTGCCAAGGTTTGTGTTTCCTAGCATTGCATCCTCAGAATCTTCCCAAACAGTCTCAACCACGGGCCACACTTCAAAAAATAGCCACAAGGAGCCGGAGAAAGTAAGCCGAAAAAGCAATTATCCTTTCTATCCGCGATGGAGTCAAAGTGAGGCACATACTGGGGTTAAGAATAAACTGCTTAGCAAGGAGTTTTGGATGAGAGATGAGAACGCAAAAGATTGTTTTTACTGTGGGGAACCGTTCTCAACATTCCGAAGAAAGCACCACTGTAGGGTTTGTGGACAAATTTTCGATGCGAAATGCACAGCTCTTATCTCTGGGTCTTCTTTTGGATATTCTGGTTCTATTCGAGTCTGCAAACCATGTGACGCTGTTATCAATGCTCCAAGGGATGATTCTTCGGATTTCTCTGGTGACGAAGTGCGCAATCCGGTGGTCATCAACACTAGAGGATTGGAATCTCCAGGGAATAGCCTGGGTCTTAGCAACATTGGTGAAGACGATGCTGGCTCTACCATATCACAGTCTCTAGACCACGTATTAAAAACCCCAACCATGGCAATACCTGCCACACGACGCACTGGGGATGGAAATCACAGGCGGTCGGCTATCCTAGAAATAGACTCGGATCGTCAACTTGCGCGGCCAACCTCTTCAAGGTCTTTGAAGTCGGGACTAAGTAGGTCTCATTCAGTACCACATAAAAGACATCATTCAAGGACACAGTATATACGCAACTTTAAGCCCTACCATGACGAAAGAGCGCCGTTCCAACGACGCTTTGGAGATGATACACTTGGTGACAAACTGCCTGCATTCCATCGAGATAATATCATCGATCCTGACTTAGCCCAGTATCTCTCTGATGATGCTTCAAGCGAAGAGGACCAACCAAGTTTATTCTCGGTCGTCGGTGAAGGTTCGCTGTCTCGAAGCGGTGGGGATGAGAAGGCTTCATTTGGGGGGCTGCTTGCTGCTGTTAAAAAAGGCCGTTCTCGTTTTGGCGATAAAAGTGGCTTATATCCTTCGCGTGAAGTGGATGACGGGAGCGTTGCCAGCTCCCGGGCTATCAACTTGCCACGTTCAGCTAGGAGGCGAAATCTGAGCGTTGCAAGCAGCGTTCACCAAAGGATCTCTCCCCGAAGTTCGAAGGAGAATCCATCCCTCCATCATATACACGATATAAATGCCCCCGCATTCACCGCCCCAGCAAACCCTGCAACTACTGGTTTCAAAATGACTAGGAGTGCCTCCATGAGAGGTGCTGGGGCTCCGGCTATTGAACTCAATAAAGCCAGTTTGGACCATGTGCGCAAACTCCTGCACCAGCAGTTACGGGATTCATCGGTACCAAACTGTCAAAGCTGGGAAACAGCACTCCTGCCGATTCTATTGAAGGCAACAGATGATGTCGAACCAGACGTGCAACATGGTGATGATATGGATATCCGACATTATGTCAAGCTAAAAAAGATTCCAGGTGGGCGACCGAGTGATACAGCGTATGTTTCGGGCCTGGTGTTTACCAAGAATCTAGCTCTGAAGAGTATGCCGAGGAATATCTCACACCCTAGGATTCTGATTGTTACCTTTGCGTTGGAATATGCGCGTCAGCAGCAGCACTTCATGAGTTTGGAACCTGTTATTCGTCAAGAACGGGAGTTTCTTGAGAATCTCGTTAACCGAATAGCAGCCCACAGCCCTAATTTACTTCTGGTCACAAAACATGTGTCTGGCCTAGCCCTTCAATTGCTAGAAAAGGCGAACATTGCCACCGTCTGTAACGTCAAGGAATCTGTGGTGGAAGCCGTCTCTCGTTGCACTCAGACTAGGATTATAACCTCTATGGATCGCCTAGCTGCGCCTCTGTCTTATACTGGTTATTGTGGGAGCTTTGACCTGAAAACTTATGTTTATGGCAGACGGAAAAAGACATACATGTACATCTCCGGTTGTCCAAAGGAACTGGGATGCACCATAGTATTACGTGGGGCTAACATAGATATTCTCATGGAAATTAAGCGGATCACGGAGTTCATGGTGTATGTCGTGTACAATTTGAAACTCGAGACGTGCTTAATGAGGGATGAATTTGCGAAAATTCCGTCTTCTCCATCTAAGCTTGATATATCTGGCCAAAGGAGTCCCAATCCTACAGGCACACAAACAGCTGATGATTCAACTTCTCACACTGTCAAAGGTGAAATCACTGATATCCCTATCACAACAGATGGAGATTCTGGCAATGAGGTGTCTGCGTCTGAGAAGCGCAAACTTGCCATATCAACACAGGCACAACCCGACGAAAATGATGTTCCTGGCCCGGCTTTCTACGAAGACATGGTAGAGAAGCATCAAGTCAAGCTACTGTCAGCATCTCCATTTGTGAAGTTCCATCAGCCATACCTCCTTATGCGCGCACGGGCGCTGGAACGTCAACTTGCCTATCTCAAACGCCTTCGTGACCAAGACTTCTCTCAAGAGTCCTCACCGGAAGAGAAAACCAAGTCTGAGAAGTTCTTCCTGATAACGCCAGAGATGATACATGAATCCTTATCTGGTGCATCCAGTAAAGTGAAAGAAGTAATCCATGCCGTCCATGATGCTGAATACGACAGGGCGTTACATCACTATGAAACTCAAAAAAGACAGTGGGAAGCATATATATCGGGGAACATTAACCTCTTTGACCCTCATGCCCACCAAAATATAGTCGTCTTGTATAGTTTAGTCTGTACAAAAACGTCTATTCCATGCTCTGGCCCCGATACTTTTGCGCTTGGGTTTTACAATCAATATGATAGTGAAAAGATATTTGAGGCGGACTGCACTCTTGGACAATACGTTGAAGATTTATGCCATAGCGCAAACGCTGTTTGTGCCGCGAACGGCTGTGAGGAAAGAATGTTCGAACACCATCGTCAATATGTTCATGGCGAGGCTCAAGTTAGTGTATTCGTTCAGCCGTACCCGTCAAAACTACGAGGGCTTCAAGATACTATTCTTATGTGGAGCTGCTGCAAGAAGTGCGGCAATGAGACTCCAGCTATGCCCATGTCGGATAGTACCTGGCGGTATTCGTTCGGAAAATATCTAGAGCTTTCGTTCTCCAGTGCCGACTTACATGCTCGAGCGGGGGTCTGCCCTCACGATCTACATCGAGACCATCTGAGATATTTCGGGCTTAAAGATATGGCTCTTCGAATTCACTACGACCCCATCAACCTGTTGGAAATCATTGTCCCTCGCCCAAGGGTTACTTGGAAAGTCGATAAAGATCTAAGGGTCCGTAATGAGGTTTACCTTGCGGCGGAGAGAAGGGTAAACAAGTTTATGGCCTCAGTCAAAGCACGACTAAAATCTATAAATGTTGACAGCGTCATGCCTGAAATAGCACAAGCTTGCCAACAGGAAGTTGAGGCACTCAATAAACGTGCCAATGATGACCATGTCGCACTCATAAAGCAGCATCAGGCCCGATACATGGACACCCGATACTGGGAGGTTATTCCTTTAAACACCGTTATCATCTCAACCCAAGAAAAGGTCGTTGAATGGGATGCAATATTTGCTGAATTCGAACGAAACTACTTCCCATCCGAGAAGGACATCCGACGATTGGCGACTTTACAACTTAAGAAAATTTTTCTAGATAGAGATGTGTCCGTCACGTCCCTCACATCAAGTGAAGACTCTGGAGCAGTTCCAGTGGAAACAGAAGAAGGAATTGCAACGCCCTCAGGATCGCCTCGTTTGACAAGAAGGATGACACTTTCACCACAGGAGGCGAAAAATATGTTAGCCTCTGTGGTGGAAGAACACACGACAAAGCCAACAAAGCAAATTGAAAGGGACGAACCAAATCCACAAACTCCAACACCAGGAGCGGATTCCCAAGAACCGGGGGATATATCACCAATGAAACCTATAATTGCTTCTGAAAACGAATTCCGGCATTTAGATTTGGCTATCCCATCAAATTTGGTAGAAAAGCTATCTCCTTCAAAGGTTCAACCCGATGAACTTGAGATCAATCAACTTGATAAATCAACCACCGATGATGCACCTTCAAACCTGCCGATAAATGAACTTGAGATACCAAGCGAGCCTCGATCAAGCGTTGATAGTAATTCAAATAGCCAGGATACCACAGATGCTGTTAAACGCCCTTCAGGCTTACCTAGGCCCCGTGATAAAGGGCTCAACAACTTCAGAGGGAAATCTCCGCCCTTGATGAGAGCGCTATCACAACCCGCACATTCACGGCAATTGAATTCTAACCCAATAATACCCCAGGATAAACTCTTGAAACCCACAGGCGAAAAGGCAGCGGAAATTGGTAAAGGAACGTTTACATCCAAAAGACAACGCTTTTCAGAGCGGCTTAGGCTCGCAGGTTTGAAATCACCAAAATTACCTGGTGGCCCCTCTTTAATACCTCGTTCGGTTGCAAAGAAAAGCACCCATGTTTCGTATCTTACTCGGCATTTTGAGGAATTAAGCCGAGAATTCCAGAAGGAACGAATCATGCAAAACCATCGTCGTGCTGCTCAGGGAAAACAATCTCGAGCCTACCCAATGGCATCTTCCAAACCCATTGTTGAAGTGTACAAGAATGTCAGGGATGCAGTGGAGGAACGGGAGCCGGGGTATGAAGAGTTGCCTACAAGTGTGCCCACGGCGATAGTACACAAGGAAGAGCCCGTGGCTCCTACTACAGAAGTTATCGAAGTTGTTGAGGCGCCAGTCGCTCGGCCTGAGACCCCCGATAAAATGGTCGAGGAACGGCGAACTTCTGATGAAAGCTTGCGAGATGGCGACCAAACCGAGCAAAACCTTTCAGGAGGAGAGGGCGAAGACGAACAAAGTGATGGTGAAAAGAACTTTTTGGACGATGGCCAGAATGTAGAACCAAATGACGAGGCCACACCACTATCACCGGATGAAATCGCCCTAGATCTCAAAGAGCTTCCGAAGCATGAGCGAACGTCTCTGGTAAAAATGCTTACTAATTTCTGGGCTGAACGTTCTGCAAGTGGTTGGGCTCCCTTGGATTATCCCCTCAGTGATTCCGATCATGTCTTTGCGGATTGCGATATCATTGTCAGGGAAGATGAGCCAAGCTCATTGATTGCTTTTGCTTTGAACTCTGAAGACTATCAACAAAAGCTGAGAAGCATCCAGGAACAGAATGAAGCAAGTGATTCGGTAGATGTTGACGCGAGTCCTGAGGTTGAACAATCATTACTTCGAAGCACTGGCACACACCTCAAGTACCAATTCCAAGAGGGCCAAGCAAAAATGCTTTGCAAAGTATTTTACGCTGAGCAATTTGATGCGCTTCGCAGAAAATGTGGTGTCGCAGACCGCATTGTCGAGTCACTTTCTCGATGTATGAAATGGGATTCCAAAGGGGGAAAGACGAAATCAGTTTTCCTTAAGACACTGGATGACCGGTTTATCCTGAAGTCACTCTCAACCATCGAGACTCAAGCCTTCTTGAAATTCGCTCCAGATTACTTCCAGATAATGTCTGAAGCGCTCTTTCATGAACTTCCTTCCGTGATCGCGAAAATGTTTGGCTTTTACCAAGTCATTATCAAGAATCCGGTGACAGGGGTGGAATTCAACTGGTTTCTACTCATTATGGAAAACTTGTTCTATGACCGTACTCCAACAAGGATATTTGATCTCAAGGGCTCTATGCGAAACCGGAAGGTTCAAAGCACTGGAGAAAGAAATGAAGTTCTACTTGATGAAAATATGGTCGAGTTCATCTATGAAAGCCCGCTTTTCACTCGAGAGCATTCAAAAAAGCTACTTAGCCAGAGTGTCTGGAACGATACGCTATTCCTTGCACGCCAGAATGTCATGGACTACTCTCTCATGATTGCTATAGATGAGAGCAAGCAAGAAATCGTGGTTGGCATTATCGATTGCATCCGAACATATACTTGGGACAAGAAATTAGAGTCTTGGATTAAGGACCGAGGGTTTGCGGGTGGTGGTAAGAACCGGCCAACGGTGACCAGTCCTAAGGAGTACAAAAGCCGCTTCCGGGAAGCAATGGCAAGATACGTTCTATATGCCCCTGAGTAAGTTCGATAATTAGATCTACTCTGTATTTCTATAGCGATGCTAACTATTTCACTTAGCTCGTGGCATCAGTTCCATGTTGCCAATATAAACAAGCAGCCTCTCAAAACCCATAACGAAAGCAAGGATGCCGTTGCCTCGCAAAATAGACTTCAAGATGCGGCTGCCTCTCCACCGTAATGACATCAACGCAGTTGAATATACTTTGAATACGAATAATGACTTAGCGACTTTTTTTTTACAGCGGTCCCTTTTCCTCACGTTTGACTTTTCTTGTATAACAGCACAGAAGGGTTCTGGCACTTCGGATATTATATCTTTGATATAACATACTTCTGAACAATCAAGTTACCTTATATTATGGCTTTCCTGCGAGACACGGGCGAATTGTTGGTCATTACTTCATCAACGACCTCTTCAGATATGACACTAACTAATGAAAAACGGTTATCAATGAAACTGAAATTGAGCATTATCAACAGCCTCCGCCGCCGCCGCCGCCTCCATCTCCTCCACCTCCTCCTCCGCATCCTCCTCCGCCGCCACCGTCACCACCGCCCCAAAACCCGCCGCCACTATCACCATGGTGACCATGATGTCCATGGTGTCCATGGTGTCCGGCCCAGGAGGAGTCGTTGCTCTGTCCTCCATAGTCTTGACCATCAAAAAAGTCACCATGATTCTTGTATTTTTTCTTTGGATAACCATGGGTGGGCTTTTGGTTATATATCTTAGATTTTCGGGGTGGCGGTGCATGATCGCGGTCACTGGATGAAAAACACATATTGATCTCGAAACGGTAATTGTCTATATTACCGATAATATAATGATATAAATGAGGCTGGAGAGTAGAGAGTCGTGTCCTGTCTATAGTTAGTCTAACTGCTGCCGGCAAGTAGGGTTTTCTTAATGGGGGTGTATACTGAGCGGATAATTTGGTTCTGGGCTGGAGTTTTGGGAAATGGAGATTGGTTTAATATTTTAAATTGCTTCGGTTTGTCTTTTTTTTTCAATAGAAATAGAAACATCAAGCAGGGCTTTGGCGTCCTTTATATACTAATTTGGCAGCTATGAAAGTAAATAATAAGCTTTAGTTACAACCCAAATGGGCTTTGTCAAGCGCTCGAGGCTCAGCCGCCAAGCGATTCTCGAAGGATTCCTTCACTGCCCCTTTTGCCAGAGTACGAGGTCGCATGGGCAACAAGGCTCACCAGCCCTGATGGGTGATTCTATAAGCACTTGCCCACTCGTTTGCAGCCTGAAGTAAAATCTATGAAAGCCTCGTTACTAAGGGGAGCGCAATTAACAGATATACACCACCTACTCTGACTTTCGTGTCTCTTGAGGCGGAGCATGCCGTGTATCAGCTGAACAGTGAAATTGTTAAAAGAAACGATATGCATTCTCACTGATACTAATCATAAACTCCTGGCAAAAATAGTATGAATGGTTGAGAAAAAACGCTTGCTTGCAGGCCTCAAAAAGATAAAACATAAATATAGGATTGGATGTTGGTAGTCATGTGTAGTAAGTAGTTTAGAAAATTCATCAATCACATAACCCAAAGACAATATCTATCTTCTCAAATTTCGGGGTCTCATAACTTATATCCTGTTCTCTAATTTCTTGAAGAGTTTGTTCACTCCCTTTTCCATACGCATTGCACTGCTGCCGAGTTTTCCATACTTGGCAGGCTCACTTCTATTGGCAGTGGGGGTATGATCGGACCCGGGCGGGATATACACCTGCTGGTGTATGGAATAATCAGTTGACCCAGGCGGCTGCTGCTGCTGATGTTGCTGCTGTTGTGGATAGTTATAGCTATACCCGCCGGCGGAGTGCTGGGAAGCTTGTGATTCACGTCGGGTAAGATGGGCCTGGTTTTGGGTTAGAGGCTGAGTATACTGGTTAACTGGCGGCGGTCCGAAACTTTGCTGGCCATACAAGTGTGCATTAGGGTCCTGCGGAGGTGGCGCGAAGGCTGACCCATAGCTCCCGCGATGGCTAGTAGCAGTGACTGATGGAGCATTTGGAGGTACAGTAGCGGTAGTTGGTGGAGGTCCAAAAGTCATACCGCCAAGTGGGGGGTGGCCTGGGGTGTATGATTGTTGATGAATGCTCGAAGGTGCGGGCGAGTATGTGCCCTGAACACCAGGAACAGTGTAAGGCTGTGGGTTAGCGCTGTTAAAATTCCCCACACCGTGAGGCTGAATTGGCTGAGGGCTCTCGATTTCTCCAGTAGGAGGCGGAGCGAAAGTCATTCCCACGCCGGGGGTGGAAAGGCCTGTGCCCGCGGCAGACTCTGGTGGTGGGGGAGTCGCCTCGCGAGGTTTTATGGGTTCTGGGGCTGGAGGGGCGGCGGGATTATACGCGAGGGGAGCGTATGAACCCGGTGCGTCTTGCCTTCCTTGAGTAATAGATGTTTGGGATATCGCGTCATCGATTGGGCTAACGGGCTGAGTCACAACCTGGACGCTGGCAGGAATGATAGGAGGCGTAGGCTGCATAGTCGGATGCGGAGGAGGAGGAGGCGGTGGTGGGATATTCTTTATGCTGTGAGCATCACCAGAATGCAGCTCATGCCTTGTCTGCTGTTGCTGCTGCTGCTGCTGCTGGTAGCCAGGATCTGATATCGCAACCTTCTCGAGGTTTTGTACCACGGCACTAATTGGAGCTTGCTGGGAAGATGGCTGGATTTGCTGCATATTTTCCAGTTGACTGGGGGCCAACAGCCTTTTGACGGTGGCTAAGAATTGTTTTGCATCGTCCAGAGTCCAGAAATAGAGGTCAAGGGTATGTAAACGGTAGTATGACATGGTTCTATCCGCTGGATTCATCCATCCTAAGCGCCACTCATGTTCCCCACTACCATGAGCTGGTGGAGCAACTCCCATACTGTTTCGACATCCATCTACAGTAAGTGTAAAGAGAGTTGGGAAGGTATCAGAAGTTCGTAGGTGGATGGACGACAAAGCTGTGAACAGTTAGAGCTGAAACAGCATCCCTAGCCTGGCCAATTATAAATGAAGCGGACGACCTACAGCCGTTGAAAGCGTCCTGCTCACGGGTCCCAGGGTTGTTCGCAATCTCAATCCTCGATCCCCCCTGAGTAGGGTTATGATAGATATAGAGATAGGAGCCCTTATCGAATCGGTGGTGTGTAGGCTGCGGGGAAGGGGCAGTAAAATAATAGTGAACGTCCGAGAAGCTGATGATAATATCAGTAACAGTGTACTCCATAAAGTCCATCAAGTGGATCTAGTCAACTACTTACACGGTCAGGAGCCGTTCTTCGCCTGGGAGGGGGGGCATCTTTGGCACCGTTACTGAAAGTGATGCCTGCAGAGGAGTGTAAACAGCTGGTGGTTGCCGAGAATAAAGCCTTCCACGGCACAGCTGCCACGTCTGACAGCAAACCAACAATTACAAGCAGAAGCTGGAGCAGTGACAGAAAGCGAAGAGCCTTGTATTTGTGTTGCTGGCCGGCTTTCTTCCCTTTGCTGCCCTTTCTTATCATCCCAACTTCTACGTCGGTTCTACGGAGTATGCGCAGCCCAAATATTCAACCAATCAGAATGTGCGATCAAAGCTTCCGGCGCTTAACAGAGTTATTAGTCAGATATTACCAGCAAGGTTGATTAGTCAACTTCGCATTAAATTTTATCCGTCGATCTCAAATTTGCCCGAAAAAGGTTCGCATTTCAAGATTGAAGAACGAGGGAGGAAGAAGACGACGAAGCGTCAGGAGGAACAGCGGCCGCAGCAGTAGCAGGACGACGGTTGATACCCTTACCAATTGCATCCCTACCTACAGTTAGTATTGTGATGTAACACCCACATCCAAAGCATTGGTACTGACTCAGTCGCTTTCTGAAAAGTTTTAGGGCATTTGTTGGAGCTTCCTGCTCTATTTTCACTGTGCTATATCTATTCTCTCTACGACGGCGGAAGACGAGATTGGTCATCGAAAAAGAGGATTCCCACATTTTTTTACTGAGGGTGTACATTCCGGAGCAAGTTACGATGTCGCTCGTTAACCTCGCACACGTCTGTTCACATCTTTCGAACGCCAGCAAGGCTCGACTGGCTCTAACATCTATTCCAAACTCGAATCTCCACCTCGCCCTTTCCAATGCCCTTGTCGAGGCTGGGTTTTTATCATCCGTCGTTCGGGGAGGACCAACGCCGCCACCACAACATATGTTGCTGAATATACCTGCTGTCAATGACGAACTACAGCCCATCGAACCCGTTACCCAGGCCAATATCGCATCAAGGAGACTATGGCTGGGCCTCAAGTACTGGCAAAGTCAGCCAGTCCTTTCCAAACTATCAATGGTTAGCAAGCCTACTCGGCGGATATACGTAGATACGGAAGCCTTGCGAGACATTGTTAGAGGGTCGAAGAGCCGCACAATCGCCGGGCTCAGGAACCCCGGTGAATGCCTGTTCTTGAGTACAGATTGTGGAATTCTAGAGTCCCGGCAGTGCGTTGAGAAGAAAATCGGTGGCTTGGTGCTCTGTCGTGCTGTTTAGGTGGGTTGTATCATACGCCATGGTTTCTTTCTGGCATGGGAATGGAGTTGATGGATTGTGTATATAGATCACTTGATCCACGCGCTAAGTTAAATGTACTATTATGCGTCTCTCTCTCGGGCTCCGCCATGTCTTATTTGTCTTAATATACAGCTACAATATACTAATTACGCTGCATCTCTTTTGTCCCGAAGCTCCTAGCTCCATTGATAGTCTCCGTACGGCCTCAGTCGACAAGGGTTCTAAGGATACTACTCATGAGCTCATGATCCCGTCCTATGGGCCCCCTTTAAGACCCTCCTTTCTTACCTGCCAAAAGTGCTTGCCCTTTACTCCGTATCTCCGTGTTTAATATATCTATCTAGCACCTTCCGCCAATTGGTTTTTATATCGATGGTACCGACATCTGATTGGCCTATTTCTCTCCTCCACCGACCCTAAAGCCCAAAACTTGCCCAAGAAGCAACGAGAAAAAGGAGCGAGGAGCTTGCCGCATGTTAAGCTGAATTCATGCCCTCGATGCCGCGAGCTGAGCAGAAGAACTACTTCGAGAATGTTCTCCTATTCCATTCACCCTGTCAAGTTGGGTGTGACGGTTTAATTGTCGGCCTCGTATCCCTCCAGCCGCGACCGAGGCTTCCCCACCCGCAAAGTGAGCTCCGGCTCTCGCTATATAAAATCCCGGGCTGACCGTCGAAGAAGCTTGCGCCTTGCGTGTTGATGGGTTATTCTTTGCAGCAGGTTCAAGAACGACAGAGTCGGTGCCAGACACTATCTCTATATGAAATACTGGATAACGCCCCTCTGATGTCGACCTGAAAATATTGGTATCTTTTACTCACGCGCGCACAGCTCGGCAACCGCGAAAATCTTGACCTCTCCCTTCGTGACACTCGGGTTGTGTAGGACGAGACCGAACAAGCCATCCCCGCGTAGAGATGGCGTCTGAAAAGAATGATATTGATTCTATCAATGTCGGCACTACTCGGATATCTGTTGGAGAGAGTGACGGTGAAAATGCGCCGATAACAGATGTCTTTCAGAATGCGAAAGCTGCTACAGATAAGGAGCGAAGAATGACCCTGCTACAGGGAATAAGGCTTTATCCGAAGGCAGTAGCATGGAGCATATTGATCTCAACTTGCATTGTCATGGAAGGCTACGACATCAGTCTGATAAGCAACTTCTACGCTTTCGAGCAATTCAACCAGAAGTTTGGAGTACAACTGGAAGATGGGTCTTATCAAGTTCCAGCTCCTGTAAGTTTTCTAAACAACCTCATTGGATACATATATTTGGAGTCCGGCATACTAATTGTGACATAGTGGCAGGCTGGTCTCAGCAATGGTGCAGCCGTGGGAGAGATATTCGGCTTGTTCTTGAATGGATGGGTATCGGAACGTTTTGGCTATCGGTGGACAATCCTAGGATCTCTGGCCTGGTTGGCTGCCTTCATATCCCTCTTCTTTACTGCCCAAAATGTACAAACTCTCCTCGTGGGTGAAATCCTCTGTGGCATTCCGTGGGGTGTCTTTCAGACCCTTACCATCACCTATGCCTCTGAGGTGTGCCCTGTGGCGCTGCGTGGTTACCTGACAACCTATGTTAATTTCTGCTGGGGACTTGGGCAGCTAATAGGCATAGGAGTAATCCGGTCGATGCTAGATCGGAAAGACGAATGGTCCTTCAGGATACCCTATGCACTACAATGGATGTGGCCGTTACCCCTCGCTCTCGCAATCTACATGGCCCCAGAGTCACCGTGGTGGTTGGTTAGGAAGGGTCGCATTGCAGATGCGAAACGCTCGCTTCTCCGGCTGACTAGTCGGACTGGAGAGACTGATTTCAATGCCGATGAGACCATTGCGATGATGCTTCATACAACAGCTTTGGAGGCTAGGATTACACGTGGAGCCACCTACTGGGACTGTTTCAAGGGAACAGACCTTCGTCGAACGGAAATCGTATGCATGGCCTGGGCTATGCAAAACCTTAGCGGCAACTCCTTTTCGAATTATTCGACGTACTTCTTGGAACAGGCGGGATTATCGTCATCCCATGCCTACTCGTTCGCCATGGGACAGTACGCTATCAACATGGTTGGAGTCTTCGGTGCTTGGGGCCTAATGTCTTTCGGGATTGGTCGGAGGACTCTATACCTTGCTGGTCTATGTGGTCTTTGCGCCATGCTGATGGTGATGGGTTTCCTCGGCCTAGTACCACAGTCACACAGGAACGCGGGATCCCTTGCTACCGGAAGTATGATGATCGTTTGGGCTTTGTTCTATCAGCTCTCTGTTGGCACCGTTACTTATTCCATTGTCTCGGAACTTTCAACACGGAGACTCCAGATAAAGACAATCGTACTGGGCCGAAACTTATACAACATTGTTGCAATTATATGTAATGTTTTGACTCCGTTTATGCTCAACCCTAGTGCATGGGATTGGGGAAATTATGCCGGTTTCTTTTGGGGTGGCATCTGCTTCTGCTGCGTCGTCTACAGTTACTTCCGTCTCCCTGAACCGCAAGGACGATCCTTTGCTGAGCTCGATGTCTTATTTGAGCGTGGGATTAGCGCAAGGAAGTTTGCGTCTACTCAGGTTGATGTGTTCAGCGAAGAGGTGGCAACTAATGTGATTGATACATATAAAGAGAAAGATTCAGGGAACACTGAACCCTAGGATGTTGCATGGCTAAAAGCATTGGAGTATTGGAGCATTGGAGCACGAGAGCGTTGTCATTTGTCCTTTAATACATATATCGTATTCATAGCCAATTCAGCATGAGTACAGTAATGAATAAACGTATCAATATGTGATCATTCATTCCGTAACTAGTTATTGCTCTTCATCGGGATTCCGGCCGTGCAGCGAATAGACGTCATTTTAGTTACGAACGAAAGCTGGAAGATTTAAAGGCACGGAAGGTTATACAACTCTCGTTCCGCAAGCCCAAGGTTAATAATGCGGTTGTAACCTTTTGTCCAACCTGTAGAAGGCTGGTTTAATATCGCCCTACTATCCTCACAGAAGTTCCTGAACCCACCTTCCGGGCGCAATCTGTACTACCGTGTACATGACAGAGTAACGTCCACTTAAGCCAAAGATTACAAGCCAGGATTTCTGGGCTGGCTCGTTTGACAGAGTGTTTGTCTAGCAAATTGGGATACCGCCCGAGTAGATGAGTATCTAGGTAATTCACCCATTTCTTACTGGTATTTTTGGACTTTGTCATTGCTGGAGAGTCCATCTCTTATGCAGCTGACACCAAACCCCAAGTATATTGCAGATCATCGTGTTTCACCCCGATGCTGCTTGCACCTCTGACTTACTTTATCACCTATCAAGGTCATTTAAGACAGGGCCAGAACCGAATAGATGAAAAAATTATACCGGCGCTTTTCTAGGGAAGGGATCGTTGTTCGGCAGCGTTCACTCTAGTCAACGTAGGCGGCAACGGGGTAGAATTCGCATTATCTTGCCGTGCTTCGATCTAATTTCGACGCCAATAGTCCTCCCGCATTTCCAGGCAATGCCATGTCACTCTTCTGCCTGATGTTTCTTCTCGCCATTAGGGATTGTCCTTTTGGCCTTCTCGACGTTAGTTTGCCTTGCCTACATAGTTACCATTTTTCCTTTGAAAGGGCCTCGGTTAATTAGTTAGTTCTCCAAGCGCAGAGATTGCCCTATAACCGTAATCACACGGCAATCCGCGCGGTAATCAACCACATTTAGGCGCAAAATCGTTGGTTTGTCTTCGTCGTTGTCGCACATTTTGGCCAAAACACGTTCCAAGGTTGGCGCACGTCCACGTGACTGTTGAGGGCCCTGGTTAGGTTAGACTGTATGAAGCTGTCTTGAGACATCAGACTGAAAGACGTCAATCCCTTCAGCATTATCTCAATAAACAGCAAAAAAAGAACAATTCGGTGTTAAATAAATGGCTACGAGAAGCCGAAAGCTATCAGATCCCCACAGGCTCTCCTTTCATGCCGACTCCCACGGGCAGGACAGGGAGGGCTGGGCCCTGGCGCTGGAATTCAAAGCGACATGATACGGAGTAACAGAACAATAATGGCTGTGGCCTGCAGCTCAGAGTGAGGCGAAAGCAAGACGGCCTGCAGGAAGGATTGATATATATGTGCAGGCAGAGTACCGAGCAGGGAATGCGATCCAACTTGCACCCCTCCCCTGGCAAAGCTGATCAACGGAGAAGGCTATCCTAGGAGCTCCGACAAAGTGGCCACTGAGGAGAATCAGGCTCTGGAAGCTGCAGGTCCTGCTCTCGTTAGGCTGGAGAAACCAAGATAACTAGTTATCGGCCGAGGTCCGAAGATGTCCTGAAGATACGCATTCTTGAGCGAAGAGGACAGCGTATGTTTTTGGTAGACAGACAGGGTGAGAGAAAGGCTTCGACAAAACCCTCATTTGCGACATGCTGGGCAAATCTTGTACGAGGCAAGAGACACAAAGTATACACGCCAAAGGGCTTCGTCCTTGCGTAAAACGACTGGTCAACAAGTGTCGACAGATGTCATTTGTGAAATGTCTACGTAAATAGCCGGGCCATTCATTACCAGCCCCCTTCACGACCTGCAGGTGCTTCTAGATAGATGTACCGGATCACTTATGAACAATCCCAGTTCATCCGGTGGCCTATATTGTCGCGATTATATCCAGAACTGGATCGCAAACCTGGCTGACCATGGCAGCGGGAAGACTACTGTATGGAAGAATCAGCCTTAGAAAAGCATTATTTTATCGTCATAACTCCAAAGCAGAGCACCATGATCCTCTCGTACCCAAGCTGCCTCGAGGGAAACTAGACGCCTGAAATAATCACCCCACAGTCATGCGGGATGGTGATACGAGTCAAACTGCACAACGTCGTTGGACAATTTTCGCTCGCACCAACTGCAGCTGTCCAGGCCAGATTTCGTCTTGTTGCTGACAGGCCACTAGCAGAATGCCAACAGAGCAAGCATATCGCTTGAACGGGACCATGCAGAAGTTGGCTCTCTGTGCCGGCGAGAAAAAAAACATTGGGCCGCAACGCAACGCGAGTGATGTGGATGTGCGTCAATGCCCAACTTCCCCCCGATGAACAGCATGCTAATTCTTTGCACCGATTAGCACCACCCTCGCAGATCCAGGGGTTGCATTGCCGTCCTGATCTAAAATTGGCGGTCCATCACCTATCTCCCTAACCCCATAGAGCTGACGGACTAAGAAAGTGCCCAATCTCTATAGGCTGTGGGCCTGCCTCGTTCAATGCTTCACTGCATTCAGAGACGATGTGCAACCCGGCTTGCGTGCAGATAGGATTTCGTCCGGCAGCCAACGGTTTTATGGGCTTCCCTTGCTTTTCTCCATGTTGACTTCTTGTCTCCAAGGGGTTTAAACCTACCTAGCAAGGGACAGCTCAACAAGAAGGACAGGCGCCTGCATTTTACAAGCTATTTTCACGGCGACCACTAGGAGCTTCCACCTCCCGGTCCATAGGCCCAGAATACAGCGAAGGAGAGAAACGATTTTGTTGAACACGGCATTGGCTGTTCAAACATGCCGACCCTCTCCGCCCACACTCTTTGGTGCCCAAAAATTGCTCCCTATGGCTCCCATTAGGCCATGTGATACTGGTTTCCTTGTTAATTTGCATCCGCCTCCTCGATCGAAATTCTGTCATCGGCTTCCTGGAGACCAGATGGCGCATTCTCGTGGTGCGGGGCGCCTTTTTTTGAGTTTAGGTCGTGTCAACTGCAAGGCCCTATTCCGGGATTTATAGGTTCATATAATGCCCATGAAAAGAAAAGTAGTGAGACGACAGACGTGTACGTGGAGCCGTTTGTTCACCTTCTAAGCTATACTGCTCGTAGCTCTGTTTCCCTCCCAGCCGACGACCCAAGCCGCAGGAAAGCAATATTAACTAACGATCCTTACCCATCATCTCCTCGAGAAAGAAAGACATTGACTACTTCCTTATCCGCTGCCTTACCTACCCCCGATGGCTGGTTACGCCTCTTCCTGGCCCAACTCCGCGAATTAGCGGTGTGAACATTAAGACTCTATCTAGATTCAAGCCTTTCCGCTCCTGTGTTTCTTTTTTCTTTTACTTTTCTTTGGCTCAGTGCAGGCGTTCGACAGTCTATATAGAATTACCTCCCATTCCTTTTTATAGCCTTTGCATGGCTCGCCGGGTCTGGCTTGATAACGTTGCTTGTGTTTCCCCAGAGAATGGCATACCCAGGAAGCATTCCTCTCTCCCCAGGTAGCCTTAGGGAGAATGATTCAATGTTCTACCCCCCAAGAAACAATGCGGCCACATTTCCTTTTCGAAGGTTAGTCCTGGATCTCTTCACAGGAGCCCGGCATCGAGCTTAGCGGAATCAAAGGCTTATTCAATTTAAACAGTCCCAGTTTGTTAAACAGAGAGCGCGAAATTCCTTGCTACTCAGACCTACCATGGCCACCAGAGATACGAAACGCAAGGTACGGACCAAGAGAGCATTTTATATCACCTGGCATCTTGTGACGAGTGTAGCTAAACATCGGGTTATTAATGGAGTTAGAATTTCACCACCATGGGATATCTCGCCCCGAGACCACGGAGAGTTGTCCTCTCCAGAGAGACAGCAACCCGGGCCTGGTAGGCCCCTCGATGTGTTTACGAGTCGAGGTATGGTTACCACTCCACCTACGACGTACGATCGATACTCCACCATCCATCCACCAATAGCCCTGGAACCAATTGGCGAATTACCACGGCAAAACTCTAGTAACGGTTCGAAAGATCCGTTCATGTCTTATCACAATTCCAGGCTATCTGATCCTGGAATGCCCCTTTCTTTGGAATCTGATCATTCTATGGGGCGTATGAAGAAGATGAATAACCAGGAACATGTGGACTCCATCCCAAGATTCCACTTGAGGCGAAAGCCCGGGAACAGGGATGAGTTTGACGGACCAACACAGCTGCTCAGGATGCCTAGCCCAGGCCCGGCAGCCACTGAAATTCCGGAAAAGGACCTGCCACATCTGCCCACCTCATTGAATGTACAGGAACAAGTGAAAATTTTGTGTGATATCAACGACCGCTTATCCCGGTGCGCCTTTGATTTTGTGGCCAAATACCAATTCCCAATCCCACTGGAGCCTGAGAAATCAGAAGTAAGAACCCCAGAAGACCGTGAATGGACTGAATGGGTCCACTTGCTCCGGAGACTTGCGACTAAGCGCCGCATTCCTGCGCGCGTTTTATATGATGGCCAAATAAAACAATTCATTACTGTACTCGAAAACTCTTTGGAAATGCGCCACACAGCAAAGAACCAGTCGCGCCCATTGAGAGATGACCGAAACATCTTACAACTTATATCCGCCGGAACACAGGTCGCTAAAATACTCAAAGACGCCCCTGCGATGGAATATTTTGATTTTTTGTATTCCCGAACAGAAAGGCAAATCCATGAGCGACGAAATCATACACCTAGTTTCTTTTAATTGGGCATGCGGCTGGTCGTATGTTATACGAACATGAATAGTCACTTTCCCTACTCCTTATGACTTTATTCACCTATTTCATTTCTATGAAGTATTGGTTTCATGAAAGCCATCTATTGCCCATTTTATGGCAAGATGTTCTCGCACTATCCAACTTTTTTCTTTTCGTTCACCAGTGTTGTTCAATCGACGGGAATTTTCGCCACATTTGGAGTTCGAGTTATTTCATTCCATAAGGGAGCCGGAAATGGATATCCTGCCGTTTTCTTTCTGGAATTCAATTTTTTTTTTGGGATAACACAATGACTTGATCTCAACCCAGGGTGTTTCTGTCCCTCTCCTCCCGTCCCTCTTGCATCACTCTCTTATGGCCTATTTTTTCTTCAGGGAGTAATCAGGAACGAACCATTATTTGTGCATATATATACCAAAGCCTGTGTTTTCCTCCTCCTGCTCTTTCCCTAAATAATGACTTTCGATTGACACTTTTGTTGCCTAGCTTGAATGCTACTGGCTTTAGATATTTACTGAACTGCAAATGGCGTTCACAGCGTTCCTTAAATATGGATTACGTTTCACACTGGTTACCATTATCATCGAGTTTGCTCCCTTTCCTTCTCATTATAGCGCAACGGGGGGAATATGCATCCTTGTTATGTGTTGATATAGCCACACGTTGAATACGTGGTCCAATGGCATATGGTCATGAGCGATGGAGTAGGTTGACTTTTTCTATTGAGAATTGATTGTGTTTAGGGTTAGAATATGTTATACAATACGATTCTTTTATCTTTACATCAAATCAAAGAAAAAACGGTCATGGCAAAGTTCCCCCGAGATTGCGAGCCAACAAACAATTTGACAAGAACGCCTTGCGTCTTACCCTCATTTAGGCCAATGATCGCTCTACCCCTTTAGCAATTCTAGATGTAGCATGTAGCATTTTGGTAATGATATCCCTAGACCATGGCCATTTCCATAAGCCGATGGTGGAAAATCCAACGAAGGAAATAAACGTTGTAAGCATGGCCTTGGTGAGGACATTTGTTTGTCTTTTCGTGGCTTTTACTACCTCCGAGTAGCGATCATTGCTGAAACTAACACGGGCATATTGTGTAGACCAACCAAGCCCAGGCAAGTACTTGTAAAGGGCCTCTTCAAGGGCCTTCCTCATGCGGTATAGCGGTGATTTCACGCCTGCCCTCATTTCAATGAAATTCTCCCTGGAAAGATGATTAATTGCATGGGCATCTGGAATCCGCTGGCGGGAGTATGCATCAAGGGCTTTAGCACGAAGCGATGTTATTTGTTGCCCATCCTCAGCATTAGACGCAGAATACACGCCGTGTTTATCTAGGTGTTCAAATAAAACCCTAACATCTTCGAGACCCGCGTTAAGGCCCTGTCCATAGAACGGGACAACAGCGTGGGCAGCATCTCCAAGTATGACGACGCTAGAGCCAAAATGATGAGGAGAAGATTTGAGACTGATTAACGGAAGGTGAGGGTTCGTGTTGAACTGCTGGATAAGATTTTCCGGCGGAATCAGTTCAGGAGAAACACCAGGGAAGTGGGTCTGGAAGAATTTGAGGAGGATATTTGGATCACTTTCTAGGGCTGCAAAGTGTTCAGCAGGCGCGAATAGGGTGCAAACAAAAGTTTTGTCTGGAGATGGAAGAGCGATAAACATAAAGTCACCACCAGGCCAGATATGCAGGTGGTTTGGAGAAATCTGAAAGTCGTTATCCTTGGAGGGCGCGATCGAGAATTCACACCATAAGCAGTCAATATATTCCTGTTGGTAGTCCATACGGGTGTATTTCATGAGATGGTATCTTGCAGCCGAGTGGGCCCCATCCGCACCTATCAGGAAATCAAATGGTACCTCCAGTTCGGGAGCACGGGTGAGATTAATAGACTTGTCATCATCGTTGGATGTAGATCTAAATCCAGGGCTATCGCTAGGATTCTTTCGCTCAAACCAGGCCTTTTTGTTTTTGAAATCAGCACCTGTGAGCTTGTGGTTGAAGAATAACTTGACATTTGGCTCTTTCTCCAGCTCGTCCAGTAGCGTTGTGTTGAGCATCCCGCGATCAATCGAGTTGATATACTAGAAGAGAAGGGTAAGCTTGCAATCCCCAGTAAAGAAAGTCGGTAAAAAACTGACTCTCCCATGAACGTCATAGTCCTGAGAAGCTTCCCATAGGGAGCCTGTAGAGCTACGCCCGTGGATCATACGACCTGTCATGGGGATTGCTTCACTCAAGACATTTTCGACGAAACCCGAGCGATTGGAGGATTTCATAGCGTTCAGCCCACGTTCGGAAATCGCGAGGTTGATAGATTTTGTGAAATTCAACGGAACAGTTGCGGCATCGCGCGGATCTAACCATTGTATAAGTTAGCAGCCAGAGATAATTGATCCAAAAGGTGATGAACACTAAGACTAGCATTCCACTGGGGCTGCTGCGGGATTAAAAGGAACAATCAATCCACTGGCCAGGGCAGCAGGCTATCTGTCTCCCATCGAACAGATTGATATGAAATTTCCCGCTATATAAATACGCTTCGTTCGATGGAAGAAACAAAGGCAGCATGTCGGATACGTACCTCCTCTGAGCTCGTAGAGTTCAACATCGTCACCTCTCATAGCCGCGTAGAGAGCAGCCAGAGAGCCCACTGGGCCGGCGCCTACAATCACCACCTTCTGCATGTTTGGCAGCTGTCCTTCTGGCGTGAGTTGCTGAAGATAGGAACCGCGACAGCGATGTTTGAGGGATTCTGCACCAAAAGATGTCTACCCAAGGAGCTAAATATCCATTGCTTCGTAAATAAACATCTGGGGCAATATTAGTAATTCCATTGGTTTCGTTTATGAGCGGACATTGACCCCTTGAGACTACGGAATATTTTCTCTGCTGTGGTTGAACGTGACACAGAACTTGGTTTGACAGATCTCTGAATGACCTTGATCGCGATTGTTTGTAACACCAAATGCGCCCGTCTTGTTAGCCTGGCACACGCCGTGAAGATCACAGGCGCTGAAAGAAATGTGTTGATGAGTCCCGGAAAAATGTCTGTGGCTGACGGGCGGAACAAGGCGCAACCCCTGGACCGGGATAACCATTGCGAATCAAAGGCGTTGATTTTGGTTATGTAAGAAATGCCACGCAGCCCCAAGGATGTCATCTTCTTTCACGAGCTGTCATTTGCGTAGATCTGAAACTGGACTTGTATACTCCGTAGTGTCAGGAAACTGCTCAGATTTTAAAGGTCTTGATATTACAAGCCGTACTCCGTGACTATCCTGTGCGTGTAATTATGCGGTAGGCCGAGGGCGACACTACTCCGTATAACTACCTCATAATGTCCAAGCGAAGTGTGGCCTAGCCCATTCAGCTCATACTCAGCATTAACAGCAAGGAATATATCTTTCCGTGTTATCCTGGGACATTTTATATCTTGCCGCAAGAAGAGGCGCTTTTCATATTCTGCGGTTTGGCCAGTCCGCAAGAGGTAACATTTATCGCGCGGCTATTTTGCAGTGTTGTCGCTTAGTAACCGGGAAGGAAAAAAAGCTACAGGTCTGGATCGTGGAGATTTTTGACAACTGTACAACCATACCACGACAAGATCACTTCCTCTAGGAAAGAAGAACGGGCAGATTTTGGCCAAACCTATCCTCTAGCCATAGGCGGGAGCTGCATTTGAAACTCGCGACCATTTTTATTCAGCAGCCATGAGCGCCCCAGACAATAAGCATTGTAGCGGGGTGGACTGCGACCAGGCAGCAGGTAGCCTACGATGTCCAGCATGTCTTAAAATTGGAATTGAAAGCTATTTCTGCTCCCAAGACTGCTTTAAGCGTAGCTGGGTACGCTTCCGTACTGTCTCGCAAGGTGCTGAGACCGGCTCCTCTAAACCTGGATAGTGCTGACACCTAACTGATAGGGCGAACATAAAGCGATCCACAAATCTAAAGGTGAGGAGTTATACCAATATGTGATTGACGTAGTAGTAATCAAGATGGAGTTTAGGCTAATACTCATTTTACAGAAACGTTCAACCCATTCCCAACGTTCCCATTTACTGGTACCTTACGACCTGTGTACCCCCTCTCTCCCAAAAATCCTGTTCCTAGCTCAATTCAGCACCCCGATTATGCTGGAGATGGAGTTCCACGCTCGGAACAAAAAATATTCGGTCGACATAATATCAAGATTCTCAATGAGAAAGAAATAGAAGGGATGAAGAAGGTGTGCCGGCTATCAAGAGAGGTGCTTGACATTGCCGCTCGAGAGATTCGACCAGGCGTCACTACCGACCACATTGATAAGGTCGTACATCAAGCCTGTTTGGAAAGAGAGGTAAGTGATAAACCCTTCCTCCTTACGATATACGGGCTGTCTAATGTTACTCTAGGCTTACCCATCGCCGCTTAACTATGTAAATTTCCCCAAATCTGTCTGTACTTCGGTGAACGAAGTCATCTGCCACGGCATCCCCGACCAGAGGCCCTTAGAGGACGGTGATATTCTGAACATCGATATCTCGCTTTATCATGGAGGATTCCACGGTGATCTCAATGAAACATACTATGTCGGCGACAAAGCCAAGGCAGACCCTGATGCGGTTCGAGTTGTAGAAACTTCAAGGGAATGTTTGGACAAAGCAATTGAGATCGTTAAGCCGGGAACCCTATTCCGAGAATTCGGAAATGTGATCGAGAAGCACGCCAAGAGCCGGGATTGCAGCGTTGTTAGGAGCTATTGTGGCCACGGAATAAACCAGCTATTCCACACTACCCCGAGCATCCCGCATTACGCTAAAAGCAAGACTGTGGGGTCTGCCAAAGTGGGCATGTGCTTCACTATCGAACCCATGATCAACCTTGGAAGCTATCGAGACAAAACATGGCCTGATAACTGGACAAGTGTTACCATAGATGGCAAAAGATCAGCTCAGTTTGAGCATACCCTTTTAGTGACGGAAGACGGTGTCGACATTCTTACCGCGAGACTTCCAGACTCACCAGGCGGTGCGATACCGATGCCAGCCGCTACTTCATAGGGCGTGACAGGCTAAAATTTTTAACGAGTCACGTCGTCCGGGTCGGAGTTAATTGTGTTCGTGAGGGTGTGAAACAAGCTTCTTGTCTACAATCTAGAATACTCTTTTTGAACAAATACAAAATAAAATAAATGCTAGACTCCACCGATTGCATAGCTACTCTGATATCTTTCTCTAGAACTGTTCGATGTAAGTGGCACGTGCCACCGGCTATTTAGCCGCAAAGCTTAAATTAGCGCATATCGATCACGTGGCCTATATTTTGCCGAGCCGCTTACTTTAAAATAATGGGGAAGAGAACTTTGTTACACCAGTTGGCTTTTACATGACGATTAATAGCTGAATAACGCACTGAGGAGTCCCGCTTTTGGATGCCATTCACAACAAAGGACAGCAATTGCTCAGTGCCGGTTGGTCCTACGGAAATACGAGAAGCTGATAGAATTGAAGCGGGGCTTGAGCCGGCCCCACTTTTGCTTACCGAGCAGCTCTGAGGCTACTAAAATATTTAAAAGCGCCTCGAGACGCCAGGCCCGACTTCGGGGAGAAGTTTCGCGAAGGGAGTGAGTGTGCTTTTTAACTTCTATCTTGAAGAGTCAGGCTATACGGTGTCACTGTGATTGTCACTATGAGGACATCACACCTTGCTGACGATGATTCTCGCACACCAGCAACCGAAACATCCCCGTTGCTGGGAGCTCGAGCGGTGAATGACTCGTTAAACGGCCCTTCAACTGCAGGGGTAGGAGCTGGCAATGGACAGCCGAAGCCAGATGAGGAGACAGCCGGTGGCAATGGGATTGATGATGCGAGAATTGCTCAATTCAAAGGCGTTCCGGAGTTGCAGAAGCGACTCAAGTACATCGTACCGGCAATTACTATCGGAGTAAGAAGAAACCAGCCGAATCGCTCCCCCTACGTTCCTCAGGCTAATTAATGTGCCATGTATCTAGGTCTTCCTTTCCTCCGCTGATCAAACCATTATCGTTGCAAGCTACGGCAAGATTGGCAGTGACCTCAATGCTCTCAATTTGACTAGCTGGATCGCTACTTCATACTTCCTATCCTTGACCGCCTTTCAACCGCTATATGGCCGCCTCAGTGACATATTCGGAAGAAAAGCATGTTTATTGTTTGGATATACGATATTTGGCACTGGGTGTGTCTTGTGCGGATTGGCTCAGAACATTAAGCAATTGATCGCTGCACGGGTAGGTCCCTGCTCCCGTAACGATACGCATGACTTAAGTGCCAGTGGCTTATTTCCTTAAACAATAGGTGTTCCAGGGAATTGGAGGAGGAGGTTTATCGACTGTTGTTAGCATTATCATGAGTGACATTGTTCCATTGAGAGACCGTGGTGTATGGCAGGGTGTCATCAATATCGTTTGGTCCGCTGGATCTGGCCTTGGAGCGCCCCTAGGTAAGCAGTCACTCATTGATGTTACTTGGACCTTGAAGCTAACACTTTTGGTGTAAAGGTGGATTTCTAGCAGATACTATCGGGTGGCGCTGGTACGTGTATTGCGCTGTATATTGCGTCGGGATTCTAACTAACCCCCCTTTTTTAGGGCTTTCCTTGCCCAAGGACCATGCTGTTTACTTGCATTCATCGTTGTAGGACTTACTCTAAAGATGCCGACAACTGATCAATCAAACTGGAAAGAGAAGCTAAAACGGGTTGATTTCCTTGGAGCGTTCGTTCTCGTTATTGCCGTGTTTGGGCTCATCCTCGGTTTAGACAGGGGAGGGAACGTCTCTTGGACCATGCCTTTAACCATCATCTCGCTGTCTATATCTGTGGTGGCATTCATTCTATTTATGGCAATCGAGGCACGATTCGCCGTCGCTCCATTTGCTCCCCTCCACATCACCTTTGGCCGTGATCTAGTTGCATGCTACCTAACCAACTTCTTTAGTTTTGGTGGATGGCTCGCTGCCATCTTCTATATCCCGCTATTCTTCCAGGCTAGTGACGGTAGCTCTGCTGCTAGTGCTGGGATTAAGCTTCTGCCCTCCATCCTGCTCGGAGTGTCTGGTTCACTATTCGGAGGTTGGCTTATGAAGAAGACCGGCAAGTATTACTGGATCACATTCTACTCATATGCTCTATTGGTTGCCGGCCTTGTCGTGATTACCCTGTTCTCCGGCGTCATAACCAAGAGTACCCCGTTGATCATCATCGGAATGACTATGTGCGCATTTGGAAATGGCATTGGAGTTACAACGACACTTATTGCATTAAGTACATACCATCTCCACACCCTCTACTTGAAAACAATTGCTGACAGTTCTAGTTGCAAATGCTTCCCCTGAGGACCAAGCTGTTGCTACAGCCTGTTCATATCTATATCGCTCTCTAGGGTCAGTCATCACGATATCGTTATCCGCCAGTATTGTACAGCAATTCCTCAGGAGCTCCCTACGGTCTGCACTGAAGGGCAATAAGAACATCGATGAAATTGTGGACGGAGTCAGGCAGAGTCTTGATTATATCAAACACCTTGACCCACACTTGAGGGAAGTGGTTCGAGATTGCTACGGCCGCTCCACGACCACGGCGTTTGGTTTTATGACCATCCTCGTTTTCCTGGCGTTTATCAGCGCTGTGTTTATCCGAGAACAAAAGTTAAGCGCATAACTAGATCGTCATCGGCTGCATGATTTAAATAAGAGTGTTGCTTCAAAGGTAGGATATTTCGGCTTTCCTATTAGACTCTCATCTTCAATATAAACTAGATCATTAGGATTATTCATTCGATATTTCACCCATAACCATAGTTAAACTGATAGAAAGTATCTATTCTATGGTTGTTTATGTCTCCCAAACAGGTTTCTACTGTCAAGCTTCGTATATTTGGCCGTCCAGTAGTTGCCAACATCTTGGACAGCGTGAGGTGGGGATATAATCATTAAATCTTACCTTGACTAGCACAGCTGGCGGAAGAAATGAATATTCATGTCAGTTTATTACTTTCTGGTATACTCCGTACAAAAGGTGGTGTGATGTATAGCTAAGGTACCAGCAGCTAGTTAACTACCTTATTTAAGACTCAGCAGTGGAGATCATCCAGGCTTTAGCTAGAATATTTAAATAAACTAACTACGCCATCGAAAGTGACAGCACCAGCTAAATAACTGACAGCCACGACAACACCTCTACACTAACCTGAACAACAGTTACACAGTCGCATGCCAGCTCATTGAGGACATGCCATCGCACGAGATATGACAGCCATGCTCTGGTTTCTCTAGCCTTCCACTGCTGTCGAGAATGTCATCCTCAAACGCTCCCTCTATCGACGGGACCTCTGCCCTGACCTACCGCCGCACTTTTTTCATCGTCGCCGCGTTTGCCGGCACGCTCGCCCTCACTCAGCTCCATCGATATTTCTTCCCTTCTCCGACAGCTTCCCAGTCCCTCCATAGACGAAATGCGGTACGACATCAAAGACATTCGCAGAGACGGGGCGGGATATCCCTCCCTAGTGGAGAGACGTATGAATCCTCCGGTCCGCTAGCACCCTCACTTGCGCTGGCTCAGCGCGAACAACAAGGCAGAAGCTACGGCCATTTTACGCTTCGGGTTGATGCTGAGCATACTCTGCAATGCCCCCTTTTGCCCTCACAGCTGGCATCCGTCGAGAGCATACAACGGGAGATCGGGGCCAGCCTGGAGAGCGCAAACTTGATGCGCCATATGATAGAAGACGAATTTCTTACGCGGTTTCTCGTAGCTGAGTTTCCGCCGTCGCATGTTATTCTTCTTTCTACCGGGGAATGGAGGTTTCTGCTCAATGAGCTTACGTCTCGTGGAATTTCAGAGGCTGCTGTCAACAATGCCTTTACGCGGTTTAACGAGAATCCACACTTTGGCGAGCAACCAGGCCCTGAACGGCCAGGGGGACAGGAAGACACAAGCCCGGTGGCGAATACCAATGGTATACCAGCAGATCAACCCCTTCCACCCCAGCCTGAGATAGGAGACACAACCATAGATGACCAGAGTCTCTTCTCATGGAGAGACGGTACCAACGACACAGCTCCGCCGAGAGAAGGGCAAAATCTGCTCAATTTGCTTTACCATATAGCTGAGGACCAAGCAAGGCGTGATGGCTATATACATCGAGGAGTAACGTGCAACAGCTGTGGTGTCATGCCAATCCAAGGGATCAGATACCGCTGTTCAAACTGCATTGACTATGACCTTTGCGAGGCCTGTGAAGCCTCCCAAGTTCATATTCTAACCCATTTATTTTACAAAGTTCGAATACCTACTCCATCACTGGGGAGTGCGAAGCAGGTCCAGCCAGTTTTATACCCGGGAAAGCCGAATATGCTTCCTCAAACCCTTCCTAGGAACGTAGCTAAGCGGCTCAAAAAGGAAACAAACTTTGAGAATACCGAAGTTGATGCACTTTGGGACCAGTTTAGATGTCTTGCAAATGTTGAATGGCCTGAAGAACCAAACGGCCTTCCGCTGGCAATCGATAGAAAGACATTTGACCGGTGCTTTATCCCTAACCGGCCCCCTCCCCCAAGCCTTATTTATGATCGAATGTTTTCCTTTTATGATACCAACGGTGATGGTCTCATCGGGTTCGAAGAGTTTTTGAAAGGCTTAGCAAGCTTCGGTAACAAGAGCATGCACGAACGTCTTAAACGGATATTTGCGGCTTATGATATAGATAGAGATGGTTACGTGGAACGGAAAGATTTCTTGCGAATATTCAGAGCATACTATACCCTGAGTAGAGACTTAACCAGAGACATGATGTCTGGAATGGAGGACGATTTCATGGAGAGCGGCTCTCGAGACGTGGTGCTAGGGAGCCAACCTATAAGTGCTGCATTTCCCGGAACCATACCTGGATCAGATCAATCCAGAGCTGGTGAAGGCAAACGTACGAATTTGCAGGGTGACCTCGAGGTAATCGATAACGACGGTACAGTAAGAGAGGATGGAGATGAAACAGGCGATAGAGACATTGTTCTAGGAGACGCAGCTCTCAGAGATACACTTGGACCCAATCGCCATCGCCAGCGAGATCCATCAAGGTCAGATAGTACTACTCAAGGACCATACTATGGGCCAAGGTCAAGCGACTCGGCCGCTGATCATGGAGACGGCTTTGACCTTATTTGTTCCGGTCCATACCCGTGTGAGAATTTCTTGAACTGGCCCCCTGCCGAGCACGTTCAACGTGAGGATATCATCAACGCTCTCGGGGCATATGTGCCCCTTGAAGAAGTCACGGATTTTGTTGATAGAGCTAGGATTGGAACTTGTCTTATTGAGAGACTAAATGCTGCAGAAGCGGAACATCAGTCGAACATAAGGCGGGAGGGCATTGAAGAGCGATGGCGACGACGGGCATTCTACCTTGAGGAGGAAGAGGGCAGAAGCGGACCACCATTGTACCAAGGAAATGAGGACGACTATGAAGCAGCAACGTCTGATCGTGAGTGTAATGAGGATTCAGATTGGCATAATCCTACCCCAAGGTCCCGGTCGTCATCGAAAGTTCGCTTCCAAGACGATGTCACTGACAACGAATATGAAACCCGCTCGAATCAATCTACATCATCACGCAGCATCCAATTGGGCGAACGATGGGGTGGTTATGAAATTCCAGAAGTTGAAAGGGATGCAGGCAAGGAGATTCTATATCAAGTCACTCAGCAAGGGTTAAATGAGCTCCTAGATCTTATTTTTAAACCTAAGGAAGATCTCCTCATGGAAGCCTATCGTACCCGTATAGAACGCAAGCGATGGGCCAAGGAGATTGAAAGATTCCAGGAGAGAGGGTATCGTGTCAAGGATTTCCAGAACTTCGTTCGCAGGCACGCGAGCGGGGATGATACAGATGACCCCGAATCTACTGGTAACAAGACTCTGAAGGATCTTCTTCAAGAGAGCGGTTTCACAGTCGACCCGGACTTTCTTGAGGAAGTCGAGCGCGAGGAGGAAGACGGCCTTGACCGGGTTTATTCGCCCCAAGCAGAGGGTAGCATAACTTCTGACCATTTGAGTGATCACGAAGTTGATTATATGCCAATAGCACCCGAAAGCAATAATTTCCAAGGTGACACGGAATCGCCATCCTCTTCTGAGAACAACCTATCTCCGCCTCCTGACCCTACTCTCCCACAAAACCGACCGAATGAGGAGGATCTAGCACTCGAGCACATGCCTCACGGAGTTCATCACTCACCCCAGCCCCATTCTGCGGAGCCGCATCCTATATACGAATCTGCATCTACTTCAACGTCAACTTCTGGACCTTCTCACCACCGCCTATCTAGCCAACGTAGATCACGCAACCGCTCATTACCTCTTCGACTACGCTTCCAACAGTCTCCGCCGCTAAATCGCACGCGAAGCAACTCCGGCTCATCAACAGCGTCTTCATCTTCTGCCCCTTCTGTGAAGAATGCTGTTCTTCCATCCCCACCACCCTCCCCGAAGATTCTATCTCGTTGGGCAAAATTAAACCATGCTGAACAAGAAGCCAAAGAAAGAGGCGGATCAGGAGCTAAGCTTAATTTCGAAGAGTTTGCCATGAGGATGCAAGGGGAAAGGGGGAAGAGGCTTGGTTTTGTGGCAAGCTGGATTGATATGACTACCTTTTAATCATGAACGAAAACATCGTGATAGGTGGTGGTGTTTGTCGACCTTGACTTGATCTTTACTGTATTTATAATGTCATTGATACCCTTACTTTAGCATGGTGTTGTTCCCCGGATGGCTCACTTATAGCTGATAGTCAACAGCTACTCTCACAATAGGTTTATGTCCAATAGCAGCCGTGTTGATTTGCTAGTCATCAATAGTCGTTGCCATGTTTAGATTTTGTCTCATATTCCAAGTAGAATACAAGGAGTCCATTATAACTTGATCTAACATGATAAAAACGCCAGCAAATGCCCGATATAGATTAAACCATAGTTTACAACTAATCCCAGTATTTGATAACACCTTCCAACCCAGCTGTGGCCACTTTACTAGTCTCTTGAGGATGCCAGTCCACACATGTAATCGCAGAACCTTCCTTTCCTCCCGCTTTAATTTTGTGCCACATCTTACCCGTCTTCCAGTCCCAGAAGCACACATATCCACCGCTGTCACCAGATGTGACAAACTGGCCATCAGGACTGATTGAGACATCAATCGCATAGCCTGCATTGTTATGGCCTCTGAATAGTTTCTTCCTATTTTGACGGAATTTATCCGTCGCCCCGTAGACGACAATACTGTTATCTCCGGACTGAAAGGCAACGTATTTGCCGTTGGGATGCGGAGCAGCACGGACAAGAGCATAGAGATGCGGTTCAGCAATGAATTTGATAGGCACGGGAATGTTGTACTCCCATGCACGAAGTGACTTATCGTCTGACGTGGAGATGAAGCGGCGGTTGTTATCGACGAAGGTAATGGTATTGACAGCGTCAAGGTGATGATCGTATTCCTGGGTGATCGCACCGGTACGGATATCAAATTGAATGATTTTCTTGTCAGACATGCCTGCAAGGAATTCGTGGGAATTCTCAGGATCGGGATTGAACCGGACAACATGAGGTGTTTTTCCAGTGGAGAAGCGCTGGATACATTTTCCGTACTCCGTGTCCCAGAGCTTGATTTGCCGGTCATATGAGGCCGAGAGGAAAGTAGCTCCGGTTGGGTCAAAGGTGGTGTCAGACACTGAATTGGCATGACCAGAGTACGTACGGAGCAGCTCTCGTGAATGATAAACATCCCATAGCTTTACTTTTGAGTCCGCCGAAGACGAAAGCAGAAGATGGCCAGAGCCAGGAAAGAAGCGCAAGGAGGTAATAGGTTTCGTGTGGGATTTCCAGGTATGGACCAGCTTCTTGGGTATATAGTTCTTCACACTTCCTGGTTCCTTCTTGAGATCGATATCCAGATCTTGTGGTACATGCATATATGTCCGGCCTTGGTAGTCGCGCTCTTCTGTGCCATGGAACTCTGTCGTTTCCGTGCGAGATAAATCTTCCTGGTAAGCCGTGGCCTTTTTATCCATTGCCGGCATATTCGATGGAACGATTGCCTCTTCAATATACTCTTCATCACTGCCAAGTTCAGCCAAAGCATCGGCTTCCCTGTCGGCTAACTCATCGGCTTCATATTTTGCCCAAGGGCCCAAATACGCCCCTTCGCCTTCAAGTATGCTTGAATCACCCTTTTTTTGCCGTTTCCGCCGTATAGCAGCACTCTCCTCCTTAGAAGGTCGCATCTGCACCACATCTTTCCCTCCATAGCGCGCCACTTGTTCCATGTTTCCCACGAAGGCTCCGGGTTGAGTTGGATCCTTGGTATAGCCTAAGCTCTGGAATGTGCGCTGCTGGGTGACGAAAGTTGCCTCACTTATTGCAGCTTCTTCAGCGTATCCAGTCAACACATTTTTTCTCTTAACTCCGGAATTTTCGCTCCTAAAGGGGTTCGCTGGCCCAGCTTGAGGTCGTGTAAGGTCATCGTAGGTTGCATTATATGTCAGTGCGGTATCGGTCGGTTTTCTAAGCATTAGATGCATCTGTGAAGGCCCCTATATAAATGTTAGTAAACGGAGTCAAAGAATATACATTCTCAAACCGATGGCTAATAATAAGACCAAAGGGGACCAAACCTCTACCGGGACATCTGGAGCCGCAACTATCGTGGGGGTCGGGTTCGACTGGGCAGGCATAGAGCCCATATCATCGTCACTCGAGGAATCATACTGTGCTCCTAGTAGAGATGCCATAGTGGAATGCGCGAGCTCGACCCGAGATGCGATGTCTCCAAATACTCAGTGATGAAGGAAGTTTTGTCAATGAAAGATGCGCTGCAAAAATAAGGTTGATTACATAAGATACGATAGCGTCGTATCGCAGCTACCTCATTGGTCGGCATAACTAACCATCAAGCTCTGGAGTCATTGTTGGCTTCTGCCCTCTGTACTTGATCATAACCTCCTGAAGCTTACTACTTACGTAGATATTTGGCAATAAAGAGGAAGAAAAAAGATTAAAATGATGATTGTATAGGAAAGAAAATGGAAATAAACCAATTGATGAATATGTGGAAAAGTAGATATTATGGCAGAAAATATAGAAAGACCACACCGCCCGGCCTATCTAGGTAATACTTTATTTGTACGTCCGGCCTTTCTTCTTGAGGATCACGATAGAAACATGAGGCTTCGTACTTAGATGAGCGAATTGATAGGGCGCTATTGCATATCAGACAGACAAAGAACAGACTAAAGGAGATTGATCATGGCTCGGGCTAAGCGTTCTGGTAAGTTGAAGGAGATGGTATATGGATAACAAAGACTGAACTGTTGTTAGGAAGCAATTCGATGCGGGATTCTGACCAAACTGGACCGAAAAAAACAAAACTACATTCAAAAGGGAGCGTACCATCATCTCGTATGGGCAGACATGAGAGCATAAGCGATATGCTCGGGAGTGAATTTGAAGTATCTGATGACGGCCAGGATGACCTAGATGATGCACGGTATGGGAGAATCTGAATTGAATGAGACCTCTTTAAAGGTCGGTAGGCTGGGTGACTAAACCCTTAGTGTGACTAGTAATGCGTTGAAGAATCTTCAGACAGCGATTGAAAAGGCAGAGAGAAGTGACACCTTTGCGAAAGATATGGAAAAGAAGGTGAGAATGGATGAGAAAAGGCTTAGGGATGTTTTTGAAAGAGAAGAAAAGGAGTGGTGAGTATTTCCTGGGCCGCGAAAGGAAAGGGGTATCGATATGTTTATCTCTAAACGGAGGCGTTCTTGATAGGCACAACGAAGACAAGAAGTTCCAGTCCCAGTTCTCTTCGCGGGTGAGAACTGTTATGTCATCTAGGGAAAGCAAGGCCAAGTTAACCTCGTACGGTCCTGGAGAAGCGGCTCAAGTTGCAACGTCGGATATCATGCAATCCACAGCCGACCATCCCCTATACCTCAAGACGCAGGGGCTTCTTGAGTCTGCTCGCGCTCTAATGAATGAGCTGGACAACATCAACACTCAAGCATCTAAAATCAAGCTCCCTCCAGATCCAATGGACGGGCTTGAGAAGGACACTGCTGAAGCACGCCGTCTTATTGCTCGTGGGGCAGAAGCAACCGTACTGGTGTTAGAGAAACAATTGGTATATCCCGGAAAAAATGACCGAAAAGGTAGTCAACTGCGAGATAGAGAGGAAGAGGCATTCCTGGACGACAGCAGCTTGCAGACAATGCTTGACATGGGAAGAGATGCTCTGAACAGCGGACGTAGTGACGGGATGAAAGCTAAGAGCTGGGGGTTTGTGGCACACCATTTGCAAAGGGGAATGCAGGAGCTCGTCAAGGCCCTGCCTAGTACTGACTGAGCCGGAAGAGATATCATTTTATCAAGGCCATAATCCTGCTACTACCTGTACCCTGTACTGCCATTCGAATAACCAACAATGTCAATGTCTTCTTAATTCTTCTCGTCTTTCTTTCTTGCCTGTCGCAGAGGCTAGGTCGGCGATGTATCACGTGATGCCAAGACTTCGCACTCACTCGCTTACTTTTTTTCATTTTCCGCCCACACAAAAGAAAAAGTCGCACTTTCGACATCTTCAACGCCTGAACGACGGTAAGTAAAACAGCAACAACCAGGCCAACCGCTCCACGACGTCAAGGTAAGATGCTCTCCTATCTGTGATTTAGCCACTATCGGCGGAATTATCTTTTTTGAGAGTTCGTCGAGTGTTGGAAGAGGAATTGGTTTGAGAAGCTAACAGGATCTTGTCTTGACCGCAGATGGGTGCCCTTAAATATGTGGAAGAACTTCAGAAGAAGAAGCAGTCCGATGTGATGCGCTTCCTCCTTCGCGTCCGATGCTGGGAGGTGAGAAAAACAACCCTACAGTCCTTTCCCTAGTCCGAGCGAACCGATTCATCATCCAAAGACCTGGACCGAGTTTGTCGACAACGATCCAACGAGGACCATGGCCGAAGAGGAATCCGCTTCAATTGTCATTTGATTTCTGTGGCACACACAAAATATGCACCTGTTGCCGTTGATTTTGCAGCGTGCCTTGCTATACACTCGTTGAACTTTGCTGAGAGTGCATTAATATAGCTTCGTCAACTCAATGTCATCCACCGCGCCTCCCGCCCATCTCGCCCCGACAAGGCCCGTCGTCTCGGATACAAGGCCAAGCAGGGCTACGTTATCTACCGCATCCGTGTGAGACGCGGTGGCCGCAAGAGAACTGCTCGCAAGGGAGCTACCTACGGTACGGATTACTCCATTGAGAACGTGACGATGTTCCTCTGTGGCTAATTTGAATGATATAGGCAAACCTACCAACCAGGGTATCAACCAACTCAAGTACCAGAGATCCCTCAAGTCCACCGCTGAAGAGCGTGTTGGCAAGCGATGCGCCAACTTGCGTGTCCTCAACTCCTACTGGATCAACCAGGACTCCACCTACAAGTACTACGAAATCATCCTCGTCGACCCTCAGCACAAGGCCATCCGCAAGGATCCCCGCATCAACTGGATCGTCAATCCTGTCCACAAGGTAAATGATTCCCAAATACATGATCATTGCGTGGAATATGCTGCTGACCTCCCTTCTAGCACCGCGAATCCCGTGGTCTCACTGCCACCGGCAAGAAGTCCCGTGGTCTCAACAAGGGCCACGGCTACAACAAGACTACCGCCGGCAGACGGAAGACCTGGAAACGACTCAACACCCAGAACTTCTGGAGATACCGTTAAATGTAATGAATGGCTTGGGCTTTGCGGGTTTTCACTTTTGTTGTCATGTTTTACCAAAATTCTTCTATCTTATTCCCTCTCAAGCATGCGCAGCTGCTCACGTCATGTTGATCAACGCATGCCTACCAAGAAATGATATAATTCCTGGCTATGAAATGACCCTCAAAAGATGCCGCCAATTCAGCTTTAACGAGACCCTTTTATCTCTCTAACTATCCCCATAGTATCATGCAGGGGTCAATATCCATCTTGATGAGTATCTATGGCCCAAGCCTGCCCGTAGCGCCAGCAGGTGCTAGCATCGGTAGTGAAGTAGTGATCGATCATCTCTATCAAATTAACTGCCGAAGGCCCAGGGGCCAAGTTGAGCGATGGAGGGTGTGGCTGATGTCAGAGCCAAACCTTCCGCCCGCCTCCACGTAAACTCGTAACTCGTCTACAAACCCCATGCTCAGCTTCATCCAAACACTCCATCCTTTCAGCCTGAGCTGAGCGCACCTCTTGTCGGGCTACCAGATACGCGGACTTCACAGGAAGGCGGTGCTACCAGGCCCAGGATGCTGCTTCTGCCGGCCAAAGTGCTGCTGCCTCGTTGCTCGGGACGCAGCAGGAAGACGAACAATACTTGACAGCAACTGCTATACAGAATTGAACAGCCTTGCGACGGTCGTCTCGGTTTCAGCTTTGAGACAAAGCGGTAGCCATCGACCTCGAGCAGAAGAAATAGTATATAACGCCTCCCTGTGCTGTCATCCGGCCCCGTCACCAGATCGGCGCCCTGCAAGCTCTCATGGTTGTTGCTGTTGTTTGCCAACTTTCTGGTGAAGAGCCAGCTTGGGGACCAACGGCAGGCTGCGGGCGATATTGTTCGCTTGAAAAGAGACCACGGACGCCGGATTATTCTTATTGAAGCCTTTAGGAGTTTATACAGCGTCTACGTGTTCTACGTATACTATATCGAGCTTCGAGTTGAGAATAATGGCGCCGACGTGGGTATCTCGTTTCACCCATCACAATAACCGGCCCCCGGGCGCAGAAAGCAATTCGGCACCCCAGCTATCACCAGGCCTTGATCCAGACACGTTATTACTTCCTCCAGATCAATCTACAACACAGTCAAGGCCTATCCCAGCCCGTCGTGGCCATTCTCGGTCTACCAGCAATCCGTTTCCGGCTTTTTTTGCAGGACAAGGAAGAAGGGCCCGCGGCGGGAGTAGAGACATCATAGATTCCGACTCTACAGACGGTGACGATGGATTACATCCAGTCATTACGAATGCGCGCTCCTGCAGCCCTCAGAAGCGAGCTGGCTCCGACAGCCATATGGACCAATACCGGAAACGCAAATGTATGACATGCGATCATACCAACGCATTCCCTTACACCAAAAAGGGATTCCGGTGTGGGAAATGCGCAACGATGAATGATTTGGAACCTTACCGCAGCAGCAGATCGCGGCGTAGCAAGCCAGACGAAAAACTGCGGCCGGACAATATTCAGCAACCTCAAGCTAGGGGTGAGTACTCATCAACATATAAAAATCATGTACTTTACACATTCTAACACATACCCTGCAGTTACCATAGAGGAAACTCGGAGTATAATCGAGCGATGCCTCACTTCATACCTTTCCGCCCAGCTTGGTGAGAATCGAGTCCGTCAACCGCAGTCGAAGATAGACAATAGCCATCTTGGGAAAGATAAAGCCGATCCATCTGAACAGGGCCTGGTATCCCCTGAGTGTGACAAAAATGACAGAAATACACCGTCCGTGCTGGTGTCTGATGTGTCCTCTGCCCCCAGAAACTCGCCTCAATCCAACGCCAAAGCTGCTGACAGGGGAATTCCCTATAAGCCTACCAATGACGCACACGACAATCGGCTGGACCAAAGACGTAGGGACGCAGAGACTGACGCGAATGGCCCGGCAAATACCGTATTCCATGCATTAGAACAATATATAACGACTTGCTTTGATGGCTGTGATACCCTCAACAACTCGTTTATTACGGGCAGGACCCGTTATCTTCGTGCGGCGAGTGAGGGCTCAAAACCATCAGTGGGTAGAAAAGCCTCCGTATCTTCAGCCAACCCTGAAGAGTACCATGTACCCAATCTTGACGAGAAGACAATTCTCCTTGGTAATATTGCAGAGAATGGATCATGGTGGGCGGAAAATCAACGGTCACCAAAAAGCCAATCACCAAGCAATGGTAACTCGCCCAAATCATACGGAACGAAAGCCAGTCTCACCAACTCAAGGTCACCTCGAATCAATTGGCCAGAGCTTCTGGAATGGTACTATCTTGTCATACGTGCAGGCGAGTCTTGGGAGGATATGGTCCCATGTTTACCTGATATCAGAAACGCTCCAAGCGAGCCGAATTCATCTTCTACTAAGGACTTGGCAATTCTGGCTCAAGTTAACGAAGTAATAATGGAGTCACAGTTTATGGTTCGAAAGACACTGCTTCGAGCCACAGAGAAACTACTCCAGCGACCAAAAAGGCCACTCATGCGGCCAGATGATACCCGGTTCTTGCTTATATTGATTGAAAACCCGCTTCTATACTCTTCCGGCTCTATGCCTAGAACCCCATCTGGAGTCTCGCCTACCATGACGAGGACTCGCAGCAATCAAAAGCCACCTGGTCCATCTACTTCACCGTCCAGCAACCCCTCCCCTGGGAAAAGCGGCCGTCTTCAACCATCCCCAAGCTGTAATGAGCTATCAAGCCTCAGATATTCCTCCCTAAAAAGGCTTTTTGGATTGATCTCCAACCTGCCTAACGAATGCCATCACTCATTTGTTGGATGGTTTTCAAGGCTTATACCAAGCCACTTCCAACGATTGGTAGAGGTTATCAATGGCTTTGTGACTTTTCGGCTTGGGAAATCCAACAAACGGCAATCAACCAAGGCTGAAAATGGACTCAATCTTGGGAGATATGTCCCTACATTTTCCGCGCCAGGGACTGTCACGCATGCGCAATTGCATACCGCCCTTCAAGACAACCCAGGCAAATCTTCAGCAGGTGAAAATAAGCTGGTCAGCTACGCAGATGATTGGCAAATCCGTGCTGCTGCTCGTGTTATGGCTCTTCTATTCCGAGCAAACGGTATGGGAAACGGCCGAAAGGCCGAGGTTGGCTCCAGTGGAAGAGAAATTCCAGGCTCTGGTCAGAATAATGATCGCTTGAATAAGATTGCTATAAACCATTTCTACAACGCACGGCTCGATTATGCCGATCTTATTCTGGATTTCGAAGCATGGGAATCTCGTAGTGGGAAATTTTCCTTTTGTCAATATTCGTTTTTGCTGAGCATATGGGCCAAAATACAGATCATGGAACATGATGCGCGTCGGCAAATGGAGGCCAAAGCTAGAGAAGCATTTTTTGACACTATCCTTGGGCGAAGGGGTGTAAGCCAGTATCTCGTTCTGAAAGTACGAAGAGACTGTTTGGCTGAGGATAGTTTACAAAGCGTTAGCGCTGTTATCGGATCTGCTGAGGAAGACATCAAAAAGGGGCTACGCATAGAATTTGCAGGCGAAGAAGGGATTGATGCTGGTGGGCTGCGCAAGGAATGGTTTCTCCTTCTAGTGAGAGAGGTTTTCGATCCACTTTATGGTACGTTTAAAAGCACATATACCCTCCTAGGGAGATCTTTTTCAAGAGACATTATAGCTAACCTGACAATCATTGTATAGGTCTCTTTCTCTATGATGAGGACTCTCAATATTGCTACTTCAATCCATACTGTTTTGAGTCTTCGGAGCAATTTTTCCTTGTTGGCGTGGTTCTAGGGTTAGCAATATACAACTCGACTATTCTTGATATTGCGCTGCCTCCATTTGCCTTCCGGAAGCTATTGGCGTATTCCCCATCAAACGTTGCGCCTACATTGTCATCTCCGCCCCAGCCATTTAAGCCTACCTTGGATGATTTGGCTGAGTTTCGGCCAGCGTTAGCAAAGGGCTTGCGACTGCTCCTCGAATATGATGGTGATGTTGCAGAAACTTTTTGTCAGGACTTCGTTGTCCAAGTTGAACGCTATGGCGAAGTGGTCCAAGTCCCTTTATGTGCTGGGGGAGAGAATCAAGCAGTGACTAATGAAAACCGTCGCGAATTTGTGGATCTCTATGTGCGTTACATCATTGATGGGGCGGTATCCCGACAGTTCGAACCATTTAGACGTGGATTCTTTACGGTCTGTGGAGGAAACGCACTGCATCTTTTTAAGCCCCAAGAAATCGAGCTTCTCATCCGCGGCTCGGAGGAGCCTCTTGATATACCATCTCTACGAGGGGTGGCAATGTATGAGCATTGGCCAGCTTCCTCGCCAGATCGAGAGCCAGTCGTGAATTGGTTTTGGGAATTTTTCGAGAGAATTCCAGCTAAAGACCAACGTAAGATACTCAGCTTCATCACCGGCAGTGACAGGCTCCCCGCCATGGGGGCGGTAAACCTGGTCATTAGGCTTATGTGTCTGGGCCCGGACTCAGAGAGATTCCCAACAGCACGGACATGTTTCAATGCACTTGGATTGTATCGGTATAAAACCCGGCAGAAATTCGAAGAGAAACTTTGGCGCGCGGTAGCTGAGAGCGAAGGCTTTGGGCTACAATGAATAGTTGGGCCACCTGTATATGCGGTTTTTGTGGCTCAGGCTCCCATAATCTGCTTATTCCCACTTCATTGCACCTCCTTCTATTCTGCCTCTTTTTCTCCTGACACCTCTCATGTCCCAGTTCGGGCTCCTTTCTAGTTATATTGTTGACACCGGCACCCTCCAACGTTATTGTTTATATATAAGTATGGAGTAACCCAACCGCCTCCTGAGTTGTAGGCGCCATTAATAGTATGCATTTCTGTGACTTGGGCTGGACAGCCGTTTCCCCATATTCTTCAGGCCAGCTAAACTCATGCTCTGAAATGAGCTTGAACTTATTAAATTTTGCTTGAGCCAGTCTTGCATCTCAATGGTGCGCTTTTTTGTCATTAGCTTTCCGCTGCCAGTGTTTTTCATACTGGTCGCACTATTTACGACCAAACAAAGGCTCGGGGCTTTCTTTCATGGCCCGCGTAACGATATAATAGGTTGCTCTATGGTCCCAACCTATCTACAAGGATGTTGACAAGGCTTTGGTCACGGGGATGGCTGCTTTGATGGTATCTGTTGATATTAGTGTTCATGGTATTAAGAACGTTGAGTAAACACCGCTACCACTGATATCACTAAGGCCGGTCTTGTTGAGAGGACGCTCCAGGCCAGGGCTGGGATCGTCCTGGCATTAGTTACCAACCAGCTGATAGAAATGGGACATGTTCAGCGGTGAAAAAAGAAAATATATTGAAGATGTGAAAGCTCGAGAATCAAAATACTCCGCCAAAGTTGTTGACTTTCAGATATCAAGCAAATAAAATTATAAAATTAAGCACATCACGAGCCAAACGTGGGGCGGCTTACATCAGAATTCAATCCCATTCAGACTTTTCCTTCCTCTTCTTTCTTTTTCTTTTGTTCTCGTTGCTTTTTGCTGGCACTTTTATCTTGCGCTTTTTCTGCTCTCTGCTGGGCAAGAAGAAGAAACGGGCGGCGGCTGGGCCAGGGTCGACCGAGCACAAGGCATGCATGCGGATACCACTGGTGCTCACTGCTTCGTATATCTCACGGACTGGGGTTGCCGTGCCTTGGGAAGGATGCGTTGGCCATCTGGCTGTATTCACTCTCCGTATAAATATAGTAAGTCCTCCATAACGCTGGGGTCGTTGGGAGGATTGCTGCTCTGGTCCCTCGTCTGCGAATGGCGGAGTGGAATATGAGTCTGCCCCTGGAGCACCTTCCAGCTAGTTATGCCTCCCAGAGCTAACGGCAGTTCCCTCCTTTCTGGGCCCGTTCCTCCTAGCTCCATGTCTAGTCACTCACTTAGTGGGCAGTTCTGTGGGGAGAGGAGGGGGAGGGGCAGGAGATAAGATGCACCAATAATTATGAGGCCCAGTGGGTTTCAGCAGCAGCAGGAACCACATGTTTCGCACAGCTGAAAATTGCAGCGGATGTGCCTCGCGCGTCTTCGGCCGTCTCGGCCAGATATTTGACGTCTCTGCTGCATCGCATGAGAGAGACTAATCAAGGGTTGAGAAAGGTAAAAAGAGAAGAAGAAAAATGATGAGCATCAAGGCTTGATTTGGGTTGAGTTCAGCGCTCTCTGCTGATCTGTTGACTGGCAAGGGTTCCGATCTAGATGGTTGCCTGGAAGCGGTGGTCCTATATCGCGCCTTTTTATGTCCTAAAAGAGCCGAATTATCTCCTCACCCCATCCCAGGGCTTCTCGGAGGCAAAGGCTAATTGTGAACCAGTGCGTTTTCACCGCTCTTATATACATCGTAGCTTTCCCCATGTCGAATTAGTCGTACCATGCTCCGGCAGTGCAAAGAAGCTAGCTGTCTCGTCCCGTTTCTTTTTCCTTCGCAATCCTGTCTGCTTTGACGGTACCGTTCATAGAAGGTGAGCCGGTGTGTTGGTGGGTAAACTAGCTCCATTGGCTTCTCCTTGATTCTCTTCTCTCCACTGGTTTTGAGAGCCAGTACCACGTATGCGTATGGTATAGTGGCATCGTCCTGCCCTGCCTCCAATTTTTAATGTTTGTTTTCACCAGATCGTCTCCCGGTCTAGTAGTATAAATAGTTGGCATCTTCTTCTCGGCTCCGTTGAGTCTCTCTCCTTTGTCCTCTTCTTCATTCAACCATAACTGCCCCACCAACAAGAAAAGAAACTCTTCCAGAAAGTGAGTTATAAGCAGCTTCATCTTTCTGTACTTTCTCTTCTTCCTCTTCTTTCTCTTCCTCCTCCTTTTCTTCCGCTGCAAAGTCAACCAAGCTGATAGGATCGCACATAGCAACTTCACATCACGTCAAGATGGCTTCTCAACTCCCAAAGAGCATGAAGGCTCTCAGGTAAGCTTCCTTGCTTGCTTCCATTCCCTCATATATAGCCTATCAGATCCAGCTTGCTAAGTTCTCTTGCCCAACGGCAGATACTCCAAGCCTGAGGAGTTCAGCATCGTCAACATCCCCCTTCCAGAGCTCCGAGAGAATGATGTTATGGTAAGCTTCCACGTGTTTCCAAGTATGGAAGTGATCGGAGTAGGGCAGCCGCTGACAAATATCTGTAGATCAAAGTCAAGGCCTGTGGTGTCTGTGGCACTGATCTCCATATCCATGAGGGTGAATTTTTGGCCAAGGTAAGTAACTTTCAGTCAGAAGAGGTTCAAAATGGCTTATTATCTCCATAGTTCCCTCTGGTTCCTGGACATGAGACTGTCGGTGTCGTTGCCGCTGTTGGCCCAAAGGTCAAGGGATTCAACATTGGAGACAGAGTTGTTGCCGACAACTCTGAGCTTTGCGGAGAATGCTTCTACTGCCGCCGAGGTGAGGAGCTCCTCTGTGAGCATTTCGAGGCTCATGGTGTCACTATGAACGGTGGTTTTGCTGAATACTGCGCTTATCCTGGTAAGTTGAAAAGCGTCCATGTGAAATTTCCACATTAATCTGACTTCTTGGATGTTAGCTGGCCGTGTTTTCAAGATTCAAAACCTCTCCGATGTTGATGCTACCCTTCTCGAGCCCGCTTCTTGCGCTGCTCACGGCCTCGACAAGATTAGCCCCAAGATGGGTTCAACTGTTCTCATGTTCGGTGCTGGCCCAACCGGCCTTGTACGTCCGCCCAGTTTTTCAAATTCACCTTGGTGCAAGGTACAGCAAACTGATAATCCGGAAATAGGTTCTTGCTCAGATGCTCCGATTGAATGGTGGCTGCAAGGTCGTCATCGCCGCTCCAAAGGGTCTCAAGATGGACCTTGCTAAACGCCTCGACGCTGCCGATGAGTACGTTGAGCTCTCCCGTGAGGATCCAAGCGCTCAGTTCGACGCCTTGAAGGCCGCCAACCCATATGGTTTCGACATCGTTGTTGAGGCAACCGGAAGCGTTAAGATCCTTGAGGATGCTATCAACTACTGCCGTCGTGGTGGAAAGCTTGTTGTCTATGGTGTTTATGCCAACAAGGACCGCGTCAGCTGGGCTCCATCCAAGATCTGTAAGTTGATCCTTTCTCCTGATAGTCGTTTGGCATTTTCCTTCTGGTTAGCGTTGCATCAACTTTTAACATTTCAATTCTCAACCCAGTCGGCGACGAAATTACCATCATCGGAAGTTTCAGCGAAACCTACAAGTTCCCCGCCGCTATTGACTATCTTGACTCCGGAAAAGTCAGAGTCGAAGGCATCGTCAACAAGACCTTCAAAATTGAGCAGTGGGCCGAGTGTCTTGAATCCATGAAGAACAAGTCTGCCATCAAGGCCGCCATCACCTTCGACTAAATTAGCCGTTTCTTCGCATGTGGCCCTCATCGCCTTGATGCATCGTATTCACGACCTTACTTTTCATTATGGAACCGGGCCGTTTGGTTTGTTGAGCATTAATGCTATGGTGATGCCTTTCATGAATGACATGACCTTTTTTCTCTATGTTTTTCACAAGATTAAACGGAAAAATTTGGGCTTTTGCAGGACCATGGTATCGGGTATTATGAAGGTATTGGGAGGTGTTTGGATCAGTCCTTGGGCGCCTTCGCCGCTGGCTGTTGTGGTCAATAACGACTCCTATCACTAGCTAGATATCACAGTAATGGATAGAATATTCAACACCGTATAGTCTCAACTGCTCCATTTCGGCATCTGAACTCGTGACCCCAAGGCGAACAGATGCTGTGTCCTTGTGGCGATGTTGTTCAGATGAAAGATGAAGTCGAACTTCGTCCCTCTTTACACATCCAAGGTCCCCAGACATGGAGCCAACAGTAAAACCGGATATACGTTATTCCGGCGCCGAAGCCGCCGTCCGCGCTGCCAGCGACATCTACATGTTTACTCTCAACCTTAGTTATCAGCCGAAGCCCGTGAGGTTGGATGTGCTTTTAGAAAGCCGCGTCACAGTTAACTGGATTACAATGGTCAAACCTTTATCCTTTAAAGGGGATAAAAAGACAAAGAAGAGAAAACGGCAAGCCGATGACAATGAAGGGAGAGCCATAGGTGAACCTTCTAACACCCTTGCTGCGGATCGCGAAGCTGCACCTGACGAAGATGGCCAGAATTGGGTCTCTGCGGATGTACCAGCCGAGATAGCAGGGCCTGTTTTGCTTGTGTTGCCGTCGACTCCACCATCATGCATTGCGTGTGATGTCAACGGAAAGGTATTCGCCAGCGAGCTGGAGAATATCGTGGAAGGGAACCCCAGTACCGCGGAACCGCATGACGTTCGCCAGGTATGGGTAGCAACAAAGGTTGTAGGGAGTGAAGGGGTCAGTTTTAAAGGACATCATGGGAGGTACGGGCTATTTCTGATACAATTGGCATCATTAAAGATAAGAAGAAGCTAACTGTTAAACCCCATCGAAAAGATATCTTAGCTGCGATAAATATGGCATTTTAAGCGCCAATGCATCCGCGATATCAGCTCTCGAGTCCTTTATTCCAATAATCTGTCCAGGCTCTCCCGGAATGATATCACTTCAGATATGCGGTGGTGATATCGAAGCATACGTTTCTTCGAAAGAATCTCTTTCTTCAGCCCCTTCTAAGGCATCTGTTGAAATTAGGGGGGATGCCACTGAAATCTCATTCAATACTTCTCTCCGAGTCAGGATGCAGGCGCGGTTTAAACCGAAAACGAAGTCTGCAGCCGCAAAAGAAAGCAAGGCGTTAGAGAAGATTAGTCGAAAAGAATTGGAAGAAGCTGTAGGTAGGCGGCTGGATGACGATGAAGTGAAGAGATTAAGGAGGGCACGGAGAGAAGGAAATTATCATGAAGAGATTCTCGATGTTAGGGTTAAAGGTAAACATGACAAGTTCGCTTGATAGTGCTTTAACTAGTGCACCATAACCCCAGGCGCTGTAATAGCCGATAATGAAAGTAGGGCTATTCGAGTCTAAGGGTGCACAACCGTATTATGACGTTGGTTGTACACACGATGGGACCTCGCCATCGATAATAGCCATACATCCCCGGATGTTCAATTCCCATACAAGCAATACCCTTGTGGCAAGCAACACTATTCATCACAAGGTTCAAGGGAACAGTGGCATAGAATCACAGATATCATTAAATCGTCATTAGCATATGCGGAACGCCGCTATCATATAGTATGTACCTATCACTCGTCAAAGAGAGAAATCCTCATATCAAATATACAAAATTGCCGTGAACTATCCAGGACTCCGTGAACAACCATCCAACGCCATTGCGCCGGATAATTGTCCTCGACTCATACAACGTGACGTCACGTCAGAGTATTTGTAGAGAAAGTAAAGCAAAAAGCAGGAAAGCAAACAACCGCCGGTATACAAAAACAGGGTAAATGAAGGAGCATTTGGATTCTTTACCCATGTTATATAGCATCATCTGAGAACAGGAAATAATCGATGTACTAGCTTGAGCCCTAATTAAACAAGTTAGATGCTGACAAGAAGCTAAATAAAGGGTTGACGGGGAGATCGTGAAAGACAAGTATAGAAATTAAGCACTTACATTTTGGCCTGGCAGCAGCTCGTTCTCGCTCTTCATCTTCGGCCATCCTATCGTTACCAAGCATGGCGACTGCTCTTTGGCGCATTGCCTCTTGCCGTTCGGTGCTATTCGCTGTATTATTGCGTAAATTTGGTGAAAGGGTTGTTAACGGGATACTTGGGGTATTATTCCTCGAGTTTGTACGTTGGCGATTCTGTTCTTCTTGTATCCTCCTGGCCAATCGTTCTTGACGAACCATCAAGTTCGTTACAGTTTCCGGAAAATAACCAACTGGCAGGACACTGATCTTGCACACCGGACACAAGCTGCTATTTTGTAACAAAAATGTATCAATGCACTCTGAGTGAAATATATGCCGGCATGGGAGTTCCCTGACAGTAGTTTCTCCAGAAATGTAGTCGTCCAGACAAATAGGGCATGTGCACTGCGAAAATGTGAGCTGACCGACATCCTGACCTGAAGGCAAAGCCTGAGCCCGGGCATCTGTTCTCTTTCCTGCTCTGCCAGATGTAACGGCAATAGATTCTCGGGAATTGCCAAAAAGATGCGAAACAAAGCTCCGTATCGCGGGCTTCTTGCTCTCTGGGGGGGTAGGCGACTGCGCTTGATCAATGTTTTGCGAGACTGTTGTGACGGCTGATGCAGGAGCCATGATACTGCCGTCATTAGAGTATGTGTAAAGGGGCATTTTATCGAGGATATATTGTGGCACCGTCAGTCTTTTGATGCCTAGCATCTCCAAGTCTACCTCTCCTGCCTGGATCCTTCGCTGTAGTGACAGACGTCGTCGTCGCTGGATATAACGCATCAAAATCGACGATATGATGATGATAACAATAAGTACTCCGAGAACCGCCAAAAGGAATATCCAAAGATTTGGCATCAACCTCCGGCCGCGCTCTAGCGGAAAGTCAGTATACATATTTCAGCTCAGGGAGTGCCCTTGGGTTTCCATTACCAACATCAACCCGAGCAAAAATTCTAGCTCGTGCGTTAGGATTATAATCGCGGCTAAGTTCATCTCCGTGTGGCGCCGAGGACAAATTTCCAGAGTATAGAGCGATTTGATTAACAAGTTGCCCTCCGTATGCTCCGGGAATAGCATACACTGAGAACGGGTGGTTCAACTTCCATGTATCGTCTTCGTCCAACTTCCATATGGTACCATTTCCTAAGGGTAATTTGCTTGTTGAGTTGTTGGGAATATAAAGAACAGCACCCACAACACGATCATCTTTTGCTGCATCTAAGAATGCGAGTGTGCAGCTCGGTGATATCCAAGGAGCAAGTGCCATGAGAGCACACGGAGGTTTCGGGAAGTCTGAACGTCGGGTGACATTGGCCGGAATCAGGCCCCTTGCCTCCTCGTTGCACGCATCGTTGGAGAGCTCAGGCACATATAATAGCCCAGTAATAGAATCTCCGGCTCCATTTGAAGAAAGTGTCACAAGATTGTCTCCTATGTCGAGTTGATAAGAGAGGGTCTCCTAACGAGGGCTCATGTAAGTATCTGAAGATTAGGCGACCGGCGGTGGGTTTGGTTATGTCCATACGTTAACAGGTCGCGGCGAGTCGCATGTTTCTCCTGGTAAAACCAGTGTGCCGACTCGAAAGGAGCTTGATGCTGAGTGGCATTGCGTGAGTAAAAGCCTATGGAAGAACTGGGTGGACCAGACCTACCCATGGGATTTTAGAATATAACGCCAGGGCTGGGTGCCCAGTACGGTGTTGGAAGATGCAGCCAGGTTTTGGCTCGATTTCACGATCGCTTTCCCACTTGTAGAGAGTTGTAGGAGAGGAAACTATTATTTCATGATAAGAAATACGTTCAGCACGGGCGGGCGGATCTTGGGGATGTGATTAAGCATTTATAACTGCCCCGTCTCCAGCCGCAAATCAGATTGCCCAAACGCCATCCAGCCTGCGTACTTTGTAAGATTGACTCGCTTGAATACGATGACAAGATTTAATCCTCAGCGCTAATCAAATCCAGGATGGGTACCACCCCTTGAGGCTGGTACTCAGGTACAAAACGAGCAAAAGAGGGTGGCGATCAGCTTGTCAATGTATCATCCACGGCCAAGCAGGCATGCTGGCTATTGAGTGATGCGGGATTGATTCTGGCCATCCGAGTGATTGAGCCGAGACTGAGGCGCGGAGAGCGCTAGTCGAGCATGCCCCAGACTGCACAACACCCAGCCTGATCAGCGTTTGAAGCTTGGCTCACAGACCCACGAGACCAAGGACAAGGCAAGGCGTGCTAAATTTATCAGGCTCTTGGTCACCAACCGTAACAGACGCTTTCGACAAGCTGAGACGATCCAGGAGCATATGTAGAGCAATTAGTCAGGTAGTAAGAACAGTACTCCAGGGCGACTTCGACTTCCAATAGCGGCGCGGTTCATCCTCGAGGATTGACGTGTTTCTTTGTTAAGAAACTGCCATTCGCTTGTTATCTTCACCACACACCAGTGAATACGGTCGGGTCTTTTTGCTGTTAGGAGATGGCTGCAAGTGCTCGGTTACAGATATGCCACGCTTACATAGTTAGCGTATTCACGCCACTGGGTGGGATATTTGTTTCCAAATCATTCATCAGCACTCATTATTGCCAGTTGCGCGCAGTCTATCCCGGGATTTTCGGCATCACGGAGCTGCCGCCATGGATGATCCTACAAATGATTTGTTATGAAGGGCTCCGTTAGATGGTGGAAATCCCATGGGGTCTAAGCCACAGCAGGAACCCCCTTCAACCCTGGTTTCAGGTGAGAGTTTTACCTCCATACTTTGGAATCGCTATCAATAACGTTTCTTTGGAAGCATGGTGTAGCACTCGTCATTTCGGCCTAGACATGGAGCTTCAGTCTGTTTCGGCGAATTAATTAACGAGTTGTCAACAAATAGAGGGGGGGGAGCCTCAAGCATGTCAGCCGTAAGAAAACTTCCGAAAAGGGAAAAGTAAAGCGGTGTACGGTCTACCTCGACATCCTCATCTCTCCTCTCAAAGCACCCCTGAAGAAACTTGACTTGTCTTCCTGCTTGGTGTACCTATTCCTGGTCTACTTTGTCGTGTCAAAAAGTGGCTTGAAAAAGTTGTTTTTTTCTCGTGTCAGAGTAAGGTTATGTGTTATATAAGAAAAAGTCATTACTAACAGAGTTCAGCACGGGCCAGTTCCAGAAAACGGGGCATGGAAGCGTCAGTGCGGCAAGTTTGTCCAACGACAACCAAACGACGCGCGAAGCCGCAAGTTGCAGTTGATATCGATACAGCCCAACCTGCAACCACCAGACCCTTCACATCATACATCCTTGTACCCCTTTAGACGAACGATCCAAGCTTAGCGGAGGATTTACGGCGTTTCCCGAGCTTTCTTCACTTCTCCGATCGCCGCCACCAAGGGTGACCAGCGCGATGCCTCCTGGTCTCGGGAATAAGAACAAGGGCAAAGGCCGCGAGCCTAGAGGTTCTAGAAGCCGGAATACCACACCCAGTTCTGCTCTCAGTGCAGGCGCCAGCACAGTTACCGGAATTGGCCTATCTACCGGCTATCTTGACAATGATGTCTCCAAGCTCCTCGTCCCGACCGGCGTGCAGTATTCCGATGTTCTTGAGAAATTTGGAGGTATCGGTCAGATTCCGGACCAGAAAATACTTGAATCCCTTGTGGATCAATTGAAGATTCTCGGTCAGCTTGCGGAGACTAGGGAAGATGCTTGCAATGCCGGCATGAGAGAGCTATCACAAAAACGAAAGGAAGTGCTGGAAGACCAGAGAGAACGGGAACAAGTGGACCGGGACGCCGAAGAAAAGCTACGAATGAAAAGAGAGGCAGATGATGATGAAGACGAATCACGAATTCTTAAGGGAGGTAGGATAAAAAAGCGGAAAGAGAAAAATGTTCCCAAGGAGGAGAGACCGCTCTCTCATGGTGCCCATGGTGTTGCGAGACAGGACGGTCCTGAAACTAAAGCCGATGGTAAGTCCAGTCCAATCGCGATACCGATGAAGCTATAACTTGCTCTTTAAATTTTATAGATCACCTAGGTCACTAACGTTCATCCATAGCATCACATAAAAGAGGAAGTAAAGAAGCTCCAGTGGGTTCACCTAAAAAAGCACGAAACCAACCGTCGAGCGCATCGTCTTTGTCTCCACCTTCCTTTCATTCGCCTCCTCCTGCTACTGCTGGATCAACTGCGGGAAGCCCTGAGTCTGTTGATAGTTCGGAATCGCATCAACCGGAACCCGCTCCCGCCATCCATCAATATCAGGTTTTCGGGCCCGACCCTTTACAATTCGATGACCCTACAGTGTACCATATTCGAGATATCACTCCCAATATGTCGGCTGAAGAGAAGAAGAAAATATACAGCGTCGCAAGCTTCCCGGAATCGGACTTGAAGCATTTAATGGCCGGTGAGCCGCCAGATAAGGATTTTAGCAATGCGAAGCCTACAAACCAAGTCAGCGCCAATACCTTTGCAACGTACCTAGAACCATATGTTCGGCCCCTTACGGAGGAGGACATAGCTTTCTTAAAGGAAAAGGTAAGGGCTTGTTACCCCCAATCGTTCTTAACTGTACAGTACATCTGACCCTACAGGGTGACCGTGCCACTCCCTTTTTAATGCCCCGCCGCGGGAAAAAACATTATACCGATGCTTGGGCCGAAGAGGATGGCTTAAATATGGACTCAACAAATCAAGATCGAGACAAATTACCCCTAAACCAGGGTAGGGGTAGCATTGATCAGATCACAGATGAGACTTGTGAGACCGACCAGGTCTCAGTCCCTCCTATGCTCAGTCGATTATACTCTCTTTTACGTTTTGAGCACCGCACCCTTCCAGATGATGCATCTCAACCTGGAAACGAAGAGTCGACCGCAAATGGAATATCAAATGTTGACAGTGCAATGGACATTGACCACCCAAATGGGGACACGGAGCCAAAGCAGCTAAGCTCAGCTACATCGTTCCCTGAGTCTTCACTGAGCGGGTTCAAAGTTCCGGCTGCGAAGTTAGACCATGCCCAGCTCGATGAACGACTGAAGGCCGAACTCCGATATATCGGCTTCCTGGGGCCTGAGGACAATCCAGATTATGATGCCCATTATGACGACGACATTGCTGAGCGGCTCCGCATCCTTCAATCAGAGCTTAAGAAACAGATGATTGTTAACGGTGCACGGAAAACTCGCTTGCTAGATATTGCTCGTGAACGGTTGGCTTACCAGGAATACAGCACTATCCTCGACGACTTAGATACCCAAGTACAGCAAGCATATCTTAAACGGACTCGTACCCTAGGCAAGAGCAAGAAAGGCTCTCACGCGAAACATCGACCTGGCGGTGCAGGCGGAGGCAGTCATCCGGTTAGCACGGCCGGTGTAGGCAGGCCTGGAATCGGCGACATGGCCCGTACCCTTATGGACCGTCGCAAGAGATGGATCGATTGCATTGGCCCGGTCTTTAAGGACTGTAAGTCTACTGTGCCTGGCAAAGACGAGACTGTCTGGGAGCCATTGGCAATGGCAGACTTGGAGAAAGCGGAATTGGAAGGATGGGACGAAGAACAGGAGTGATTAAACGGGTTTTCACTTCATGCGGCGTTCTATCTTGTGTTTGTGTCTTTTTTTTAAAGGATCGATTGCTTGCCGTTGTACGTCATATATAGGGTGGATAGATTGCAGGTTTGGCGTCTCAAGGGTTATGAAGATGGCAACCTCGCTGGCAGAGAGTATAATAATGAAGAACACATAATTCATGAAGATGCATATTTTTATTCAATCTACAGAGATTTGTTGATTGATGGCTCGATTATAAAGCTAACTGCTCATATATACTATGAGTGGATGATAACAACCTCTCGCGGATATCGCTTCAACCTAGCCGTGAGCTCTTTATCGGTTACCTCAAGCTCCGTGCATATCTCATCGAAGCAATGAGTTCCATCCAGGTACTTAGCAAGAGTCTTGTTGTCTATACCGTAGTCCCCTATCTCATCTTCCTCCTCTCCGTCCGAATCATCATCCCCGAACACATCTACATCGCCGTCGTTGCCATCATCATCGTAACGGTGAAGAGAGCGGCGGTTACGTGCTCGGCTCCGAGGAGAGAGGGCAGATGTATTTTTCGACAGGGATTTATTCGTTGACAGAGGGTCAACACCGCTGGCTGTAGAACTTAGGCGATCACGGGTGAACGGGTGGGTATCTCGGTCAGTTGCAGTTGCTGCCCCAAGTGAATATCCCGCAAGAGGAGAAGTTGACGGGAAGTGGTTTGACTGCCTTCGTTGGTGGTGGCTCTGTATGACTCTCCCGGTTGCAAAGGGATACTTATGTACTCGGTACAAAAAGCCCTTGATAACGCCAAAGGTGATGAAGCGGCGTACATCAATATTTGCAAGTTCGCGCATATGCTTTAGATACCATTGTTTGACGGTCTGACCCTGTCTCAGGCTCGAATATAACTCGATAAGGCCGACTCCATCGACAATTGTCCTCGAGCCGAATTTGCCTGAGCCCTTGCCGGACGCAGATGGAATGGAAGTATCGATCTTTGGCCAGATGCTATCATGTTCCACCCACGGATCGTCATTGGTAACATGTATCCCATGGCCAGAATGAGATATAGACGCCCTCTGGAGATTGGAAGTAGATGACGATCCGCCTAGAGCAGCAGTAGATCTAGTCACAGGTGAGGGTTCACTGACGGGCGAAAAGCGTATGTTGACATATCGAGCACATTCGCACTGCATCTTTTTGTCTGTGACGATGGTCGAACTGAACTCCGCAGTTGGGGCGTATATGGCTGAGAAAGAGAAGATATCCAGAAGAAATGCACATCCGTAATATATTAGATGGCGTATTGCGCGGCAAGTGAGAGTGAAATCCGCATCGGACAGAATGGAGATCTTTCGAACGCTGTTGATTCCATTTATATATGGAACGATCTGTGTTAAATATTAGTAGAGTTCGAAATGAGAACGGCGTATAAGGGGATTTTATCCTACCCTTCTCATAGTCAGATCCCAGTTCTCATCCATGAAGGTCTCACATCGAACAGTGAAAAGAGGAACATGCCATGCTTTGACGATAGGCGGGGAAGGGTATAGCGGGAACAACTTGACATTAAGGGTATTCAATTCATCTAGTAAAGCAGTCAGTACAGAGCATCTAATAGCTTACCAGGTCGATAGATTAGTTGAAGGCAGCATACCAATTGGAATCATGCACTCATAAAAGTTATTCAAATCCTCCATCAGCGTTTCACACAGGCTGTATATCTTCCCTTCCCCGTCCTTGGAGGTATCCTTCGACAAGAAGCCTGACTGCTCTTCCAGCCCGCACATCAGATGTGCCAACTTCTGCACCAGACTCTTATACGTCCCCCACTCGTCCTCTTCGTTCAACACGATGCAGAAATTAAATATGAATTCATTCCGATCGTAGCGAGGCGACTTCATGCAGACGGGGGATCCGAGGATTCTGTGTCCGCCGGTGCAGACGTGGATGAGGTTCCCGCATAGCTCTTGTCGTGGGATTACGAAGAACGAGACGTCTGAGAAGCTGAAGAGGGGAGAAGTTCCTGGCGGTGCGGTAGGAGATGGGACGATAGCTCCATCGGGAACTTGGTGAACGACCTTGGGGCCTGTATTGGGTGCTGTTAGTATATGGTGGGTGTAACAAGGGTGGTGGGTTGTTGATGGTGATGATGATTGAGGTGTTGCGGGGGTTGCATGCCTGACTGAGTGTCGAATCGGCTGTAGAAGGTAGCTTTGATCATGATTCAATCGCGGTTCCTGACGTAGAGGAAAGAAAGCGACTTGATAAGGGCGACATAACTCTCTCCCGGCGTCTTCAAGCTTCGTGCGAGATGTAGCAGTCAGCCTGTAGCTGTCATGGTGTTGTCGATGCCGCGGAGCCGTTAACTCAATAGTTGAGATGTTGATCTTGGTTGCTCTGACTAGCGCATGTTTGACATTTATTTATCTACTTGATCTACTCCAGTACTCCGTATATCAACGTATGATACAGATGGTAAGTAGTTGAATAAAGTGATATCTAATTGATATATTCGATTCTCCTACAGTGAACGTCTGAAGGTGAAAGATGAACTGTGTTCCCCTGATTGCAAACAGGCTAGATACAATATTAAAGATGCCTTGCTAAAGAAATAAATGCATGAGCGAACATTAAAAAAGATGCAAAGGCAGCAGTCAGGTAAAAAAAAATCAGAGTAAGAATAGGAATGTAGATAGGAACATCGCATGCTTGCGCTCAGGGATATCATAAAAAGAACGGGAATATATGCCGAAGGAAGCAGAAAGGAGTCGTTATATCAAGCTGGAGAGAACAGCAAAAAAAAGCGAGTAGAGGTGATAAACAGGTGAGACAAGTCTATCCATAGCCGTAAGGTCTTGGGAACACATAAAATGTCTGCAACGAGAAGAGCTGAGATGGGACGGCGGGTAAAGGGCAAGGGACTGCAGAAAGCGCAGACGCTCGCTTGAACGCTAGGTAATATTCGAGAAGTAGTCCCATAAACGCCGTTGGTAAATAAAAAGGAATAGAATAAGGAGAGAGAATAAGAAAAGTCTCTTGTATCACTGCGCCGGTAAAATGCCTGAACAAAAGGAAAGCCGTAAAAAAAAAAGGAAAGAGAGAGATGATTTTTCAGCTGTGGTGAAGGTCTCTTGATGGCTGGGCCGAGACAGTTGCAGAAACAGTTGAGATCGGTGGAATGATGTCGTTGCTGTTTATAGCTGGTAGTCTTGAGCTGGCGGAGTGGTAGCTAGCGGTATGATGTGCGGGCGACCCTGATCCTGCAGCATGGTATTGGTGCTGGTGATGCTGGTGATGCTGATGGTGGTGGTGGTGCACAGAGACGCCTCTCTGCGTAAAGTCAATGGCGCGTCCTTCACGAATGGCATCGAGCATGTCAGTATAGCCGCCTCGTTCGATGGCTTCCTTGAGCCATTGCTCCCATATCTCGTCAAGGGCAACATTGATCCCACGCTCCCGAGCGGCTGTGGCTTCTAGGAGGTGTTCATTCAGGGCCACTCCGTAGCTTTCCAGGTCTTCGTCGCTGCTGCTATCTTCCGTTCCACTCTCGCCAGTAATGGGTCCGTTGGTGTCCGATCCTGCGTTGCTGGGTAGTATGGGCCCGTCTATGATCTGCTGCCGGCAGGGAGAAGAGCAGCACTCGTCGTCTTCTATTTCTACCTCTGCTTCTTCCTCCTCGATCTCTTCTCGTACAGGGGCAGCGTGGACATGGAGCGTAGGGGGCATCGAGGGGGCAGCAGGCTTGATCTCGTCTGCGGTGGTGTCTCGCACTTTGATGCCGGTGTCTCGCTCGTACCGTTCTCTAGCCGACTTTGTGCCCTCCCAGCGACAGAGAGACGAGATCTCAGCCTCGGTCAGCTTAAGCTCGTCAAAGACCTTGAACAGCTTCTTGTGGTGGTGGAAACGGCCTAGTCTCATGCGATGAGGGCCATACGAGTAGTCCAGGCCGGGATATTGAGCTTCGATGCAATCCAGCGTTCCATAGAAGGTCGATGTCTCTACTCGCACTTCAGGGACGAGGTTTCTGGTGATGTGTGAGGAGAAGGAGGACGGATCGTTCCCGCGAGGCTTGCTGAAGAGGGCGTTGTACACCAGATGGGTGAGCGAGGGCTTATGCATGGCTGCGCTGTGCTTCTGGCGGCTTGCGGGTAGCGTTTCGGCGATTTTCTTCAAAACGACCAGGAGGTGAGCTAGGCCGGAGCTTGCTTGAGCTGATGGTCACTTCAACTCCGGGACGGTCTCAGCAGGAGCAGCAGCAGGGTGGATGGATGTACCTTCTCCGTTATAATGAGGTGAAGCTGTCTCGTCTGTCGCTCTGGTCGCGGTTTAGTTGTGGCTCAGCCTTGGAGCAGGAGAGAGGGTAGAGTCAGGGGGGCAGGACAAAGATAGCAGCGTCAGCAAGCAAGCAAGCAGATAAGCAGCGAGACAGCGAGCGAGTGAGCAGGAGAAGAAGTATTTATGTCTTCGCGAGATGCCAGCCAGAAGGTCAAGCTATTCAGTCTATTCGCTGGCGTCTCCTATTTTTCTTTCCTTTTCCTTCTCGCTATTTTTCTGCTTTTCCGTCGCTTTCTTTCTTTTTCCTTTCCAGGGGGACGTGAAGAGGCAGAGATTGGGATTGTAGAGAGAGACAGCGAGCAAGGACGAGATGAAGAGCTTTTTACTGCTTCTTCCTTTTTCTTCGACAGGCCTCGCTGACCAGGGCTGACCTTGCGGACGACAAAGAGAAGCTCTTGTTCTTTTTTATATAGAAGCCAAAGCTGTCTGTCGGTCGTGGCTTGTCCTGTCCGGGGCAGAGGGAGGGATGATCGGATATAAGTAAGGAGTTATATATGTACGCTGGGTCTCTCTGGGGGCCCAAGCAAATAGCGAGAGTCGAAGATCGATAGACAAGCAGGAAAAAGAAACAAGAGCAGAGATCAAAGGAAGGCGAAAGCTGACTATCAACGGCCTCCTTTTTGAGGGTTCCCCGTCTGTCCCGCGGTTATTGAAATAGCTGTTGATGCTGGTGCTGCGGCGCTGCTGCTGCTGATGATGATGATGCTGATGACGATGGTAATGATGGCATGCATCACACGGCGTCTGCGCACAAGTGAAGGACGGAGAAGATGGAAGCAGCAAGAGAAGAGAGAAAAGACGAAGAAGCCTGAACTTGAACTTGAACTTGAACTCGAACCCGGGTGGCACTGGTCAGTGAAACGAAGAAAGAGGTCATCTGAGGACGAGGATGCTGCTGTATACAAACACTCCACTCACTTCCACCAGCTGCTCAGTCCATGTACAGTAGTTACGCAGTCAGGGTCAGTCGAGTCGTGATCAAGAACTAAAAAGGAAGGAAGACGGAGGCGTTCTACGGCATGTATGGTCCCTTTTATATATCAGCCAGCCATCCATCCATTAATCTCCCCGTCGGAGGTGGTTGAGTATATAAATCTGCCCTGGTCCACCATGCACAGCAGCAGCTTCGTGGCTACATCTACTTGGGCTATCTCGCCGTGGAGAGGGTGGAAAAGCCAGAAGATTAGTTACCCCCCCCGTCGACCGGCCGACGTGGGCTCTCTACTTGCCTGTGCTGCCTTTCCTTTTCCTGCTTTCTCGAGCTTCGTGGTTGGTCTGCAGATTCTGCAGTGGAGTAAATGCGAAAGAGAGAAAAAGAGACCAGCACCGGATGCATGCCCATGCCAGCAAGCAGGTCAGGTCACTAGTTCGCTGGCCTTGTTGACTAAAGTAGCTCGTTAGCTCGCTGGGCGGACCCTCTTCTGATGTCGTGAGCTTTCCATCCCGCTGGCGTCTGACTGGCATCTTGGTGAGGCATCAGATTCGTGGCAAATAATGGAGGTGGCAGCCCTATCATGGGCGCCTCACGGTCCGATATACGAGAACACCTTATTTTTCAATCAACTTGAAGTCTGATCTCGCAGGGTGGGTAAAATCTTCCGTCAGGATGATAGCGAAGAGTTTAAGCAAGCCGGGGTCTAGTCCTCCTCCCTCCTCCTCCCTTCCTCTTCCTCTTTTCTTTTCTCTTTCTTCCTTTTCCCCTTCTTGGTGTACGACGGTTTCGATGGTTGTCCAACCGCCCTTCTGCCCGGGCCAGAGGCTTCGATCAGCGATAAGGCGCTGTGATACGAGTGTACATAGAGTAGCATTCGAATGGTTTGCCTAGACCTCAGTGTTAGCATTCCATTCCGCATCATTAGCCGGATGTAGTAGTTGCAGGAAGAGTCCTCGCAGCCGTAGGAGTTGTCGTTGTTGTTAATGTTGTTGTTGCTGGTGGTGATGAAGTTTGAAGCTTGAAGTTGAGGCGTGGCTTGGCATGAGGATGAACCAAAAAAGCGACTGTCAGGCTACAACCAGCGACCAGAGCGTTAACGTATGTATAGAACATGGATATGGATGGATAGGAGCATTGAGTAGATATCATTGGGGTCGAAATGTCGACATTTAACGGCATCGTTGAAGGTTTGGCGTCTTCTCACTGTCTGCTGCTCACTTCATAACCAAGTTGCTAACTCTTCCTACAGAATTTCCGTATATAAGAAGTAACAGCACCAGCATCACCAAACTAAGAGAAGACAGGATCTGACAGGTCAATAGTCGACAGCTTCCGCAAGAACCCCGAGTGGCCTGCACCGTTGGCCTGTTTTCTCAGTCATGTTCACAGTGACCATCTCACGGGGCTGGAGTCCCTCAGGGCGCCATTCGTCTACTGCTCCACAGCCACTAGAGAAGTAAGCGACGACCCTTTGACGATGGCTACCTGTCCTATGTTAACAGCTGTAGATACTGTTGCGTATTGAAAAGTATCCTCATCGGATGAACTTTGCCAAAGGGATCCTGGAGTCTAGAAAGCAGCATTACAAACATCTGGCCAAGCTACTGGTAAGGACGGCGGTGCTATTGGAGAAATTGATATATCTGATATCGGTTCTAATAAATACCACTATAGAGGCCAATTCCGCTGCAGGTGCCGACAGAGATAGAGCTTATGCCTGGAAATACCATACGAGTCACCCTGTTCGATGCTAATCACTGTCCTGGCTCTGTCATGTTTCTTATAGAAGGTGGTGACAAAGCGATATTCTATACAGGGGATATCAGAGGTAAGGATCCAGACTGTCAACTGAAATATTCTTGCTGACCATTTCCGCTAGCTGAAGCATGGTGGGTGCAGAGCCTTGTCAGAAACCCAGTTTTGATACCATATACCATGGGGGACTGTCGTTTGGACACTATATACCTCGATACTACCTTTGCTACAAAGTCAGATATCCACCAAGTCTTTCCCTCAAAGGCGGAGGGTATACAAGAGCTGCTGGGTAAGGTTAAAGGGTACCCCAAGGATACTATATTCTACCTTCGTAGTTGGACATTCGGTTACGAGGACGTCTGGCTGGCTCTCTCCGCAGCCCTGAATACAAAGGTAGCCAGGCTCTCGTCAACTATCATTCTAGACTTCCATTGTTGACAGTGCCTCGCTAGATACACGTCGACCGGTACCAATATGGCTTATATAACTCTCTAAGTTCTAGGCCAGGGAATGACTTCGGCTTAGACGATTCCCTCTACCTTTGTGGTTTCAGGCTTGGCAACTCATCTGTGCCGGGGTGTCTGACAAATGATCCGTCCGTCCGTGTCCATAGTTGCGAGCCAGGAGTGATGTGCTCACAAATATCATCTGGAAAATCGGTCTATATTACCCCTATCGTCACACGAACTAAAGACGGCTATGAAATACCCGAGATCGGCGCTGGGGGTGGTAAAGGAGACCTTGAACAGAGCCATGAGCTAGAACTACCTGACGACACAACCTTTCAGCGTTTACTAGACCTGTGTAAAGAACAGATAAAGGAACCCGGTACAAGAGAATTGGTAACTTCTACCCTATCCAAGGCATACTACTCTACAGGAGCAGGCATTTCCTTGGACGAATATGGATTAAAGGATGAAGAAGAGATCACCCTGGCAAAACTTGTGGCTATTATAGGGGAAGGCGCGAAGCAGAAGGAAAAGGAGTCCCTGCCAGATACTATCGTAAGCACGGCTAGACGCTTATCTCCCCTTACGCAGGCAGTCATATCTAACTTTTGCATGCAGAAGTTTCCGTACTCCCGTCACTCATGTTACTCCGAACTATGCCAGCTCGTCGGAGCTTTTAGGCCCAAGGACATATACCCATGCACAGTTGACCCCCTTACTTGGACTGAGGGAGTCTCCATGCAATCCTTGTTCGGCCATCTATGTTCTAGCACAACATTCCGCCACGACAAGTCCATGCGGAGAGCAATACAAGATGCGCACTCCAGGCCCTCAAAACGCCAAAGGCGTGCAAGTGATGTCGGATCCGAAGCAATCTCCAGTCAACAATCAACGGCAGACTCGCAGCAGAAACTCGATTTACATTGGAATTCGAATTCTTGCCAACAGGATGAAGAAGCAAAGTATCCTTTCCAAAACGGCGATCAGCAAGACGACGAGGATTCTCTCGCGGACTATCCTACCTCATTCCCAACGCAGTTGACTGCCCAATCGTCAGAATCTCCAGCAACAAGGTTCAAGGCAATAAAGCAAGCTATGCTCGAGGACTATCAGAACGATGAAATCAACTTTTTCTTACCTTCTTTTACGGATTCGCAACGTTCGCAGCCAGATGTTGAGCCAACTTCTCACCAGCTGCAGATCTCCAAGGATTCGGAAGAGGTGCAGACACACTCACAATCCGCGGCTTCGCAGCAAGACCTTCAACTAGAGCAGGAAGAACTAGACCTGCAGCTTAGCCTGTGCGTCTCTCGCACCTTCACCACTACGACCAATGAAGATTACCTGGAGGAGGAAGTGCAAGAGGAAGAGGATAAAGACGAATATGCTAGTGATTCGGAAAGCATCATATCCCTATCTTCCTCTGCATTCTATTCCCAACCTCCGTCCCAGCCTCAACTTATAATTGTGAAACCGGCGGAGAACGACAATCAGGGCCCGGTGGATACTGTTCTGGTTCCTTCATCGGCTCCTGGCCCGGAGACGGACGTTGATCCGGATCCAGCACATGCACCTGGACCCAGTAAATCCGGGGATCGCTCGCGTGTCAGGAAAGAGATGCGCATGGCTGCGTACCGAGCTGCGAAGAAAGGGACGTACAGCGCCTGGAAGAATACGTGTCCGTTGATAAGTGTGGGAGATAACCATTCTTATCCCGAGGTTGAGCTGTGACGGATGCACACCCTCACTTGTGCTTATGCTTATGCTTATGCTTATGCTTCTGTTTGATGACTATATATGATACCCCTTACATGCATGCCATATGCGGTGATATATTTGATGCACGAATGAAGCTGAGGCTGATATAACATAACTAATAAGACGTAACTATAAACAATATATACGGATGAATGATATAAGATGATGAAAACAAACACGCTGCAAAATATTCTTTCATGTCTGCCGCCCGCTTCAGACTGCCGCCTCGCTTGAATCTAGTAGATGAAATACTCTTGACAAAGAGGGAGGGTTTCAATTGGATCAGCATCGCATACCGCTCCATCCGCCTCGACGGTCTGTGTCGATCGTTAGTCAATGCAATGAAAGAATCTTAAGGCACAGAGATGGTTGGTGCAACTTACGTAGCTTTCTGGATCGACTCTCATTTTGGGCATGGTGTCGTTGAACTTCATGTCCGCTTTGCCTATGTTTCTGCAGTTCTTGACTGGTTCGACCCGTTTCTTTACGTCGTAGGTATCAATGACGCCGTCATCGACAGATGATTGGGAAACGAAGATGATGGATGTATTTGGTAAGAAGGCCTAGAGATTTGTTAGTTTGAAAAACAAGTATATTGAACGTTATCGTTATAAGGAGGGAAAGACGTACACCCCACATGGGCCTTGACATGACCGGTTCAATGGTGGGAATAGAGCCGTTTGGATCACCCTGTTGGAAATAGTTAGATATGGTCCAGTATGCCAGTTGTGGATTGGAGGGGGCAACTATACCATCTGCGCTCTGGCAATCATGCCGCTCTTGAGGATGAGGTTGGGCTTGACGCCGAAATTGGCAAACTTCCACAACACCAGGTCTGCTACCTTGCCCACCTCGACGCTGCCAATGACATGGCTCATACCCTGTGCAATCGCCGGGTTTATGGTATACTTACTCACGTATCGCTTGGCTCTAAAGTTATCGCATCCTGTACCCTCATCTTCAGGCAAGGTACCGCGCTGCAGCTTATTCTTATGAGCTGTATGCCATGTTCGAAGAACGACTTCACCACAGCGTCCCATGGCCTGAGAGTCAGAGGACATCATGCTTATAGCGCCCATGTCATGAAGGACGTCTTCGGCGGCGATGGTCTCGGCGCGAATACGGGATTCAGCAAAGGCCACATCTTCAGGTATGTCCTTGGATAGATGATGGCAGACCATTACCATGTCCAGATGCTCGTCTAGGGTGTTGAGTGTGTATGGTCTGCTTGGATTGGTACTGGACGGCAAGACATTGGGGTGTTCACACACGGAGATAATGTCAGGAGCATGGCCGCCTCCAGCACCTTCGGTGTGATAAGTGTGGATTACTCTGCCCTTGAGGGCCTCAATGGTCTGCTCGACGAAGCCTGACTCGTTCAGGGTGTCGGTGTGAATCAGGCATTGGACATCAAGCTCGTCACAGACAGAAAGACAGTTATCGATAGCTGCGGGAGTAGCACCCCAATCTTCATGTATCTTGAGTCCGGCTGCACCCGCACGGACCTGGTCTCTGATACCGTTTGGTTCACTATCGTTGCCCTTACCAGTGAAAGCAAAGTTCATGGGGAAAGGGTCGGAGGACTGTATCATCTGGCGAATGGAGTTTGGAGAAGGCGTGCAGGTAGTTGCGTTGGTCCCTTCGGACGGACCAGTACCACCTCCCAGCATGGTCGTGATGCCGGACGCGAGTGCTTCGTCAACCTGCTGGGGACAGATGAAATGAACATGGGTATCGATGCCGCCTGCGGTGACGATCATCCTCTCGCCGGCAATGATGTCAGTAGATGAGCCGATGATCATTCCCGGCGTGATGCCATCCATGACGTCTGGGTTCCCTGCCTTGCCGATTCCGACGATGAGGCCGTCCTTGATACCGATGTCTGCTTTGTAGATGCCAGTCCAGTCGAGAATGACGGCATTGGTAACGCAGCTGTCGAGAACTTCATGTGCATGCCTACCGGTGGCCTGTCCCATACCTTCTCTCAACGACTTCCCTCCGCCAAAGGTGCATTCATCGCCGTAGGAGGTGAGATCCTTTTCCACCTTCACCCACAAGTCCGTAGCAGCCAACTTGATCAGATCACCAGTCGTAGGACCATACGTACGTGCATAAGCCTCGCGGGACATGGTATACGGTTTAATCAAGCGGGCATCAACCCGGGGTTCTGGAGTGTGGAGGAAACCAGCTTCCGTAATACGGCTTAGAATCTTCTCCTGGTTATCATGATTGATTACACCGGTGGCCAGGAAGTTACCTCCCTTAATCACCTTGTGTCCCGCAATCTCAACGAGCTGCACGGTCTTGGATTCTCCTGGCTCGAATCGATGGGATGCTCCTGCGGGTATATCCAGACGGAAGCCATACGCCTGAGCCCTATCGAACTCGAGCTGCGGATTGGTCTCGATGAAATGATAATGCGAGCCGACCTGTATCGGCCTGTCTCCTTTACTGGTCACTCGAAGCTTGATTCTCCTGCGTCCTGGACTGAGAACGATCTTTGATTTCTTGACCACGACGACGGCTCCCGGCATGCGTTCAGGCAGGTACTCCTCCGGCTCCGGCTCCGGAAACAGGTCCTCTGGCGGCACAGGCAGGAAGCTACCGTACAGCGCCTTCTCCAGGTCTCCGTCGTCCGAGCAGATGGGATTGTGGACGGTGACCAGGTAAGTTCCGCAGATAAAAGTGCCTTCGACCTGCAGCTGGGTCAAGGTGGACACGACAGAGGGCAGGACATGTCGACGACCAAGCATCGTCTTGCCGATGGCCATCAGATCCGCCACCGTATGGTTCCCATCTCGAATCAACTATCTATCTATTAGCAAATGTATGTAGTAGCCAGATATGCTACGTAGAAGAAAACAACGAGACTCACTTCTTGCAGGTTCGACGATATCAACGCCGTCGCTTCGGCATGGTTCAAGCGGACTCCCCTCGCAAGCCGTCGCTGCGCCAGGAAGCCCAGCTGCGAGATGGTGAGCTTGTCAAGCTACAACGAGTCAACCCAGTCAGTCAATGGCTCAATGGCTTCGCATCTCAGAGTGTTCGAAGTGGTTATTAGAATGTCCGGGGCAATGGATGCGTATGGGAAGGGATGGAGCAGCCCCAAGCACCAAGCATTGGCGACGAGCGAGCGACCAGTCAGCGTTACGAACCTCTCTCGGGATAAGGCGCATGTTTGCAGCCAAGCATGAACGAGCTGCTGGTACCTGGTCCGGGGATCCCGAGCTCTTCTTCTTGTTCTTCTCGTTCTTCTCGTGCTTCTTCTGCTCTTGGGTATCGAGATGTGCTGGCGTTGGCGGAGTTTGAAGGAGGACGACTTTTTTGGGTGTGTTGGCCGGCGAGACAGAGGGACCCGACCCAGGCAGATCCTGCCGACTTTCCCGCTTTGACTCGACGCTGCTTCGTCTCCTTCGTCCTTCTTGCCGAGGCCTGCTGCCGCTAGTTAGGGAGCAAGTCCAGCTGTAGCCGCAGAGCGTTACAGACAGACAAGCAGAGTTACAGATAAGAGAGCAAAGGACCCAGGAGAGATAGTAGAGATAGTGGACTTTATGGGACTTTTTATTGGGTGTCTTCGGCAGCTCGAGTCGGCGGCGATGGAGAATAATACAGATAACTGACTTGGCTTGTCTGACAGTGGCTGGCTTGGGCTAGATATGAAGACAACGGGGACCAACAGCCAATAGCTAGAATATGAGACTGCAAGCCAGAGAAAGCCAAAAGACAGGAAAATACAGAAGGGGAGGGAAAACAGGTTTGCTGGCGTCTTGTGCTCGTTACTCGTCAACTGTGCTCTTACGCTTCTTTCTGGGCTTCTTCTCGGACTTGGGTGGCTCCGGGGCGGGTGACGGGACGGCCACTGGGACAGCAGCGGTCGAGGCACGTCTATCCTTGTCCTTACTCTTGCCCTTCCTCTCCTTCTTCTCCGGGGACGGCTTCTTGGGTGCTGGAGTAGGCGTCTCGATGACGGGTTCCGGCGCTGGTGCAGCGGCGGCGGCGGCGGCAGCAGCCTTGGACTGACGACGTTTCTGCGACTTGGGCGTCGGCTTGGGCGGAGACGGGGTTGGAGTGGCATCTGCACTCTCGCTATCCGACGAGTCTGACTCGGAAGAGGAGTTCTCTGTGGTGGCTTCGCGGACGGCCTGTTGGAGCTGCTCCTCTGCTGCTGCGTCGTGATCATCGTCCTGTCTGGCTGCCTCCTTGGTCGATGGCTTACTGGTCTTTGACGTCTTTGCTGCCTTGGCTGGCTTGGGGGTGGCTGGCACAGTGCTGTCGACCTTGTGTCCCGGTGGCAGACTGGCCTTGTATGCGCTCATCTCCTCGTTGTAGATGGCCAGGTTTTCGGCATACATATCTTTCCATTTCTAGCATCCGTGTCAATACTACACACATACAAACTGACTGACAGGCAGACACAAAAAAAGAAAGAAGGAAAGTGATAGAGACTGACCTGTTTCTCCTGGGGAGGCATCTTCCCCCATCGACGCGTTCCCTCATCCGCGACCTCCTTTGGACGGGCATTGGCACCCAGCTCGGCAGCAATGTTGGCTCGCTCATGCTTCATGTACAGGAAGTACGCCGTGAGAGCTCTCTTGGGCGCATTGGGATCATGGACACGCTTGCGCTTGGTGCCGGCTACCGAACGCGCTCCCGGGCTCGCAGCTCGGCCTGCAGCGTCGGCAGAAGCGCCATTCTCGCCCTCTCCACCAGCACCAGCACCGGCACCGGCAACGCTGGAAGGGAAGATCCCATTCTCCAGCAGCGAGTTGAGGCCGCCGATATCAATGGATGACGGTCCGCGGTTAAGCACCGTGTTGGCGTGGTTGATGTAGGCGCGAGAAAGGTCCGAGACGGCCGATTGGAGCGCGGCAAGACCTACAATGACCTGGTCGCAGGTTAGCGGAGTGAAGACGGCCGGCTGCTGTGCGCCGAGAAAGAGGTCCTGGGCCGTCGAGTTGATGCGGTAGGTGAGCAGGTTGATGGACTGGATGAGGTCGAGGGGACCTTCGTTCAGCGCGACGCCGGGAGTCACACTGCGACCGCGCCCAGGGCCAGGCGTGGTAGCGCGGCTGTGACTCCACGCAGGCATCGTGAAGAGACCGCTGCGTGGTTGGATAGGCAGTGGTATATGTGGTGTGATGTGATGTGATGTGTGTGTGTTTGTGGGTGTAGGAAGAGTACAAGGCAGTATTTAGTGTAGCGTTGTGGTAGGCAGAGAGCGGCCAGGTAAAGGGGGCAGGCGTCCTGGGGCAGCCCAGCGCGTAGGCGTGTTTGTGTTGTTGTCGGCGGTTTTGGGGTGGTTGTTGCGGGTAGCGGCCAGCAGCAACAACACCAGCACCACCAGCAACACAAAGACGAAAGAGATGAAAGACTTACGCTGTCTCGGGTGCGAGTGAAGTCGTCGATGCTGACGACGAGCGTAGTGGTGCCATCGCCCTCTGCGGCCGCCGTCTTCTTGTCCTTCTTCTGCTTCTTCTCCTTCTTGTCCTCCTTGCGCGACGCCATGGTGGCTATTATCCTGCTTCTGTCTGTGTGTATGTTTGGGGGAGGAAGAGTTTTTCGTTCGCTTGGGGGGCGCGCGCAAAGCTGTTCGGGGGAGCAGCAGGAGGGCCCCTAAATACTTTTTTCCGGCGGTCGGCTCGGCGAGGACAGGCAGGCGGGCTGGAAAAGGCTGCTGCGAGGGACTACTTAAATGAACTGACCTAAGGGGGGGGGACGGACAGGCCTAAGGGCTAGGCGGGCTTTAACTAGCCTTTTTAACTGGCTTTAGCTGGCTTTAACTAGGCTGCCGCAGCTGGAGTCGGGCGCTAGCAGGTGTAACTCTAGGCATGCAAGTCCTGCTGGATTTGGCTGCTTAGGGAGTGCAGAGAGGGAGGGGCATGCGCAGAAGGGAACGCCCCTAGCCTAGCCTGGCCTAGCCTGCATGGGGGGTGGTTGTGGTTGCGTGGCCTTTAACTGGGCTTCCGGTGGCTTTAAGCGGCCTTAAGTGAGCCTGGCGAGGTTGGGCGTGCCTTAGAGGGAGCGTTGGGGGGCGTTAGAGGGCAGGTGCTTAAGTAAAGGCTTAACTAAAGGCTTAGCTGGAGGTGTCGGGGTGGGAGGCCTTAGGCGTGGACTGGCGCGGATAGGCGTGGGCTTAGGGGGTGGCAAGCTTGAGTTCAGGCCTTGTGATGCGCCCTCCCTTCCAGCGGTTAAAGCCCGCTGCAGGCCTCGAGTCCCAGCGCCTTGTTCGTCAAACGCTGCAGTCCCCGAAACACCGGCACACACACACAAACAGACAGAGAGGGGTTGACAAACGGAAACAGACAGATCTATTCAATTCTATACATACACTGCAGTTAACCGGCCATAGTAATATAGTTACAAGTTTAACTGATCTATCTCGTCGCAACTAGAACTTATACACTTGCTCCTTGTTGTAGCCCAGCTCCTTCAGGATACCGGTAAGCTCGCCCTGGTCCTTGGGGCTCACCTTGGTGCCGCTGACGGCCTTGTACATGCCTGGAGGTCCGCACACAAACAGCTTGATCCCCTCCGTCTTGGGCTCGGGGAAGGCCATCTTCACCAGCTCCTTGGTCACATAGCCCTTGCCGCCCGTCCAGCCCTCACCAGGCTTGTCGAGCAGGTACAGCACCTTGAACTGGCGAGGGTGCATGTTCTCGAGGTGGTCCAGCTCCCGGCGCAGTAAGATGTCTTCCTCGCCCACGTTGCCGTAAATCAGCGTCACCTGAGTCTTGTCCGCGGGGTCGTTGAAGATCTTGCGGATGAGCTGGTACATGGGCGTGATGCCTGTGCCGCCAGCTACCATGCAGACGTGGCTGTGCTTGTTGGCCTCCCACTCGTACTTGGGGATCGGGCCCTTGAAGGAGAGCGGCTGGCCCACAGACAGATCGTGGATGTGCGTCGACATTGGCCCGTTGGGGTACTTCTTCACCAGCAGGTCCAGGTGGCCGGGCTCGTCCTCGTCGCTGACGGGCGTGTACGGCCGAATGGTCGCCTTAGCATCTCCTTCTCCCTTGAACTTGGTCAACAGGGCAGCTATTTGGTAGTTAAGTTAATATGTCAGCCTCTCTCTCCCTGTATGTTCTATCTGTGTTTGAATTCTTCCATCACGTACAAGCAACGTGAAGGCCAGAGACATTCTCGCCGTCGGGCAGGTCGAACCGAAGCTTCTTGACGTTATGGCTGACGTCCTCAACGGCTGAAAGCTTCAGATCGATCCATCCCTGATCACCACCGGTGAACGCGGGCTTGCGGTCCTTCTTGATCACGGCCGGCGTCTGCTGCAATTGCCAGTAGTAGTATCCGGCGCCAGCAGCAACAGCAAGTCCAGCAAACAGCGGAGCCTGAGACGATGACTTGGGTGCCTCAGTCGAGTATTTTCTGATACCCTACTCGTCCCATTGTTAGCTTGCCAGTGCTCTCTCTTTTCTTCCCAGAGGGGTCTGGAGGGCCTAGCATACCTGTCTCAGCGGGCCTGCCGTTCGGCTAACACGAGCAAACATTGTGGTTAGAGATTGACACCAAGTGCAATTGAGTTGTTCTGGACGGTGGTTGGATGCGTAGACGGTCCCGGTTGTTGGTTGTTGTTCGGAAAAGATGAAGTTGAAGATGTCGCCGAAGTGGGAATAATTAATAAGGCGGAACTCGGGAGCAACAAAAGTCTTGACCCATGACGCCATCCCTGTACAGAGGGAAAAGAAATACACAGCTGTGATAGCAAAGATGGAGCATCTATACCCACACACCTACATCTACGGAGTACACTGACATTCAGATGACGGCTACGAGAATTGCAATGACGAGCGCAGGCTTGAACATGGTAGTAAAAATTTGTTGTTCATTAAGCTACAACATAGCAGCCGTTCATCGATCCAGGGCCACAACGGTCGATACCTGCACCATAACTATTTAGACCCAGATGCCATGTCCCGTCGTCTTGATTCTCTCTCATCTGCTCCAACGGCATGGCATCTCTCCAAGGCCTATCATCATAATACAGTCCGCGTCTTTTTTCTTTTGTAAAAGATCCCCGTGTCCACACCTCAACAGATTTAACTCCCTCTGATTTTGATCCGCGCTTCGTAAAGAAAAGAACCCGTTTAAGCAAAAGTAGATGGTCTCGAGGAGGCGAAGATCTTCTTGTTGGTGGGCTTGGCGACACGGTGAGGGAGAGGGAACTTGAGGCCCTTGCTGAGGAGTTGTTTGATGTATGGGCGGCGGATGCTCTCGGTCTTCTCGACCTCGACGACCTTGAGGATCTATTTACAGACAGTCAGTATTCTGTTCTTCCCTCTTTCTCTCTTGCTGCTGGAGATATATGGTTTAAACATACGTGGATGGATCTGAATCGGGCACGGTGACGGGCGGCCATGTCCTGGTACATGGACTCGACGGCATCGGTTCTGGACATCTCTCGGTACTCCTTGTACATGTTGTGGGTGCCGGAGCGAGAGTCGTAGACGATCCAGATACCGAAGTTCTTGACCTTGAGGGGTCTCTTCTCGTGGATCTATTCCAATGCACCATCTTAGCAAACGTTCTCCCGGGAGCGCACTTGTGGCATTTGCTGTTTTTCTTGGGGGATCTTATGCTCATTCATACCATGTTGACAGCAACGATCTCACCGCTGGCCTTCTTGACCTTGCGCATCTTCATGAGGAAGTACCAGAATCTTGACTTGGCCACGACAGTGTTGGGTGCGAAAATCCTCATGCGGTACAGCTTTGGGGTGGGCTGGGTTTCGGTGGGCAAATGGCGCCCGATCACCTGGTATTCGTTGAGACGCCCTAGATTCCATAGTCAGATCGATGTTGCAGAGCAGATTCCGGTGGTAGTAGAGTGCGCATTCAGCGCTTCGGCTGGCGTTTTCAATTTTGGATGATTTTTTTTTGGGGCGATTTCAAGAAGGGCATTGAACGAGGCATTCGGAGTTGCGACTGCTGGAAGATTGTGACTTACCCATCTGGAAAATTAGTTAGCAGCAATTCCACAAGCGATAGAACAGTGTAGAGGCCTCTTACCTTGGTATATTGTCGTTGCTGTGGTCTTCAACGAGAATTCGCGGTTGGAGATCGAGAATTGACACTTTTTCGTGGTTCTTCTTTAGGGCTGTGGGTTTCGCTTAGATGGACGAGGCGACTGCGCTAGTCCGTTTTGGGATGTTCGGCTTGGCATCGCGGACCCTCCAAAGAGGCAAGACGGAAAGACATCATGGACGACGATCTAGATAGAGAGCAGAGAAGCCGACGGGAAGAAGAGACAAAAGTGAAGAGAAAAGGACGAGGAAATATGATAAGATGACATCGCTATTTGCAGAGTTCAAGAGGGCTCAGTCTGCTGGCTCAGGCGAGGCGCTGGCGGCGACCCTGAACCCCCTTGATATACCGCGCCTGCGGGCGTTCTACAATACCACCAACAGCCTCAGTGCGGCCTCAGATATCAGATATTCCCTCCTTCAGGACCGAGCTACGGGAACAAAGCTGTCCAAACAAGAAGGGAACGCGTGGGTTGACGTATACACCGCCTTCTGGAAAGCTGCTGGAGAGCTGATAAAGCTCGATGACCCCAACTTCACCTTGAGTAGCAGGGGAACCTGGACGGCTCTCTTTGGCCACTGGAAGGATATTGCAGTTCTTCTGAATACAAACTACTCGAGTTCGACTCTAGAGGCCTGGACTTTGCCCGTTTTATACGTGGTTGGCAAGTATCTGCGGACATTCGCTATCAAGGCCGATGCAGAGGCCGCACAGGATCCCGATACCACTTTCAACGATGGATTCCAAGATGACATTGTTGGAGATGCAAGCAAGAATGCAAAGCTGAAGAGACTTCACGAATAATCAGCAGAATGTACACTGTGTGTCTCCATGATAGGTATGCATTAGGTGTTGTTCGTTGTCTTTCCCATTACCTGGGTTGTATTCTGAGTTTCTCTTTGTACCTAATAGGGCACCTGTCGAAGAATCTCGTAAATGGGGAGTCTATAACACGATCAACCTTGCGTTTAAGACGTACTTCAAGGTATGCAGGCGATGCTGTCCGTCTTGATATCCCTCTTACCTAACACCTTCGTTGTCTTGGTGTAGCTGGGTTCCATTCCACCTTGTAGGAACTTGCTATCTGCTATGAAAGCATCCCAGGCTGAACTGCCCCCCATCGAAGCCTTTCCTAAGTCTCACATTGTCACTTTCAAATACTATCTCGGTGTCATCTGCTTCTTAGAAGAGGGCTATGTAGAGGTAACTGCCGTCATTCCAGGCCGCTGTCCATGCCTACTATATTAGTACTAATGAACGATAGGCCGAAGAACATCTGACAGCTGCCTGGGAGCTTTGTCGCGTAGATTCACATCGAAACAGAGAGTATGTACAAACTCGTACCCACCATCAAGATAATATCTCGTCACTAACCAGGAACAGACTCATCCTCACATACCTGATACCGTGCCATATTGTTAACACAAATACCCTCCCATCAGCTCGTCTCCTGTCCAGATTTCCCCGTATAGAACAACTCTTTGGCCCACTCAGCACATGCATCCGTAAAGGCGACCTAGCTGGTGTTGACGCAGCTATGGCCGACAGTGAAAATGAGTTTGTCAAGCGACGCATATATCTCCCCATTGAACGGGGTCGAGATCTCGCCATTAGAAACCTATTTAGGAAAGTATTTATTGCCGGCGGGTATGATCCGCCTGTGAATGGCCAGCCTCCTATCAGACGGACGAGAGTTCCAGTCAAAGAGTTTGCAGCTGCAATGAGGTTGGGCACAAATAATACGCAGCAGAAAACCAAGGTGGACTTGGATGAGGTTGAGTGTTATCTCTCCAATATGATTTACAAGGTGCGTACAGAACAATACGTCTAATGATGGTGGATCTAGAATATTCTAACGTTTATTGTAGAACCTCATGAAAGGGTACATTGCCCGAGAGCGAGGGATAGTGGTTCTGAGTAAGGGTGGTTCAGCGTTCCCCGGGACTGGCGTCTAACCTACCCAGTTGCCTTTTAGTATAATTAATGACAAAATATATCTTTACAAAGACCGGAGGAAGAAGCGAATTATTTATATAAGCCTACAGAGTTGACTTTGTCACGATGTCTATAGAGGCAGGTAGCGTGTAAGAATTAAGCGATAGTAGCATTAAACGGCTGAGCACGAGAATACAACCTTTCCAATACACTCAAGTTGATGCCAGATCAGGCGAAAAGTTGTATAGAGAGTGGGCTGTAGACAGTAATCGAAAACAAAGGAGACCAGAAAACACACTTAACAATTTGGTGACATAGCCATAAAGCACCATAACAAAACAGTCCTAAACCCGAGTCTTAATAAACGCACGAATAGAGTAAGTTGAAAAAAAGGACGTAGACAAAAAAATAAAAATGCTAATGCGCCGAAGCCTGGTATAAAAGGTACGAGATTGGTGAAATAAAGGGGGTAAAGAAAGCAGAACAGTCATCGGCACACCTGGCCGGTCTAATTTTATAGAGACAGAATGAATGGAAAACGCATCACTAAGAAATTCAGAGAGTGTGTGTGACAAGACATGAATATGGTACATATTAAGTTGGCTGGCGAAGTGCAGTCGGACTTCTGTGGTATGGTTCTTGGGTATTTGCAAAAAAAGGGGAAGAAAGATATTGTCATCTTAGATGGCAATTGATCAAGCGGTGGTATGGTACAGTTAGATATAGTCGAGTCAGCCGATGGACGGTAAGCGATAATGAGTGGGTGGATATCTCGGAGTGAAGGGAGCTCAGGGGCTAACGAGAGAAGGGCGACTTCGAGGCATTTGAAAGGTCGTCCTAGGAACCGATGTTAATACTCTACAACAAGACGAAATAGTAAAAGCTGTCGACGTACCATATGATTGCACATGGCGACGAAGAGGTCAAAGAATAGTTTCCCTCCCTCTTCCATCTCTAGTTGCATGGTGCCGCTACGCTTGAAAGTTGACCGCGAGCGGATGATCAAAGCAAGATAATGTGCTCTAAGCTTCGAGTCGCTGTCAGGGGTATTTGCATAGGCGTAACGGGCACTAGAGAGGATAGTGCTGCATTGTATAGCTGTCTGGAGACCTTGCTTCCGCAGAGACAACCTCTTCAGTTCGTCTAGCCCATATCGTTCCGCAGCACAGCTAGATGTATATGTTAGTGGAAGAGAGCAGAAAAAATATGCCAGAGAGGAAGATGACTAACTATATGGCCGTATCTTTCAATATCAAACTACCGTCGGCTTGGTTGACAATGGTAGATTCAGCAGAAGGTCTTGAGCCCGTAGTATCAGTATCTTCCAACAGCCAAGTATCTCGACGTTTGTTATGCATCAAGCGGGGGTAATAGTCTCCCTTGTAAAGGTACTCGAGGATAGACGAGAGTATTTCTGGTTGTTCATTTGGTAGAGTTATGCGTTTGGTATGGGATTCGAAGAACTGGCCACGGCAACAAGCAGAGAAGTAGGGTGATACACAAAGGATATCTTCATGGGCAGCAAAGAGACGCTGATCGGGACCGACACAGATGGTGACGATGGCAGAATTGAGGTTACTAGCAATTAAACGGATAAAATGAGCCTTTGAATCCGAGTATGTGTAAGAACAAAGAGTTTCACTGGTTCGACTTACTCTGCAACCGGGGAGGAGTCTGCATGGCGGGAAGGCTCTGACCTTCTCGAGGTGCTAACAGAGGGATCTTTGAACGATCTCTTCGACCGACTTGAAGACTTGCCGGCCCGATACTTTGAGAAACTTTCGGCATTGCTGTGAGATCGTTTGACGAACATGATGTCTTCGTCGGTTTACAGATGGAATTCGTCTGGTATAGAAGTAATGGCCTGTAGATACCTTCTGTTTACTCCCTGTCCTCGAGTGGCTAAGTTAGCTGCCTTTCTGCCTATTATCTGGTTAGCAATACCCAGAAACCCTCGAATGCCCGAGGAAGAAGAGAGAAAAGCAGACGGAAACCAGGACGGCGAAGGCCCTTTATATAGCTACGGTGTCTCCATGCCTGAATGGGAAAAAAGATAGCCTATGCCAGGATGTGCAGCAGGTTTTTCGCCTTTGATACCTCCACCGGCCGAACGACAAGGAAACCAGCCGTTACAGAGCAAGCTAAGCGTATCCAAAGTGCGTTTAATCTTCCTCCTTTCTCTTCCTTGCTTTTCCCCTTTTTCCGTCTGTCACTTTTATCACATTTATATTACTTTGCAAGGAGTAACTTTTTGCAGCTTCGTTGACGCGACGAATGAGGTCAAAGACGCGTCGCAGCCACGCGTGAGTCACACGAAATCACATGATTTAAATTGGTTTTTTGTAGCCAGTAATATTCCGAAGCTAGACCCACTATTCCCAGAAAGGGGAAAGGGCGGGAAGATCCTTGCATATAGTGTATTACATAACTATAACACATCACAGGCAGACAAAAAAAGTGTTACATGGTTAGCAAACTAGGCCGACAGGCTTACGGTTTGCAGAGTATGTATCAGACACATCAAGAAGAGCGGACAGGTCAGACAGCTATATGTACCAAGTGGTCAGAACTCAATTTTTTACATGGGTAGGAAGAGGCTGGGGTGGTTCCGGTGGCATGGATAGCTGGAGGAGGCTGCAGCGCCGTGTTTGTGGAGACCACTGGCTTTACTCGAGAGAATCGCTAACCAAGAGTTACTCGTATTTAAAGGTGTTTCATTCTTCACCGTTCCTGGCTGATGGGCCTATAGCTGAGGGGGGTTATTGGCTTCATATGGAAGTGAGTGGCAACAGACAGGGATGGGGATAGCCGTTGTGATAGTTGACATTTTCCCTGTGAAGTAACGCCTGTATCAAAATATATAAATACATGTCTGGTCAACGTATTTCAGACAAGTCCCCCAGCAAACGGAGCAAAGGCAGCTTGCATGGTCACTGCCTTGAAGCCGGCCCAGGTTCAAACGTGGCTGTCACACTCCGGAGGTTGCCAAAGCTAAGCACATCACTAATCCGTCGGGCACCGGTGAACAACATACACAGTCGGTCGATGCCACACCCCCAACCACCGGTAGGCGGTAACCCCCACTCGAGTGTTTCGAGGTATCCCTCATCAAGCTCACCAGCGTTCTCAGGGTCTCGGAAGGACAACTGGTGCTGGAACTTCCGTCTCTGCTCGAAAGGGGAGTTTTCTTCTTCATACATGTTCATTATCTCTTTACCCTCCACAAACAGCTCGGCTCGTGCAGAGACAACCTGCTCATTATCTGGATGACGGTATGATTTGGATAGCGGTGACATGCATTCGGGGTGGTTCATGATGAAAGTAGGATCAACCAGTTGCGACTCCACATAGGTTGAACAGAGCTTGTCGAGAAGTCGGGGAAGAGACTCGTGAGCGGGTAGTGGGAGTGATAGGTCAGCAAAAATCTCCTTTACCTGGGATAGAGCATTCTCGGACTGCAGGTCAGGTAATTTTCTACCAATGGCCTCTTCAATCGCAGGGATAAAATCGACCCGTCGATATGGCCCTGTAAAGCTCACGGTCGTCGGGTTTAGTGAGTTGTTCAGTTTCTCGTTCAGTTGTTGGACTTCCGAAGCCAGGGTTGAAAGTAGTGACTCTGTGGTCTCGATCAGTGATTCAAGATTGGCAAAGGCTTGGTAGAATTCACACGTGGTAAATTCCGGATTATGTGTTTTGTCAAGGCCTACACATACCACATGCTGTCAGCTGTGACTCACTTCTTCCAACAATTATCTACTATCATATACAAGGCTATCACTCACCCTCGTTCCGGAAAGATGGCCCGATTTCAAACACCCTGTCGAACCCTCCAACAACTAGTCGTTTAAGCCACAGTTCAGGAGCGATCCTGAGTGACAACGGGCGCTCAGGAAATTCAGTGGCACTTGTGACAAATGGTTGCGCAATGGCACCGCCTGACTTTGACGCAAGAATCGGAGTGCTAACTTCTACAAAGTCCTTGTTGGCAAAGAAGGTTCTCATGGAGTTTGTAATCAGTGATCGAGCTCGAAGGATGTTGGCCGCACTAGGACTGGAGAGGAATTCAACATGACGCTCGTATGGTGATATCTCAAGCTCCTTCTGGTGAACGGGCACATCGTGCAGACACGGCGATATAAGCTTAGGGAGCTCAGTCGTCTTGATAGTTAATTCTCCTCGGCTAGTTCGATGTGGTTTGCCGGTCACAGCTATGAGTCAATCCCACGTTAGTTTGGTCACTTCTGGTAATGAAAGCAAAAAGGGAACCACCATGGCATGCTTACAGAAAGAGTCACCGCGGCGGAGTAGATGGTAGAACTCCTTAAACTTCTCCGGGGATATTCCAGCTTCCCCCACCACACGTTGGTTGCAGAGTACCTGCACCTTGTGCCCGTTATGCACAAGGTCAAAGAATACCAACTTCTTCCCGGCAGTCCGTTGAGAGCGTATCCTCCCTAGAGGTTGTCAGTATACACAATATCACCCCAAGACCCATTTGGGCATATTATCATACCATGTAATACCACAGTATCCTGATCTACCGTCTCATCCGGCCGTATACCGTCATAATTCGATCGGAATTCCGCACATGTGAGTGACAATGGGCTGCGGCTTATCCGTGGATATGGATTTGGCCAGGTCTTCTGGATATCACTGACTCTGGCCTGCGAGGTTTGCTGAGTTGGGCCTGCTACCTGATCTTCAAGCAGTAGCCTATGGCTCGTAAATGTGCGAATTGGCCTCCAAGCCGCTTGCCTCCCCAATTGCCGTGAGGATAGACGAACAGCCCTGGGTCTTTAGATCAGCTATATCTTCTTCCACAAGCTCCAGATAACACAGGCGTACCTTGCAAGAAACCTATCCAGGCATACCTGGGATAGAGGGTTAGAGCAGATGGATAGCATCAGCTCATCCGGTCTGCATTCCAAGGAAATATATACAAAAGAAAGAGCGTCGACAGCAAACTTGAAGTCACATATGCATATTCTCTCTCCTACGTCCTTTTTTTCTAGCTTCAAGCAAAGAAAGCTTCTGGCCGAATCCGGTTTAGCGCGCTTGCGGCTTTCTGACGTCGAAGCCTAAAAAAGTTTTGAACTTCGTAGGAAGAAAACAATCAAAGATACCAACCAGACCGTCAATTAGCAATCAATCAATACATCTTCCGCTTCAGATATTAATCCGAGCTATTTATCTTCTGGACATTACTGTTCAACATCAATTCATTCTCTACGAAAATGTCTTACCTGTTCGGCGGCCGTCCCCAGATCTCTTCCGAAGAGAAGATAAGACAGGCCGAGTTGGAGGTTGAGATGGTTACAGACATGATGACTCGGTATGTGCTACGATTATCATCCATACGGATCAATTTGCAGTTATTTGTCTTTTCCTACTTTATCAATTTCTTAAGCAAGTACTAACTTGTCTATAGCCTCACCAACGGCTGCCTCAAGAAGTGCATTCCAACCGATTACCGTGAAGGAGACCTGAACAAGGGCGAGTCCGTCTGTCTCGATCGATGCGTCGGCAAATACTTCGAAGTGAACATTAAAATCTCCGAGAAGATGCAGCAACAGCAACAGCAACAGCAAGCTAGTATGGGAGGTGGATTCTAGACGTACAACAGCGAATAAGCTCTTTTCGGCCGTCTTTGCATCATTTATCATCGATAATATTTCAAGGCTCTCCTCTACGAATGGCGCAACATTGGATTGGTTTAGTCATGAATACGGTTCTTTTTCCACGATGCAGGGGATAGCATTTCTGGGCAGTCCCAGTTAGAAGCTGGGACCATGTATACTATGTGTGGCGATATCTATCTTTGCTATAATATATTTTAACGATACGGAGACATGCAGCTACGCGGCTTTTCTTTAGATCCATAGTCTCCGAATCATGGGCTCAATATTAGCATGAATTAAAAATCTATATATGATAATATGCAACTTTTATATATATACAAAGCGGTTCAGGGGCACCAATGCTACCTGTTAGCTAGCACCTTCGCCAGGGAACCTCGAATATTTGCCATTGTTGGAGCTTTGGGGGCCATGTGCCTGAAATTTATATCGTTGGCGATTCCAGAGCTCATGTACCCATTGCAGCCAGGAAATGTTTTCGGTCTCCTGGCCATCCAGGACCGATGCTGTCCTGTTTTCAAGGTTGGCGATGACATGTTCATAATCACGCAAGACAGCCTCTGCATCTTCAACCCTTGAACGAAGAGTATCAACATCATAGTCAAGCTTTTCGCTCATCATCTCAACATTCTTCACTACTTGCATGTATACGTTTTCCTCTTCAGCCATGACGTCGCGAGAGATTCCATACATCTCTCTTAACTCCATCAGCTTTCTTTGATACGCCGCTTGAGTCTCTATTGCCCGGGCTTTGACGGCCTTTTCAATCTTTTCCGCCGTCGTTACTTTTTCGTCAACCCAGTCTACTGCGTTATTCCCCACTTCACGCATCCTTTTGGCAATCTCCTGGTTATCAGAAAATATCATATCTTCATATAAGATAGCATCCACAAGGCCCACCGTTGGGTCAATTGCTTCGGAATAGATATCTCCTATCTCCTCCCAGCGTAGTAGGTATTCTTCAGCGTAGCTAGAGGATAGACGACGAGGATAGATATTATCTTTCGCGACAAGACGGTCCAACTCCGGTAAACCCACACTTTCAGCACGTCGTCGGATCCTAGTGACAGGGACAAGACCATGGTATTCACCGTTTTGCTTTCGTTCAGGCTCTTCAGAACCTCCTGGTGGCCCTTCCACCTCCCTGAAATCGGGGCCTTTGTCAGATGGGGACATATCCTTACCACCAAGTTGTTCATATGTCCTTACATGACCCAACTCTGGAGCTGTCGAAGGGCTGGACCCTGTCTGATCCGCGGAAGGTTCAAGCCGACTAGTTTCTGACAGCGCCACGCTATCCATCCAAGCAGAACCTTCAGGCCCTCCTCCATCTTTAGAGCTTGTACTTGTGGCAGTCTCCCCCATAAAGAGCTGTGGGGATAGGTTTGCGTCTAGGTCCACGCTTTCCTTGGAATGCTTGTGGTGATGTGGGCGTAAGGTCGGCAACCCAACGGCATCCCTGAACCGACCGAGTCCAGCACGAGCATCCGATACTTTGTTGGTAACTGAACGCTTGAGCGTATTTCTAAGCTGGTCTTTATCATCAACGCCAATTGGAGAGTCTGTCTGTTTCCTTTGATCTCCTTCAATACTCGGGCGATTTGAAGCGCAGTCGTCTCTTTTCCTTCGCGTCCAGATGTATCCGCCACCCCTGTCCGGTGTAAAGATCCTTTCATCTCCAATATCGTATCGTGCTTCATACAGGGGTTTGGCCGGCTTTCCACGCCATAACCATCTTGCGTGGTCTCCGGTGATGAGTTGTATGAACCGTTCAATTTCATATGTTTCAATCTCTGAGATGCCAGCTTTGTCTTTGCCTCCTCCCACCATCTCCATGACCATCTCCCCTCCCTTTCCGCCAAGTTCGGCTACTGTTGATTTTACAGCTCGCTGTAAGCCTCCTACCTCCCCACTGGCGGCTTTTGCAGTCACCCGATGTAGTTTTTCCAGAGTCAGGCCATCAAGTCTTCGTGTTCTATCAAGTCCCTGGGCTTTTTGGAAGCTATATATGCCTTTTTCGAAACCATGGATATCGAATGGGTCCTTAGATACAGGTGCTCCATATGCATGTAGACGGTTCCTTGCACCCATGAAAGTACCAAGAATCGCGGAAACTGTAGTAGGACCAAGTATCCCATCAAGAGGTTCGATACCATAAAGGAAAGAACCAGTTTCGGTCCACCACTCATATATGGCTCGTTCTGTGGCATTGCAGAGAAGCCCATCCGCGTATTCAGGTGCCAGCTTGTCAAACATTACGAGTGCCAGCTGGCATACCCGGATCAGCTCCTTGACTGAGGTATTAAATTCGATTTTGTCACATGTTTGATAAAGCTGGTAGAACTTGGCTTGTGTATCTGCCGCAGGGGGTTTGACAGTAAGGCCAGCCCTTCCCGAGCAGCCTAGACGCTTCAGGTTCTCATTAACAATAAAGTCATCTAGGTGAAGCCCAACATCTCCATCTTGAACAGGAATGGTAGTAAGCATCGGCGGAAATGTACTCAGGTTTGTGACCATCACAGTCCCAAAGCTGGACTCCTGCTTCCGGGTATGGAACTGGTCCATTGCATTGAAGTAGACCCTCATCCGCTCACTCCATTTCTTTTCATCCGTCGGCACACTGAGCACGCCGGCTACGACCGTGTGAGACTTATCACCGGTATATGTATTGATAACAAACGTCGGATGTGCCCTCGAGCAAACCCATTGCTCAACGATGTAAAGCTGGTATCCGGGTATGCTTAATTTCCGGCTGATAGTGACAGCGCAAGGGTCCTCCTCGAGATATTTGAATGCAACAGGGTCGGTAAGGACCAAACGCTGGAAAGATGCTTTCGATGAAACACGCTGGGCACTTCTGCTAGGTGTTGGCTGCTGAGTTGGCGTCCCAGGCTCAGACTGCTGCGCTTCAGCAGCCTGCCGAGCAGCAAATTGCTCCAGCCGCTCATCAACTAAAGCGATGCTGGTCGTTCCAGCAGGATCCATGTTCGTATCCCCCTTTTAGCGTTTCTCCCCTTTCCCTTTAAAGTATCACTTTCAGGCAGTCCGAAAACAGCTGCGAGATGCGCCTCTTGGTGACGTACTCCTGGTCTGCAGCCAGTATTTTTTTTTTCTGGTCGATGCAGTGGGACGAACAAGCTAGCAGACAAGTTGAAGCAGCAATGATAATAGCAGGCCATCCTCCAAGCTGCCGCTGCTTCTGCTACGCCCGTTTGTTGCCCTTGGGATGCTGACGGAAGAAGCTAAGGCAAGGCCGATGATGTCACTCGTAGGGGCATTTTCGAAGGCGAAAAATAGGGCGAACGCGGCGAAGACGCAGGGAGATAACGAGTTGGCCAGTAGCTAGCTGAGAGACAACGCATAGATCGACTGGCTTGTCCCTTTTTCTGGACAAAGCTGACGGGTTCCGGTATTTAAAAGGGCTGCATAAGCACCTGGTCGTGCATAAAGCGATAAATAGCTGGAAATGAATAGCGGAATAAATACAAAGTTCCAATAGTGTTGACCATGTGACATCCTTTCCACCAGCAGTCCTGGCTTGCCCGTCAAAAAGAAAAGCTCTCCCGCTGCCAAACTTCTAAAGCTGCTTCTTCCTCTTCTTCTTCTTCGGCCGTCACGCTTCCTCCGGGTCTCTGTTGTCATCTATAGCGCTACTAACGGTATCTTGCGGTTAACCGAACGACCTGGCTGAGCTGGGGTTATATGCGCTTTGAATCTTGAGGCCTCCGGGCGAACATGAGTACCATTCTCCGCAGTTAGCCAGAGGACGACCGCACCCACGATGGACCAGGTCCAAAAAGAACACCAGCGCCTCTGGAAAAAGGCACAGGCCTCGAAGTGCATTAACGATGTTCAGGCAACTATCGACTTGCTACTGGAAGCGCGAAGGACCATTGAGAATGGTTGGTTGTTTCTTTACCCCGGTGTCTTACCCCGCTGGGTGCACCTAGCTACTGTACAGCTATCTAACACTTGATTTCCCTGCCAATAGACCCGAATTCCGCCTCTATCACTCTTGCGAAGCTTCAAAATCCAATCAAGGCTTCGTTTGAAGCCACAAATAACGACCTGAAGGAAGCATATAGCGGACTGAACAAATATACAAAAGCACTAGACAAGGTTAGACTGCTCTATTAGGCTATCTACCCACTCGAACTTGTCAGAAGAATGCTAATTGTCCTATTTTAAAGCTATTCAAAGACAAACCTTTGCCGACTACCGAATATGACTCCCTATCACAGCCGGCCCTGGTCAACAGGGCGGTGGCCATGCACCTTCTGCGAGAGGGAGCGTTTTCCACGGCAGACACATTTCTATCTGAGGTATCGAGAGCACATACGGCGTCAGAGTTAGATACAGTCATGGGTCGAGCTGAACACGAGGCGCCAGAAGTTATTCCCGACATCGAAGCTCTACAGTCTGGGGAAATCCGAAAACAGTTCCTTCTCATGTATGAGTTGCTCCATGAACTCACTGAAAACCGAAACCTTCTTCCTGCTATTGAATGGGCTCGTAATCACCGTGAAGCCCTTTATGTTCGTGGGAGTAACCTTGAGTTTGAACTTTGCCAACTTCAGTTTGTATGGCTCTTCCATGGGGGAGGAGAAGCCGGTATCTCCGTACAAGAAGGTAGAATAAAGGCACTGGAATACGCTAGACGCGAATTCTCCAACTTCCAGGGACGTTACCTTCCGGAAATCCAACAACTTATGGGTGCAATGGCTTTTGCACCGAATCTTGAAGACTCCCCTTATAACGCCATTTTTAACAACCCTGATTCATGGGACCGGGTCGCAACATCTTTCAAAGGCGAATTCTGCGCCTTGCTAAACCTCTCTGCTGAATCACCTTTATATGTCGCTGCCACAGCAGGGGCAATCGCTCTACCAACCCTCCTCAAACTTCAAACTATCATGAAAGAGAAACGAACAGAGTGGACCAGTCAGAACGAATTACCCGTAAGTAACAGCTTCTATTTCTTCCCCCCTTCTCATGCAGAGATAATAAGTTAACCGCTCCTCTTTTAGGTCGAAATCCCTCTCCCACGCTCATACCAATATCATTCCATTTTCGTGTGCCCCGTATCCAAGGAACAAACAACGGACGCAAATCCTCCCATGCTGATGCCATGCGGGCATGTCATTGCCCATCAATCACTCATGAGAATTAGTAAAGGCGTCAAATTCAAGTGTCCTTACTGTCCAAGTGAAAGCCATGCTAAAGATGCTAGAAAGCTTCTCTTGTAAACCATCTTCGCAGCCTCGCATTAGCCCGGTGTTCCCTTTTCATAGTATCTTTCCTGTTTCCATTATTATTACTGTTGACTAGTCCTCGCTCTACTCTAGCTATCGGGCACGTGGGACTAAGGAGTTTACAGGAGTTATGTCGTTTCTCTCGGGGGATTATGCGTATTTAGGAGGTTACTTTCTTGAACTTTGGGAAACTTGTCCTTCTCTTATCAAATGCCAATGGTACTTGTATATTTAAATGCAAGCCGGTATAAGCAAACTTAAAAACGATTGAACCACTGTGGAGCATTTTTTAGTTATTATTTCTATCGATGCTAACAATTAATTGTAATACAACATTATCGGTAGAAGAAAAAAACGCAAAAATGCCATAGAAGAAGCCACCCTAAAGCCAATGCAAAGAAGAAAGGCTCAAGAAAGCATTTAGCAAGAAAAAGGAGTTGAGTGATTATGTCTGCCGCTCGACCGCTGGTGTAACAACAGGTTGCTTCACTTTTGTTTCCTTAGCCGGTTTGGATTCCGCATTGTGCTTGTAGGCTTTACGAAGCTCTTCGACTTCACGAGTAGTGGGACGAATTTCAGGTCCCTTATATCGAATGGGTGTCTGACCTTTGACACGCTCAAGCTTGAATCGGTGCAAAGCAGTCTGCTGATCTAGAATCTCGTAGTCGCAGATATTGTACAGGCCATCATATCTGATTCCTTCAGAGGGTCTGTAGGGGTTCACCTTGGGGAGCTTTGAGCTTCGAAGAACACGTATATCACTCTTTCTGTTGGCAGCCTCGAGAAGCAGAGCTGTGTTTGCAGAGACCTCTCCGTTCTTGCCTCTAGTTCCGCAGTACCATACTGTATCTCCTTGGTCGACATCAGCATACATCTGGTTCCCACCTCCACCGGAAGAACTGAGAACAATTGACACAGCACCAGTCAGCTTATTTCCAGAAATTCCACCTTCAATGTCTCCGTGTGCACCATCTCGTAGAGCACAAATCTGCCAAGGAAACCATTGGCCATTTCGTAGGTGGTTGTCTCCGATCACAAATGCGGACTCTTTGAAAGGGTAGTTTTTGTCAAGGACTCGAGAAACTGAGCTTCGTCCGTTTTCTCTAAAGGTTCTTTTCGTCAGGATACCACGCGAAATATCCACATTAAAATTTCCCTTCTCCATTCTCTTCAGAATTGCGTGACAATCAAGACGGATGTCCCATGGAATCAAGTTGTGGTTCCTGATGATGGAAGGTAGGCCGTTTTGAGGTTCGAGAAATTTGGCCTTTATGGATTCGATAGATGATTCGGGTATCTCGTAGACTTCAAGGAAATGGATTCGATCCCTCAGGCGTGCAATAGATCTTTCAAGATCGGCGCCTGCTTCAATTTTCTTAATCAACGGGAGGATCTCGAGTATCTCTGAGTTTGAACGGCTAATCTCAGTTTGGCGTCTCTTGGAGATGTACTCGTGACGTTGGCTCCTATATATATATATATATGTATGTAAATAATTAAACGAAGCTCAAAAGTGGGCCATGGAGGTTAGTATAGGAATGGCATTGGCTTACATTGATTTTGGTTTACTGAAACTCTTTCGAATCACACGATGCGGGATTGTACGACAGTCTTTGACTCCATTGTTGGCTGCAACCTCACACTTGGTAGAGATAGAACAGGTACAAGCAGAATTGTCACCTGTTGGAGTGGATTTTTTAATTCTCTTCAAAGGAGGCTCACGAGCCTCTTGAGTCGCTTGCGCGACTCGTGTCTCCTTGGTTTCTTGAGTTGCAAGTGACACTACTGTCACATTGGAGCTTTCATTAGAGACTTGAGTAGTAGTGGCGGCGACGGTGGTAGTTGCCGTAACCGTAAGAGAACCCATTCTTCTTTTCACTCCTACCAGAGAGTTCTGGTTAGACACTGATATAGGTTTGAGCTTTCCTGGATCCGTAGCGAGCCGTGGTTGAATGTGAGGATGTCGGGCTTGCTGATGGCTGGACTTTTGTTGTTGCAGAAGAATTGTTGATGGTTCTGATTGCGGGCTTCGCTTATTTATCTGTTGCTCATTGTGTCCTTCGAGCACCAAATTAGACTTCGGCATTGGTGTTGCAGCTTTTTCAGGGCTCACTCGACTGTGTTCCTCCACGGTACTAGATGTAGAGTTTTTTTGTCCTGGAGCCGCGATATCAGGACTAAGGGGGTTAGGGCCGGCAATTACCTCACTACTGTCCCTACAGTCAGACTCCATAGAAGTAGATGTTGGAGAGGACGACGGAGCTTTCCGCTCGGCCAAAACCTTTTCAATCCTATCTTTGAGCATCTGCTGAAACCGCTGAGATGGTTGGGGCTTGTAATTGAGCTGAGCGCGCGTCATGTCTGCACTTTTGATTTCCTGCATTCTTTTTTCAGCCAACGCCTGCTCCGTCCTCTTCTGTAAGAGCTGCTGAAATTTAGATGGCGGCACCGACGCGTTGTCACCGCGAAGGTCATTAGGAGCTTTGACCGAGTTCATGTTGGACAGCTCGTATATTTTATCTCTTGTATACTCTGTACGTGTTAAGCCCCAGTTAATAGAGAGATAACAGGAGTATGTGGATATCTCAATGCTACCAGGTCAAGTTGGTAGCTGGAAAGGAGGCTTGTTTGCCCTTTTAGTCCTTGCAAAATTTCGAGTTCCTTAACTAGTGAAGTACCACTAGTGTCACTTCATTAACTATGGCAGCCAGCTTATGGCGTCATACCAAGCACAAAGTCAACAGCAAGAGGGGTATATCAGAATATATAGCAACCGTCGAGTTCTCGATATCAGTCACTTGAACTATGTCTCAATTCACTCCTGAGAACCCTTCCAAAAACCAATTATCTTTCAATTTTATGCAGAAAATCCAGCAATGCCGTCAAGTATCTTTATCTCTCCAAACTGCAAAGCCCCGAGCTACCTCGCTGATTGACTGTTGATTGCATCTTCTGCATCTTGCTTCAACTTCGTCCTTTCCACCTTTCAACGTCGTTGCAAATTCGATATCACGTGAATTTAGAGTTCCCGCTTAAGTCACTAGTCACTTTTTCTTCACAGTGAAAGGCAAAGTGAGTGAATCAGTAGCCAGTGGTTATATCTATATAAGATAGTAAGTCGGGATAGGTAAAGTGAGGTGAGAAGCAGAGGATGGTCGTGTCTGTGATGGGTGGTAGATCTACAAGTTTATACACGGCTAGCGGCCGGTTTCAAACATGCACTTTGTCAGCCTCGATAGTTACCAAATAAGCCGCAGGACAATTGCCGAAGCCAGCTAATTAGTTATCGGAGGTCTCCGAGTGGGTAAACCACAAAAGGTGGAAGGTAAGGCCATGAGAAAGAAGTTATATACACTCACAAACCGTTCACTACGCTGCTCTACAACTGCTGCTACTACTATATAATAAACATATTGAGGCTAGTTAAACTCATAGACAAAAATGGCTGAAGTCACTCAGGCGAATCCTATTACTGTGAGTCTGGAGGAACTCCGAGCCGGTAAGTGGTCAACTCTACATGTTGGGTGCTACCTATAGTACATCTTCCGACGGGCAAACAATTTCATTTCTAACATGAACACAGGCACTGTTTCCTTTGAGACGCTGTCGGAAGCTTTTGGACCCGCATCACTTGGGATTATTGTTGTAAAGGATCTCCCTGCGGAGTTCAAGGGTCTTCGAGCCCAGGCGCTCTCCAATGCATCATATGTTGCATCACTACCATCGGAGGAGTTGGGTGCGCAAGCCTATTCCCCTCCTGAGACATAAAATGTTATTAACAAATGCAACTCCAGAATCCCTTACTTCAGCCGAATCCAAGTATCTTGTTGGCTGGTCCTGTGGGAAAGAGACCCTTCGTTCCGGCCATTACGATACCCTGAAAGGGTCATACTATATCAACTGTGCCTTTTACCAAAATCCGGATTTGCAAAGTGCCCCTGCAAGCGAGTTTCCTGATTTTCCACAGTACACAGCAGCGAATATTTGGCCTCCTGCCGAAAAGCTCCCCAACTTTCGTCCGAGCTTGACTGAACTATGTACTTTGATTATTGACACAGCCACCCTTGTTGCAAGGGCCTGTGATCGATACGCCGTTGCCAATATTGAAGGTTACAAGAACGGGTATCTAGAACATGTTGTAAAGACTAGTCTGACGACCAAAGCCCGGCTCTTGCATTATTTCCCTGCTCCCGAGGCTGATGCTAGCGGTAAAGAGGCCGACGATGATGACTGGTGTGCAACCCATGTTGACCACGGATGTCTTACCGGTCTGACATCCGCCATGTTCGTTGATGAAGCCGAGCATAAACCGCAACCCTCGGCAGATTCAACCCCCTTACCTGAGCTCCCAACATCCCCTGACCCAAAGGCCGGTTTATACATACGATCCAGGACTGGCGAGGTAGTCAAGGTCAATATACCAAAGGACTGCATTGCATTCCAAACGGGTGAAGCTCTTGAGATCATTACTCAGGGGAAATTCAAGGCTGTACCACATTTTGTCAAAGGCGCCAAAACAGGGGGTAAGATTGCAAGGAATACTCTAGCTGTGTTCACTCAACCAAACTTGTCTGAAGAAGTGGCAGCTGGAAAGACTTTCGCAGACTTCGCCCGCGAGGTCGTGGAGAGGAACCACTGAGAATATATAACGCCTTGTTGTTTGTATATAGCTATGCCATGTTGTCGGGCGGCCACTTGCGATGCGTAGAGGAACTGCAAATATAATAACTAAATACGTATTCAATAGGCACGGACATTTCCTCTTTATTATATTTAGTTTAGTACTATTTAGACCAGAGGTTGTCATTTTAGGAGAATACACATATCATGCTCGAGTGGCTACTTAATGAAAAATTTTCACCACACTCATCTGCTAAATGCTTAACGCTAATAATAATACAAGGAGCAAAGAAGTGGGAAATAAAAAGGAAAGAAAAGAAGAAAGCAGTAAAAAGGAGTGAAAAAACCTTAACCCATTAGTTACCCAGTCCTTCCAGAATATCCAATGCACCGAAGCTAAGAAAGATATGCTGCCGTTGAGACCTTAGAATAAACACAAATCACATTTGACGCCGTCGCTTGGGTACCGGTATAGCAATAACGTCATCCCCGCTATCAGTAGACGCCGCAATTTCCCTTAAACTGTCTTCATCTCCGTCATCAGCTTCATCAACTCCAGTATTGGTAGAGGTCTCAATCAGTCCGGCATTGTCATAGGAAGCTGCTGGCCCGCCACCAAGCGCTGTTGCAACCATCGAACTATGTTTTCCCGCGTTGTCAAATGCTGTATATCCAGATCTACTTCCAATAAGCCCCCCGTAGGCCCGTCCGAGCTGACGAACAATTTTGGAATTGCGGTGATCTGCACCAACAGCCTCGTTGTTGATGATGTTCATGATGGCCCTGTACATCTTTGGATCTCTTGTGTCATCATATCTACTATGCTCAATCCCATTCAGCGACTCAAGGGCGAGTTGTTGTAGACGGTAGTCCGCGAGGAGCCAGTCTTTGCCAGGAGCAATACGGTCATCCGTCTCACGGCCATAGAGACGGCCATTTGTCACACCTTCAATGTCAATATCAAGTGCTGGATTGTCAAACATGACGTCCATGTACTCGGACTCAAAGCATCGCCCAATGACGCGGTTCAATGAGACCTCAGCGACATGACCTGGCTCGTACCGTGGGTACCAAGATCCATACTCTCGCATGCCCGTGCATTCGAACGATTTGCTAACCTCGAATTCTGTCATTGGAGTACTTGGATCAAAGGCAAGTTCTGGATCCATTGTGTAAACCTTTCCTCTCAACCGTGCCGCCATTGCTTCACACAGGAAAGGAGATTGAAGATTTGCATCACACTTCGTAAGCTTGAGTTCGATTGTATCAATTACCAGGACATCGGTCACCTTTCTCTTGACATCAATTTCTCCAGCTTGATTCAGTGGCATCAGTCGAACCCCGTCACCACGAATAAGCAACTCAGCGCCGAGATAAATCCCTTCACACAGTATGTATGCAGTTGGCCACACACCATCGAAGTGATATTTGTCAAGCATGCTAAATGAAGACATGATTGTTAAGGCATGGGGAATTGAACAGTGAAACTTCGCAGGATCTATACCCTGGAGGTAGACCGACCAAAAATTCAAAGGTCGGATTTGGCAGAGGGGAACATATTTGTACTGAGTCGATAAGCTTTTGTCAGGGCTATTTGGATCCGGAAATAGCTCGATTCGAAACCCAGACATGTTCACTGCGTGTTCCTTGTCGGTCTCAACGATAGCATCATGTAGGTTCAGTGGTTGTTCTGGCACCTGAGTAACCACACCAGCACACCATTTGGGAATTCCCATAAATTTCTCCTCCTCCGCCGAATAGATCTGATATGTTTGCGTGTGCCAATGGAATTTAATCTCGCCGCTTGGCTCCGTAAACCAGAGAACCAATTCACCGAGTCTTGGAAAAAAAGAGTGCTGCATTCGCATGCGGGTGAGATGATGTTTTATCAGCTTTCTCTCAGCTCTCCACTCCATATTTGAATCCTCCGAGATTGGTTTATTCAGCGTGCCTTCGGCATTCAAACGATATACCATCTCTTTGAAGACGTCTTGGTTCCCTTCAGCATCTATGGCCAAGAATTTTTTTCTTCCGGTTCTCTCTAAAAATGTGTTAGAGCTATGATGTACAGTCGCTGTCATTAGAATGGGATAATAATACTTGGTCTGCTGGGCTGTGGACGTGTCAACCCTATTTGGTCATTCAACGCGTTGCGAGAAATCCCAACAGGGCGCCTTTTTCGAGCCATGGGTTTCGATGGTTCACGGGGGATCGCAACCTTTCGGACAGGGCCACAATGTTCACACTCGCAAGGCTCTGAGCCACCATTCATCAAATAGATAAAATGGGGCCAAAATCTGTTTGGGGAAAAATAATACTTTCCAGACGGATGCCCCCAGAGAAATTTGTCAACCTATAACAAAGTATGTTAGCAAAGTCCTTTGGCTAATTCTATGCTATAAACGTACCAATTCAGGTCTGCTTTGGCGTGGCCGAGCAAAGTAGACATACCCTTCTGGCAACTGGTCAAGAATATATATTGTGTCTAAGAAGTAAAGTGCAGAACGCGTATTAGTATTGTTTGATTTGGTAGTCTTTCATAAACGCGCACAAATAGTAAAAATTTGCAATTATGCTTTGCATAAGAGTCATTTCACGGCGATTGCCGGAGCAACGTGGTATAGATACAACAACAAAGTTGATACTCCTTGGTCACCTTGGCGGATAAGGAACTGTATAAATGCAAATGTAGCACCTTCTGGGCGCGAAATAGGAAGTGAATCAAAGCATAGTTCAGAGTACTAACCTTGCTCGCACTCGCCTCTTGCCTTCATCCATTGTGTCCCTAATTTCTCGAGATAGACAGTAGGGTCCGTTTCCATGCAGTTTGAATGCAGTGGCCAAACGCTGGGATCGCCATCAGAAAAACTATTGATAGGAACCACGACACGGCCCTTCTGGTCGACTCCGTATACTTGTGACGCCATATCGAAGAGACAGAGGGAGTAGTGCTGAGTCGAGCTTCTGGTTCAAGGAGTGGACTAAGTGAAAGGCTAATTTCAACAGCTTAATATAGAACGATAATTAGCCTTCAATCTGGATTCAGATAGTTATCATTCACTCCACGAACTTGTTAACCAGTTGATCGACTAGCAGGACTCGAATCGCCAAAGCAAGGTGTGACGGAGAACGTCTCGAGGTTGTTGTTCTTACGTTCTAATAACTAGCTAAAAGAAAAATACTCATTTACGGAGTAAATGAGGGTGAAATGAGGCGTAGTCCCGAAAAATATGATCACGTGGTAATTAGCTATCTTTAGTAACTAGTTACTGATGTCGCAATAGGACAATCGTATTGGCTGAGCGCCCCCTATTCGATGTGGTAAACTCAATAAGCGGAGTTAGACTTGGCTTGGTCGCTAAGCGTGAAATCTAAGTTATATCACATCAAAAAGCCATGTTTATATTGGTTTGCTAGCTATATATACAAATATATCCATGAAATAGTTGACGACACCTTATCGCCCTGTAGTTAAATCTTCAAAAGGGCCACCAAACCGTGGAGCTTATGTTGAAGTTTAGTAACTAACTAAAATCTATGGAAAATAGTGAGTGAACCCCAGTTTTCCCATGTCTATCTATAAGTAGATGGAGCAACCCGTCAAGGTGCTGGCCCTGCAGTAATCATAAGTGCAGTTAGGTTGCGGAAGCAAGCCCTGCGGTTCCTTGTTCATCTTCCCACACTCTCTGTAGCTCATCTTCGATCTCTTGCCGACGAGCTTTGAGAGAGTCAACGTTATCTAGTTGTCGCCTAAGCTCTTGTAATTCTTTCTCGACGCCCATCTTCTCCTTCTCTGTTCCAATGCGATCAATTTCCCAGCTCATTCCATCAGTACCAAGTCCCACGGTAAGATTGAAAGTGTGATACTTCTTCAAGGATGCCCGAGTCGAGATTGTTATCAAGGTGATGCCTCGTTCCTTTGCACGTTCGTACAGTAGGCCCTCTACATCGGAAGACACTGCAGAAGTTGCTTCATCCAGAAACACGTAACGTGGGTCATGATAGAATAGTCGAGCTATGGCCATACGCTGCTTTTCGCCACCGCTGAGAACATCTTTCCATTCTTTACGCCCATTCCAGCCGCCTTCACGAGCTGGAAGGTAGCCCAAACGAACTGCCTCAAGTATTTCTATTAGGTGGTTATCAGTGCGTCCACTCTCCCGCATGTCAAGTTCGTTATGAGGGTAGATGACTTGGTCGCGCAGTGTCCCGGTGCTCAGATACGGTCGCTGTGGTAGGAACATGATGCCATCTTGCCCAAAATTCCTAGGCCGGCTAACAAGTCCCCTGTACACAGGCCATAGGCCGGCAATAATCCGGGCAATGGCAGACTTACCGGCTCCGTTCGGGCCTGATATAAGTAGGTGTTCGCCTGAATGGACAATAAAAGATAAGGATTCGATAAGTTCATCTCCGCCTTGAGGGAACAGCCCAGGCGCAACAATGGGAACGTTTTCCAAGCGAACCCCATCAAATCCACTGTGAATAGTTCCTTGGACATCGGAGAGCGAATACAGCTCTATTTGGCTCCCACGGGGCTGGTGATATGAGTTTGCGTGGACACGGTGAAGGGTGGATATCAATGTGTATACTCGCGAGGTGTATCCAGCGAGCTCCGATAGATCCTTGATGCTATACATCATACGACCGCCGGCATCAGCCAAGGACAACATCAGTCGCTTGTTTGTTATGAACTCCTTCATACGGCCTCGTTCTCGGTTAACACCTGCACCAGGTGAAGCCATCTCAAGAATGCCGCCGGCTCCGCCCCATGCTGGAAGGAAAATTGGTAGTGAGGTAATTAGATACCCAAATGCGGACCAAGAATACTTCAACAACATGTCTTCAAACATGTTATATCTTATCTTCAACTTATATATACCTTCCATCCATCGCTGAAGGTTGGCAAAACTCTTCGAAAGAAATACCCGCTCAATATCAGCACCACCATAGAACGCTATTTCTTCTGCATTTGCAAGTAGTCTCGAATGTAGGCTTCGGAAATCACCTTCCTTCTTCCCTTCCACTGCCTTGAGTTTCCCGAATGGAGGGGAATGGCTACGAAGAAGAGATGCCGTGCCAATATATCCGCTGAGGATACCAGTAAGAGCCAGAGGGCCCAACGAACGATAAAGCTGGTAGTTGAAAACGATAAGGTCGACCAGGGGCTTTCCAAGCGAAGAATATAACGATGCAACCGCGCTGCAGAAGAGGGTGAGATCTTGGGTAATAAACTGGTCAACCCCTTGGCCAATAGCCCCATCAAGGTTCCCCAGCTTGTAGTAGTTCATGTTGTCGTTCAAATAAAGGTCGTGTACATAGCGAGTGAGTCGTGTTCTGAAAGCAATAGAGACCTTCGATTTCAGGAACTTAATCATAGCGTTTGTATATGAAGCAAGGGTCCCGATGCTACACCACTTGAGAATGCCCCAGATGAAGGCTCTTCCTTTCCCAGCCACGAGATCCCGTACTATTTCACCATCCAGCCTAGCCACCACCAGGGACAGGTAGGTTCTTAACATGAGAAAGACGCCATGGCTAAGAAGCAGGCCGGTTTCTTTGCTGTTCCATCGGGGAATCATAATACTCAGCAAGCTGAGTAGTTGGTGTAAAAAGGCCAAATTCAAACCGGGTTTGGTTGAAGGCGGTGGTGCTCCTCCATATCCATCCCGTAGCCCAGCTGCCCTTGGTGGGTTCAAAAAGAGTCGCCTGTGGGCATCAAACGTCGTTGATTTTGTAGGGTGAATCGTGACTTTGGAGGTACTGGAGGAGGTAAGGCTCGACTTGTAAGGGACGTATATTATTCTTGAACCATCCTTCCCTCGTAGTCCTGAATTCTTGCGCAACAGCTGCCTTCCTTGTATCCTCTCCCTCGACCAATCCTTCCACCAGGTATATCCTCCATACGTGGTTCCAATAATTGATAGAAGCAAGGCAACGGTGGCAGCTAGCTTTACCGTTCTTGATGAATTCCGGACGCGGGAGATTAGTAGTTGGGAGTAATGCCGAAAGAGTATGGCCAGGGGATCTTCTGGCCGCCGGAGAGTAGATTGAGCTGCCATATTGCCTTCACTTTAGGACCATAGGCCGTTTCATTCACTGGTTATCTTGATTTGAATCCCATGGTCCCGCGACTTGCCCGGACAGCCGCCACCGGAAAATAAGTCAGTAGAGATGGCGTATAAAGCTCTTCCAAAAAGTTATATTGGAAGTCTAAAGTTGTCCCATACAAGCCGCAGCAGTCTCACTCGCTGTTGTTGCGATGAAGTCGAGCAAGTTGAATTTAACCCCAGATTCTCGTTGAAAGTTGGTCGATGTTTTAGCATGTGAACTCATATCCACGTGACCAAGATTTACCGAGGCTAATTTATGCCAAGATATAACCCATTGTTTCTAATATTAGCTCCACACCATTTATTGAACGCAGACGACGCCTGACGGTGTTGGTATTAAACAAAAAATCTCGAAGAACTACTATTTTTATATTCTCATCTGTCTGATGCCTAGAAAGGCACTTATGTTCCTATAAGAAAAAAAGTACAAAAGATTACATTTTAAACAAAACTGATAACTTTCTAGAGATTCCTCAAATGTGTAGCTATACTCTCACAAACGCTATAATAGACGAATTGATCAGCGGAAGCTATTGCATGGATTGCACGCCAAAAGAAAAAAACAGATATCTGGTAATAGAGAACACTTACTGGCGTCGATTTGCTTAATTTGAGGTAGAGCAAGCCGTACTTTATTCCGGTACAGAGCAGGAGCTGCTTTCTGTAGGGGGTTCCCTTCAAAGTACACTGTATTCAACTCCTCTTTGTCCTTCAGTTCGCGCTCAACTTCTTCAAAGCTAGCAAGCTGGTTATTGGATGCCCAGAGCTCCTCTAATTTGGTGAGATGCGACAGATTTTCTAGCCGCGACACTTTGTTATTGGATATATCTAAGACACGGAGAGTTGCGTTGTTTTCAAGCCCAGATATCTCAGTAAGTAGATTATCCGATAGGTAGAGCTCCTCGAGGCTTGAAAGAGACTCCAGTCCAGAGAGTTTTTCAATTCGATTGGAAGGCATTGAAAGTATTTTAAGGTTAGTAAGTGAGGAAATGTTCTATTGAAAGAAGAGTCAATATTGGTTTTATATGGGTGGGGAACGCTTGAGCTTGGAGTTGATGTTTGGTACCTTAATCTCGGATATTTTGTTCTTTCCGAGCCATAGCTCTTCAAGAGCTGCCAATGTGTCAAGGTTGTCAATTTCCTGTCATTCACCAAAAGAAAAATCTTGTCAGTTCCCGGTCAAATAGACTGCGCCATATTTTGATTCGGCCTAAATAGGTCCTAGTGTGTAGTCGCTGCGCCATACTCTTATCTTGTTTGCCCCAAGCTCTAGATTCCGCAATTCTTTGAACTCTTCCAGCGAAT